ATGATTTGCCACAAAACAACGCTGTTCGACCTCAACGTCGAAGCTGTCAACAATGCCGCAAAGACGAGGCGCTTTCTGGGCGAAGATTATAAGTTAGAACCAGGTGCACCAAAACGCTATCGGGATCGGCATTTATGCACCAATCTTTTAGCGAATGAACAACATCAATACAAAGCACTTCGAATACCTACACACCTTAATGTACTCACCCACTTAGACTGCGAATATGTACATTTGAGATGCAGACACCTGATGAGTATTACTATGTACAGGCAGTGCATGCTTGTAGTATCAGTCAACTCGGCCTCAAGCCACGCTACGAATTCCATATCTTCAATCGCATCAGTTGTTCACTAAGCGAAAAGCTGGTGGTATTTTACCCATGTCGAATATCCACTGCTTTCAGAGGAAAACAGGTAGGCGGGAAATTGGTTACATGAGTTGGTCACAGTAACAGAGCTTGGTCACATTTAGGAGGGGCACGGGCGGCGATAAGATAAGCCCCGTTACCCGAAAACTTTCGGTAACTTTTTTTTCGACAAGCTCGCGACAGCACCGGATCAGAACAGGACGAACACACCGAAATCGTGCCTCTTTATTCAAGCCGCCTCCCGAGTATGCCGCACTCCGAGCAAGACGGCCCTCTGGCCAAGCGCCAGAAGCTCGCTGTGTCTCAGAAGCCCTCGGCTCAGAAGCAACAGTCGAGGATATTCGCCCCGTACCGGGTATGTTCAATCTCGCAGAGCATGCGCCAGGAAGAGTGTTGAAGCCCATGCTGATTTCTTGTGCTTAGACGATAGGACTTGTCTCGCCAACGAATGTTCCCTTCACAACTGTTCCTTTGGGAAAGACAACCTTTCAATTGACAACGTCGGTCGGCCGCTCTCTGCAGACCTACGACTTGCGACGCGGTCTCAACCTGGTCTTTATCACCAGGCCACAAACGCCATTTGACATTACCGCCACACACGCTTGGAGGCAGAAGGTCTTTGCTGCTTTCGGAGATGCGCGCAATGGAGAAACACAGGGCCTTTGGGTTCTGCAGAGAGGTAAAAAAATTGCTGAATTAGAGCTTCCGCTGGATCTCGAAGAGCCCGTCAAGCAGATCTTGGTGTCCGGCTCTTGGATCATTGCGGCTTGTCTGACCAGAATCGAGGTGTGGAAGACGGAAACACTTGAGCACTACACAACGCTGTTCACCATGGCCGCAAAAAAGGGCGACAATGAGATCAGCGGTGGCATCTGCACCATGCCAACCTATCTCAACAAAATCTTTGTCGGTCGACGGGACGGATGGGTGGAAATCTGGAACGTTTCGACAGGCAAGCTCATTTACACCATTGTCCCGCCATCTGCAGATTGCGGCGCTGTCACTTGCTTACAACCTTCGCCGGTTCTTTCCCTCATGGGTATCGCATACTCAAGTGGCCCACTCATCGTCCATAACATCTTGACAGACAAGACAGTCCTTCGAGTCAACGCAGGCACAGAAGACGCGCCCGTGACAGCCATCACTTTCCGAACCGATGGTCAGGGTGCAGGACAGGATGGACGAAAGGATGGAGTTATGGCTACCGCAACGTCAGCAAGCGGCGATGTCACTTTCTGGGATCTCAACAAGGGAGGTCGAGTTATGGGTGTCCTTCGAAGTGCGCACAACCCGCCTTCTCGAGATGGACCCGCCGTGCGTGGGGGAGTGAGCAAGATCGAGTTCCTTGCAGGACAGCCCGTCATTGTCACCAGCGGCCGAGACAACTCCCTCAAGACCTGGATCTTTGACGAGACTCCCTTTTCACCGATCCCGCGCATTCTTCACTCCAGAAGTGGGCATGCCGCCCCAGTAACTTCTTTGCAATTCCTGCCGTCCGACTTTGATGGCGCGGATGCTGGGAATAAATGGCTGCTCAGCGCTGGTCAAGACAGGAGTTTGTGGGGCTGGAGTCTTCGCAGAGACGGGCAGAGCACAGAGCTCAGCCAGGGCGCTATTCGCAAGAAGGCCAAGAAGTTTGGTCTCCTGGCTGGAGACGTTCTCAAGAATGGACCTACAACAACGCTTGATGATCTCAAGGCACCAGAGATTACCTGCATTGCCTGCTCCCTCAACCGAGACGGTGGCATGGGTGCCATGCCTGGAAAGCAAGCCATGTGGCAAAAGTCGCAAGATCGCAAGAGCAAGCCCTCGGATGCGGAGCTTAGTGGCATGACTGGATGGGAAAGCGTCGTGACGGCTCACAAGAATGACTCTTATGCTCGCACTTGGTTCTGGGGCCGGAAAAGAGCAGGTCGGTGGGCTTTCCCGACTGGTGATCGGACAGACGTGTCGACTGTAGCCATTAGTCCGTGCGGCACTTTTGCCGTCATTGGATCCATTGGCGGTACCATCGACATGTACAATCTGCAGTCAGGAGTGCATCGCCAGAGATATCCTTCGACCTTGACACCGGCTCAAGCGAGACAGGCCAAGATGCAGCAGCTCAGACAAGCTGATAGTATTATGCAGCTCGATGCAAGGTCGACGACTGGCTTTGCTGCCGGTGTTGGCAAACATACGAAAGCAGTTACTGGCATCATCGTTGATTCCATGAACAACTATATTATTAGCTGTTCTCTTGACGGGAAGATCAAGTTTTGGGAGTTCTTGACTGGAAGGTTGAAGCATGAAATTAGCTGGGCACCCATGACAGCAATCACTGGATGCCGATACCACGCAGCAAATGATCTGATTGCATTCTCGTGCGACGACCAGTCGATAAGAGTGGTAGACATTGAAACGAAGCAGACGATTCGAGAGTTCTGGGGTTGCCAAGGCAAGATCAACGACTTCACATTCTCTAATGATGGACGCTGGATTGTGGCGGCTTCGCAAGATTCCATTATCCGTGTATGGGACCTGCCGACGAGCCATCTGATTGATGCTATCCGTTTGGAACAGCCATGCACTGCTCTGGCCTTCTCTCTGACTGGTGAATATCTGGCTGCTGCGGCTGAAGGCCAACTCGGGGTCAATGTGTGGACTAACAAGACATTGTTCACGCACGTCCCCACTAGACAGATTTCCGAAAAGGAGATTGGTCAGGTTGATGGACCGACAACGTCTGGAGAAGGCGGCCAAGGATTGATTGATGCCGCATTCGAAGAAGCGGCGCCGGCAGACGAAGACACTGTTGCTGCACCATCTCTCGATCAGCTGAGCGCCGAAATGATGACTCTCAGTCTTGTACCACGAAGCAGATGGCAGACGCTCTTGCATCTCGATCTCATCAAGAAGAGAAACAAGCCTCAGGAAGCACCTAAGCAACCCGAGAAGGCACCATTCTTCCTGCCTTCCACCACCAACTCATCTGTGCCCCAGGCCGGTGCTATTGCAGAGGCCGGTGATGCTGCCACAAGTCAATCAAGGATAACAAAGTTTGACCGATCCTCTCGCAGTGAAGAAGCTTTCACAAGTAAGCTGAGGAATGGTGCAGAGAGCGGAAATTGTAAGTCAAGAATCATAGATAAATTCGACGCCGTGGCTGGAACCTTACTGACCCGACCTCTAGACGATGATTTCATTGAGCATCTCAAGTCCCTTTCGCCTTCCAGTGCTGATCTCGAGCTTCGATCTCTATCCGCGAGTGAAGTTGACGAAGACTCAAACGAGCTGCTTCAGTTCATTCGAGCCTTGACCAGCCGGCTCCAGTCCCGCAAAGACTACGAGCTGACGCAAGCGTGGATGACGGTGTTCTTGCGATTGCATTTTGACATGATTATGGAGAGCGATACCCTGATGGCGGCTTTGCAAGACTGGAAGAGGCACCAGGCCGAAGAGTGCGAGAGGCTCAACAACCTCGTGGGTTACTGTAGTGGTGTTGTCAGCTTTTTGAGAAGCCCGCGCACTTGATCAATACACCTTTGATTTGCGGTTTATACATGAAGTGCATCTTGTGAAATGAGAAGAGGGCGACTTGCTGGGTGAATTTACAGCCTCTTATGCTTTTTCCCAAATACCAATTCAATAAAGTACAAGATGCAGTTCCTTTTCGTGCCACTGGCTGAAATCCCCATACTTGGAATCATTGCACATTGCTTATCAGAGAGTGATTAAGCAAAATGTAAGTGTAACCTAATTTGCGGAGTACGGATTGGAGAGTATTTGGTTGGTAAAGCTCTCAGCAAACTCGACATGCCGGATGCTAAATCGTACTACAGAATTCCCGGTTATACTCATAGACTTTGCCTAGACACTTGGAGATGGATCATTGGCTAGGTATGCCTCTCCCATTTGATATGCTGAATCTGACCATGTTGTTTCTTTCTTTCTCTTTAAATTTTCCGTCTCTTCTTCCATTTCTCTTGGGCGACATCCGGTCTGCTAGTCGGCTCGACTATCCGAAAATAGGTGATTCCGCATCCGGGATGGAGAAGGATTGCGCAAGCCACTTCCCCCGTGGCGGTCCCACTCTCACTACCATACGGTATCTATTTTCTTTCCCCCGATGATCGGGTTTCGGTTAATCCTACCTACATTCAGGGTAAGTTTGCTGGGCTCTTCCGAGTGGACGATAGGTAATCAACCGCCCATTCAACTTTTCTCACACTCTTGAATCTATCTTGACCTTTTTTTCAATGAAACAATTGTAGCTTCAGTCCATCGCCTCTGTCGGGAACTCATTTTTTTTTCCCCAGCACTGACTGAGCAGGGGTGCATCTTTTGGGAAAGAACGGCGTTAAAAAAAAAAAGATGGCGGACGTGAAGGGTCAGGAGCAGGCCGCGCCAGCGGAGCACACAACACGACTCTCCGGTTCGGCAGCATCTCCGACAGGCGGCGGCGGCATCGAGGTGCGCGAGGACGTTGAGCAGCAGGGCAGTCCGCTGCAGCGTATCAAGACATCCTTTGGTGAGCGCCCGGCATGTTTCAAGAATACATTCCAAGAGGTACGTGTGTATAATTTCATGAAGAAGGGAAAAGAAGCAAGTTCCATACTCGCCCTTTTGTGTTTCCCTTTGCGGATATGAACCTGTCTCCCCACAACGCATAATACACTTTATGGGTCAAGCACAACAAGAGAAAAAACTGACTCGACGGCGCCACTTCTCAAGGTATCCTTTGTCTTCCAGGCCACCGTGGCCACGGCCACGACGTCGTTCCTCACGGGCGTGGGCATGATCGTGACGGCCAGCATCGGGCGCGACCTGGGCATGACCCAGGGGGAGATTTCTTGGATCACGGCCTCGACGTCGCTCGTCGCCGGCGCCTTTCAGCTCGCCCTGGGCCAGCTCGCCGATCTCCTCGGCCGCAAGGCCATGTTTGTCATTGGCATGGGCTCGTTTAGCGCGTTTGTTTTGTTGTTGGCCTTTGCCCAGAATCCTTTTTGGATGGTCATATTGTAAGATGCTAAAGAGAAAAACCGTGACACGGACCTGTATACCGCAGGGCAATCCCAATATTCTTCCATACTACGATGGAAATCAGAGATGAAGAAGCTAACATGGTCTTTATTGATTAGGTGCGGCGTTCTAGTGAGTAAACTCAGACGGCTGATTTCATTTCAATAAGTACCTGTACTTTTACTTTGGGCCGAACTCTCCACTTGAATATAAGCGCCTCTCACGGAACCTTTCTATTTCTGTCGTTTTGCATAAGGATATAGAAATTCTAACATGTCGACTTTTACTTAGGGGCTTCCATCAGCCATGGTTGTACCTCCAGCCATTGGAATTCTTGGAGCGGCTTATGGTAAGATCATTATATTTTCCCCCTTCACTTCATGGATATTTTCCATGATCCAGTACTAATTTGACGTACAGTAAGTGACTTTAAATGACCCGGGACCTGCTTGCTTTCGGCATCGTGTACCGGAATCGAGTCTCCTCAATCAGCCCTGTTTGAGAGAATATATGAAACCGAGATTTCTGCACAAGAGAACAAGGTACTGATTTCATCGTCATGGTTCACAGGCAGCACCATCGAAAAGAAAAAATCTCGCCTTCTCAGCCTTTAGCGCCGGCAACCCGCTTGGTTTCGTCTTTGGCATGATTGTGTGCGGCATTGCGTCGTCCGTCTCGACCTGGCGAGCCGCCTACATCTTTCTATGCATACTCTGGGCCCTCTTCACCGCCCATGCCGTCTGGGCCGTCCCCAATGTAGAAAACTTTGACCGCGCGCCGCTCAGGGAGCGTCTCGGGGCCCTGCGGCGCTTCGACTATGTCGGCACCGTCCTCACCATCTTTGGTACCGGCATGTTCACGGCCGGGCTCACCCTGGGGCCCGACGACGGCTGGTCTCGGGCGCACGTGGTGGCGCTGCTCGTCGTCGGCGTCGTCCTCCTCGTCGTCTTTGTCTTTTGGGAGCGGGCCTACCCGACGCCGCTGATGCCGCCCGAGATTTGGCGGGACCGCAACTTTAGCCTCGTCATTGTGACCATTTTGTTGGGCATGATGGCTTTTACGGCGTCTGGCTTCTGGGTAGCCTACTACATGCAGAGCGTCCAGCAGCTGCCGACCATTATTGTCGCCGTGCACCTGCTGCCCATGGCCGTCGCGGGTCTCATCTGGAATGTCATCGCCGGGCATATTCTACACAAGGTCAACAACACCTTGATCATGATTGGCGGCTCGCTCTGCTTCTTGGCCGCAAGCTTGCTGCTGTCGTTTATGCGTCAGGACAGCAACTATTTTGCCTTTATCTTCCCTGCGCTCATTCTCAATGTTGCGGGTGCCGATTTCAACTTTAATGTGGCAAACATGTACGTCATGAGCAGTCTTCCACCTCACCAGCAATCCCTCGCCGGCGGTATCTTCAACGTTGTCATCAGACTGTCCAGCACGGCCGTCATGGGCATCACAACTGCCGTGTTCAGTTCCGTCGAACTCACCCCTGCGGGCATGGCCGACCCGATGCTCAAATACACCAGAACCTTTCAGGCATGTGTGGCTCTCGCAGGGGCGAGCGTCCTGTTTGCCCCGTTTATCAGACTGGGAACTCAAGGCAATGCTCCAAAGGGAGTGGTGGCAGGCTCGGAAAAATCCGAACTCGTGGCTGCTGACGACGTCCAAGGTGGGCCTCAGGAAAAGGAGAAGGCATTGAGATAAAATCATCTGACCATGAATCGACCTCGGCAAAGATGATTGGCAAGCCGGGGTTCACGGTGCCACTTGATTCAACCTGGGTTGGCAGAAAATCTTGAATATCTTTTTGTTAACAAAACGTCTCAATCAATGATCTGCACAATGCTGACACGGCACAAGTACCAAGTCTAATGAAAGGATTCAATATTCTAACTAGAATACCCCCCAAATCCTTGCAGATCTCGCGAGAGGATGAGATTTATGCATCGCCAAAAATGAAAACATGGCCCGTCAACGACAGCAAGCGACATGCGATATGAATGCCAATGATCTCAAAATATGCTATAACCTTGATGCAAACGCCTGTAGGTGAGGTATGCCAAAAACGCCCTTGTCGTGCCACCAAAGAGAAAGAAAAATAGCACAAACGAAACTGAAATTAAAGAAAAACAACCTTATCGTCATGAACGCCGTAATTGCCTGTCCTCGCTGTGCCTGATCTTGCGCATTTTGGCAAATGTATCAAGAATGGGTACCTTCCCATTCCAGCAGGAAGACGTCCTTTAAGATGAATACGCTCATGATGTAAAATTTCGAGGGGTCGAAGGGATGCCTGCTCCAGGCTCGTTCGCCTTTTGACCAGTGGGCCTGCTACCACTTGGCTGGTATGGAACCGATAATGTCTGTAGTCGAATACGGTATTAGCAGCATTTGCTACTGTTCTTTCTCTGGACTTGTTGTACGCTCTGCTCGGTTCCATTGTGTGCTGGGTTCTCGACAGTAATAGCGGGCGAAAACCCCGGGGAGAAGAGCCAGCTTCTCCTGTCGCGGCCGACTCTAAAGCTTCCCCTCGGGTTGACGCCGTCAAAGTAGCCCGTGTCAAGGCTGCGGTCGAAAGGTGTGCCGGGTGATGCCACGGCAGCCAGCAATGCCTGCTCCATCTTGCGGTTCTGTTCAACCAGCTTCCTCGTAACGACCCGGAAGACCTCCTCGACACCTTCTCCGCTCTCGGCACTAATCTCGTGGCATGCGTCCCAGCCCACCTCTTGGCCCCAGAACCCGGAGCTCCGTTTACTACTCGGGCTGCGCGGCTCGCCTAGGATGCCACCCACACTGTTCATAAAGCCACCGCTGCCCATCTCGCTCTGCAAAGCGGGTGTCATCATGCCACCTGGAGTCGCGGTCGGGGGCGGGGTATTGCCCTGGCCCGGAGCCAGATTCTCGGCTACGTATGCTATGCAGCGCTCGAAGGGGACCTCGCGGCGGGTCGGATCGCGGGCGACGATGTCAGCCTTTGTGCCTACAACGTGCAAGATGATGTCGGATGGCAGGTTGCGCCTTAGCTCGGTGAGCCATACGCCCATCTCTGCGAATGACTGCGCATCCGTGATGCTATAGCAGAGGATGCATGCATTGGCGCCGCGATAGTAGAGTCGCGATATGGAGCGGAACCGTTCCTGGCCAGCTATAAATAAAGTTTGAGTTAGAATCAAGAAGAGAAATGCTTGGATTAGAAACAAGGTTCACGCACCAGTATCCCATATCTGCAGTCGCACAACGGTATCTGTATCACTATCCACCACGCGCTTTGTCATGAAACTGGCGCCGACTGTCGACGTTGTTTGCGAGGGGTTGAAAGCGCCTTTGCAATAGCGCATGAGCAATGAGGTTTTACCGACGCCCTGCGAACCAAGGACGACGATCTTGGCTTCGAGGGAAGACATGATCTCGAGATGTGGACCGAGGATGTGGCTGTCGAGCGGAGTCGGAGGCCCGTGTAGATGACCAAGTGGAAATGACGTTGTGGACCACAGAGATAGATAGATAGCACGAACCGAGAACGAGGCAGCGAAAGAAGGCGAAGAAGAAGGCGGCGGCGGTGGCGGCGGCGGCGACAAACGCGCAGAGCAAAGAACAACTCAACTAGAAAGGAGAGGCGCCAGGGAAGTTGGCAAAGGGAAGAAAAATAATATTCGGCAAAGGAAGCAGAAGTTCAATGAGCGGCAACCGTCATGGCGGTCGGATCCTCTGGACTTTATTTTTTTAATTGTATTTTATTTGATTATTATTTCCCTGGTCGGAAGTAAGAAAAAAAAAAAGACGGCTGGCTGTGATGATGCTCTTGCTACTACGTACTAGGCGCGGCTGGCGGGTGGGCGAGCGTACTGGTAGTGTCAATGGTAGTGTAGGAATCGGCGTGGGGCCAATAGAGCAATCGCGATCTGAGATCTGTCAGATGCGCATGGGATATGCAGGCTCAAGCTGGCAACAGGAAAGGGAAGACGGGCAAGTATTTCGCCAGTCCATGGGTCAGTTATCAGGGATTCACCAACTAGTCACAAGACCCAACAACCGGCTGGCTGCTGGGCGACTTTATAACGGCTGACATGACTTTTCTACATGGATGACGGCGGCAACTCATGTGGTGCAAATCGCTTAATGGTTACCACACAGAAAAAGAGCAGAAAGAGAACCATTTGTCGACTGTGGATATAATGGTAGGACTTGTCGATACCTACCTACCTCCTTACCTCGACACCTTTTACAGCATGTAGGTTGTGTAAGCACATGGGATTATGCTGGTGGGCAGGTGGGCAGTGTTTGAGTGAGATCATTCCATCTTTCATTTCTCTTTTGGTTACCCCATATTCGTCGATGGGTCCCCCAGTCTAGCCTCCATGTACTGTGTAGTGGTGTACTTGCCTGGCTTCCTCCATGTACTATTCTGTCACGTCGAAGCGGCTTCCCAGCAAAAATGTTGATTTCTCGATACTAACCTGATAAGAATGACACATTCAGAGCGGCCACAAACACGCAGTGCATGGATCTCCTTTGGGCATTGCCAATCCCCATCATTTAGCCATTTATTTTCCGATCATCCAGAGGCTGAAACCATTGGCAGTAGTCACTAGTCTGTTAGTATAACACGATAGTACATTGCTGATGCCTCACCATTTTGGGGCGGACAAGGCAATGGTCAAGTTACTGAATGGCTCGATACATGAGTAGTAGATGATAGATCATGTAACACCCATCACTTGGAGGTATTTGCCAGACTGCCGTGGAACTTACATTCATGGCCAACGAGGCTATCCCAAAAAATCAGCTCGCAAGTCTTCTTTTCTGACATGCTTCACTTATTACTTGGGCGCGCATCACTATCAATGTGCTGATGGGTCCAAGTACTTACACATTAACGGAACAGCCCCATGTGCCAACCTTGGAAGCTAAGTATGTAACCCACATATTTGGTTCCAGTTGCGAAGCGTGAGCTCAAGGCTCGTCACGCAACTACATGAGAATATGACAGGCTAGTTCGCCAAAGGATTCAACACACTTTTAATACTCATAACTCTGAATATCGCACCGAGAAGTAATTGATAAGATGAGCATACATATGACTCCAGAGCACTTTTACATATTACTCAGACAATAAATTTGAATTGCATATAGGAAAGTGCTCGCCCAAGGCCTCCGACGGAATATGATCACAACCACGAAAAATAAACCCGCTGCACGTACCTCTTATTTAGTGGGCGGTCCAAAGTCTCCGGGGTAACATTTGAGCCTAGCGAACGCTTAGATCCTTGCTTTTGATCATCACCCTTTCCTCTTTCCGAGCGGGACAAACAAAAAAACAGGCACCGGGCAGCAGACAGACAGCCTAGCCTAGCCTAGCGACTGGACCTTGGTTAGGTTAGACGACGTACATGGGCCAACCACCGACATGTGGGACCATCAGTAACAATTAAAAGTGGATTGCCCTGCCCACTCCAATGGTGGTGTCGTTTGTCCATCCAGCGTCAGCACAGACAGAGCTTTTGGTTCCCGCGCGTGCACGACCGGCTGGTAGGTTGGTTGGCAAGTTGGTTGCTCGCTGGCTGAATTTCTGTGACGCAAGCGATTGAGAACCTTAAATTTTTCCTTTGCTCGACCTACAAATCATCAGATTAGATTGTGCGTACTAATGGCCGGAGCACACTCAGCCCCGACTTCAAGGTGAGCTGCTCTGCTCTGCTCAGCGTTGCTCAGCTCAACACCCTCCAGCCACCTAGAACCCCGACTGGTGAGCTCCAGAGGCCCAGAGTCCACTTCTTGACTGCGGCGAGCTTGGCAGGTACGCGCCCATTTACGACAAGAGAGGGATTGAGCGAGGGAGGGACCAAAGCTCCATCAGCATTCATTCAGGACCACCGGCGCTTCAATAAACGACAAAAGAAACCTTGATCTCCTGCCGAGACACCCAGTTCCTTTCCAACTTTGTCCCTGTCGCTGCTTTGCGCCAAAGACGATTCGCTTCACATCTACGTTCAAATTGCGACAGGAGACCAATCAGTGGGGGTCGCACAAAATGAGATGACTGCTACAAACAGCAGCAGCAGCAACAACAACACCCACGCATTCGTTTATTTCTACCAGCTAGAGAAAAGACTTTTCATATTAATTCTGGTCCAGCCATGACCGTCCGTGTCGTCCCGCCTTTCGCGAGGCTTGACGAAGACGATGATTTTGTCACGTGGGAGGACATCCCCGAGGAGCCGCCTCGGCAGGGCATGGTTCGCCGTGTCTCCTCACACGGAGCCTTCGAGTCTTGGGTCGACGAGAGACTCATCAAGCGACATCGACGCCCCGCCTGGCTCCTTAAGAAGAGCAATCGTCCCGGCCGTGAGCTGGACTACCTGCGCAGCGCTTCGCCCGTCATTCCCAAGGCCGTCAGCTTTCGGCCGTACGGCGAGGACCCGTACAAGAAATGGCGCCATTTATTACAGACGGCACCGCACTATGCGCCCGAGAACCACCATACCATCAGCTTTGAAGAGCTGGAAGCGCAGCCTCAAGGCTCGCCGATTTACTTGGAGCAGCAGCTCTCGAATGTGGTGTCCAGGCGCCACAATTGGTTCTTTGTAAACCCTCTACCACAACTCATATTTCGACTACTTGTGCTGGGTAGCACCATATCTTCCTTGGCCATTGCCACGACACTGTACCGGACACACTGGTGGTATACCGCTACAAACCAGTGGGAACTGGCTCAGAAGGGCCAGGTAATTCTTGCCATGTCGGTCGACTCGCTCTCGATCCCCTACGTCTTTTACATGACATTTGACGATATATTCGGTGCGCCGCTGGGCCTACGGCGTCCTATAATAAAGGTCTCACTCACACTTTTAGACCTGTTCTTTATTATACTCAAGGCAGCCAGTGCATCTTTGGCGTTTCAGGCATTGGAGACATCGAGCGACGAGTTGAATTTATCCCTCGTCAGAGCTCTGGCAGCTTGCATCCTGACCGGTCTGGTGTTTTGGGTAGCGAACTTTACTATCAGTCTCCTTCGCATCATTGAACGTCTTGGAGGCATGGAAAAGGGATCAAAGATGATGGAAAAGGGCCGACGAAAAATGCAGCTGAGACAGCCCACCGTGAATGGCTCGGCGGCCAACGAAAAAGTTCCTTACACTTCTGCCACGACTAATGGGCGCCGCTTTTCTCGTCCAATATCGATATCGAGAAAGCGATGATTAGAAATGGTTATGTATTCTTGTTGAAATTCAGGCAACTTGGAATGTATCTTTATAATCAGACATAGAAAAGTAAATGTATTTGGTAATGATGAAAACTCTCTTCCATGAACACCTAGTATCTGGACGCATTCTAAACGCCTGGCGCCTCTTGTTCCTGGAAGCAAACATGAACGCGCTCGATGCCTGTGCCTGTGGTGGGCAACTGCCTTGGTCAATCATTTGTGAGTTCACTTCAAGTACCGAAAACTATGAATACGCAGTTTTGCTGCAATGATTTGATTTGGTTTTGTTTTGTACATTTTCACAATTTTTACACCCAGCCTCGCTGGTGAGACAGCATCTTGTCTGGGTATCATCTCGTAACCTCCACCTCTACCGAACTCCATTTTCCAAAGCTCACAAGCAGTATGATTTAGAAGCTGAACAAGATGGGCTCTGTTTGAATGACTTGGTGTTGTCCCCTCCGTATGTTCTGATCCTCGTACCTTCCACCTCTGCGGCATTGGGTTGGACAACAAGTATCCCAGCCTTTCGAGGGTGTCTTGACGTCCTTGACGTAAAATTTCATCCTTCAAAAAGACCATTTCCACGGACAAACTTGATTTGGTGTCGAGCGATTGTCCTTTTAGCCACGCCTCCATTTAATGGCGATGGTAGCTTTCGCCTCGATAGCGATCTAGGCCTCGACTGCCTCGCTCTTCGCGATCTGCTGCTGCTCCACGATAACGGTCACCACCCTTAGGTACACCGTGATGCATGGGCATACCGCCATTGCCTCCACGTCTTCCATTTCTGCGGTTTCGGCCTCCACGACGGCGTTCATCGCGCTCCTGTTCTTGCCGACGCTCGCGCTCACGGTGGGGCGGTCGAATGCCCAGGAATATCTCCGGGCCACGATCAACGAGCTGATGGCCAGTCTCGAAGAAGTAGCGTCGGTATTCCTTATTTCGATCGGTGCGAGGATCATAGTCTCGCGACTTGGCTTGTCTGATGGCGTCAAGACGTCGCTGGGCGAGGTCTTCGGGAACAGGCTGAAAGGCTACCGAAGGGCGTGTCGATGTTGATTTGTATTCGCCGCCACCTCTATCCATTCTTGATCCATAGCTTTGTGGTCGGCTACCTCCTTGGAAACCTCTGGGGCCAGTTGGTGCACCTTCGATGCCCGTCAGGCCGCGGGAAGGACCTGTTGGAATTGACTGCTTCCGCTCTCCGGGAGGGGGAGGCTTGGATGCCGGCGGTGCTGCATCGCTTTGCTCGAGATTGGCAGTAACGTTGCCATCGCGATCATGCTCGTAGACAACCTCGTATCTATTACCGGAGCCACGACCACCACCAGCGGACAGCTCCATCTGGACCCAATCGTGGTAGCGCTCTGCAGGTACGTAATCGATCCAGAGAGGCTTGCGGTTGGTCTCGTCTGGCCAGACACGGTCGTGCAATGCGTTTCTTACGCGCTTGGCAGCAGCAACGGAATTAAAAAGCACAAAAGAATGAGTCCGAATGTTGTCCAGGTAAAACTCTGGGATTGTCTGATCATCAATCTCGACACCCATCGGTGTGGCAAGGTCTAGAAGATGGTCCTTTACAGCCTGTGGACGCAGAGGTCTCATAAAATTCTTTATGTACAAGGCAGTCGTGGCAGGGTGAATGGAGGGTTCCACATCGTGCTCAGGCTCCTCTGCCGGGCGGGAGTCAATAAGAGAGCCACCCATGGCTGTGCTATTCTCCAGTTGCGAGACTTCTTTGACATCATCAACCATTGCAGAACCTGCCCTTTCCGAATCTCCACCCATGTGTTTGTGGGCGTCCGGGGGCTCTGGTCCATTGGCATCCTGTGTGTTGTCCTCTTGGTCTGCGGGGACGCCTGATTGTGCATCCTCCATATGCGTGTCTGTCTGCACGCCAGGCTCGGTTTGCACAACTTCTTTGTTTTCTGTTTCAGATTGCTCTGCGGCCAGCCTAGGCTGCTCGCTATCCAGTCGTGCTCGTTTTGTATTGGTACCGTCGGGGCTCGGGGGCGGACTGGCAGAACGTCGCTTCCTTTTCTGAGAGTCTTGAAGTATATCTGCTGGTCGCATTGGGGTGGCACTCGAAGACGAAGCTAGGATGGAGACCTGCGGCTGAGGCTCTGAAGTGGCAAAGTCTGTTACCACGATAGGCTGCGCAGCTTCTGCGATCAATGCAGACTCAGGCTCCGGTGCCGCTGTGTCTTTCGAGGACATGTTGTCCTGGAATGAGTCCTGCACGCCTGTCATTGGGACCTCTTGCGGGGGTTCCTCGCCAATGGGCTTGGCAACTTGTTCATCTTGTGCTGTTTGGGATGGAATATCCTCTTGAGGCACATCGGATTGACCTTCGGCATCATTTGAAACTTGCTGCTCCTGGCGGGGATGAGCTGCATCTTGGGTAGACGGTGCTTGCTGCACATTTTGTTCGGCTTGGTCAGGGTCTGTGTCGGACAGCGGCGCAGGTAGCTCGGCGGCCTCGGACATGATGTTTTCATTCTCCTCGGGGACTTGTTCATTGACTTCATCGTTTTCGGCAATAGGTAGCGCATCCGCCTCCTGGTCAGTCGCCTCAGTGGCTTCTAGAGTGGCCTCCTCCAAGCGGGCGACCAGCTCAGCCTTGAGGCCATTCTGAGGCAGCCCGAGTCGTTTCAGCTCCGCCTTGAGCTCAGTCACCTTCAATTTGCTGTAATCGGTCGCCATGGCTCTCGATTGGTGGTTACGAGTGATGGCGCATTACTCGTATCAATCTGGTGTCGATGCCTGGGGGTTGTGACGTAGCTCGACGAAATCGGGATCCTTGCTATGAAGCTTGTAAAAGGGCCACCAACACGGTGAACACAGGTTCCAAGGCGTCGCCTTCTGGGAGGCAGAAACGAGATGCAAATGTCCCTCAGAAGTGGAAGAGGGGCGATTGCAAGGAGCGAAGAGGCGCAAGAATGAACAGTGTCGTGTCCCAGAGTTTTGCGTAAATCAAGTGCAAGGAACCTCTAGGGATGCAGCTGGTGGGTGGGTAGGTCGAAACTCTTTAGCTGGGCGCGTCGCGCTTTCGATCAATTGAAACGGAAATTTCCAAAGATGTCCCACTGAAAAGAGCTAAGCTGAAAGGTACGTACATAGCACTGCAGCATTGAGCGGGAGCGCTAGTTGAGGTCTGCAGCGAATAAAAATGGGTCTGTGTAATCCCTGTTATTCCATACTTCCATCAGATAACTCTACCTTCACCACATCAACCCCCCCATATGTGTGCCTTTTGTAAACTGACAAAGCTGTAAATGACCTACAAACATTGAACCAATGTTGGTCGATATTGAGTCTAATTACATTTTTCTTTTGATTTTATATGCTCATGATTAGTTGTATCATGTTGCATGATTCTTGCACGAAAAGATATGCTGCACGCCAGACACTGTACATTGTGCAGGAGACAACATTTAATGCAGGTAATACAAGATTGAGCCATACATGTTCTCATCAAGTCAATGGCAGTCGCTGCATGGGCGGTAAGTCAAACCTGCCATCCCGATAGACCCAATCACTACTATCAATAATGATAACCAATATCTTCAATTAGCAGACACTCGCGGTACATGCCATAATAGATTCGTAAAATGCAGTGTTTCAAAAGAACAATGACGAGTTTTGTTGGCAACAATGCAAATCAGATTTGCGCGTCCGCATCCGGACTCGAAGAATAGTAACGAGGTAAGTGCTTGCCTAGGCCTGTTTCCAGGTACCCAACTGCCAGTTGAATCGACCAACTGACCGACAATCCGAATAATCGAGGCAGCCGGTCGACTCCTACCTACCTCCCTAGGCCCAGGATTGACCTGTAGATGTTCTTTTCCGGCAAATCACCAATCTCCATTGTTCGTCCTTGTCAAAGACGCAGCGTGGCATAACAACTCTACACCTTGCATCCTCCCCAACATCAAAACTTCCTCATCTCATCTCCTTTCAACGCAATTCAGCGCCAACCAACCTGCATTTGGCGACTGGCCCAGCAATCGTGTTTTCATCACCGCCTGCCAATTTTTGTTGTGGTGTGACTTTGACCTCACAGAGCCTCGAATCGTGCACTCCACCTCTTTTCTCTTGTCGTTCGCCTACAAACTAAATATCAAGACGTTAGGGAACAACGCCTTTCCTCGCCAACATGTCAATGCTTGCGCCAATCGACGAACCTCTTGATCTGAGGGATGTGGGTTCCGACGAAGAGATATTTACTGTGAGTTGACACCTCGAATTGCGCCCCATGATGCGAAAAGGCTCCGGAGACTAAGTGGACGAACCCAATAAAAGAAACCGGAGCATCAAACTGCGCCTCCCATACCACCTCGGAACCCCATTGGGCCAACGCGTCCTAAATCTCGTGCTTCTGCCGTAGAGGAATCGGAAGATGACAGCGACGATGAGGGTCTTGGCGATGTACTCGCCGAAGGGGACACCGCTCCTCCTCGTCCAACTCGATTCCCACCCAGGACTCCCAAGGGCAAGAAAAGCCCATCGAAGAAAAAGCGTGCTAGCACCTCCAAAGGCAATAAAAAACGTGCCCGCAGCAGCAGCGTCAGTGGAAGTGAAACCAAGAGGACTCGACAATTTGATAGCTCGGAATCCGATGATAGTTCCTCGGATGAAAAGGACAGCAAAAAAGGTAGCAAAAAGGGTAGCAAAAAAGGCAAAAAGAAGCATTCAACCAGTGGCATAAAGACCCCAAATGCCAGCGCTCTCGATTTGCGCGAGGAGACAAGACAGTTGCATATAATCTCCAGCAACCCAGGAAACATTGCTCTGCTGCCAGATACCTGGGCTGGCCATTTCAGAGGCTTCCCAATTCCGAATGGTCTATTCTACAGAAAGACCAGAGAGGCAAGTAATTGGCCACGAATCTACGAGCACACAGATGGTCAAGACTTTCACGGTATGTACAGGATTTTGTCATGACTCCAGAACTCTTTTCCGATGATCTCATGCGTTCTCTAGGGTCCAAGATTTTCATGAATCTGGTTAAGGTCCAGTCCAGAATCCGAGACATACGTAACGAGTATATTGAGGAGCAGCAAGACGCGGGGAAGGACCATGTCGACAAGGCTGATGATGAACGGAGGTTTCGAGCCAGATATGTCAAAGCTCTGAAGCCAGCTCTCGAAAAGGCCAGCCATTGGGCCTGGGAAGACGGAAAACTTCCACAATTTCCAGTCCCCCAGACTGTCACGGCATTTGCTGTTACCAATCTACGTAATCAGACGGCTGCAGTCGCGGAAATTCGCGAAAATATGCATGAAATGGGAGCCCGATGGCGAGAGGTCATGGAAGATGAGAGGAACGCCGCGGCCAAAGGCAATCCTACAATCCTGGAGAACTACCCAAAGGCCCCGGTCGTCTACGGCTTCGCCATAATGGAGCACAACGTTATTGTCGTTCACTTGGATGCTTCAGATGAGAACGCCGAGCCATTTTTCCAGATGAACCTGGATATGGACACGAATAACCAACGCCAGTGGTTCGCCTTGATGATCATGGTTATCGTCTGTTTTGCCCGTGACAAGGTTATGGCGTTGGTAGGACAGATGGGATTAGAACCGGAATCAGAATCAGAAGAGAGTGACCCGGATGCTTGAGAGGCTCATATCAATGGAAAGAGCGATATTGAAAGCTGATGGATGAAATAGGGGCTTCAAGTGTTTAGGGAATGCCGCATGCGCCACAGAGATCTTAATGGTTTGCGGCACATTACATTAGTTGGTGCCTTTGTTTCATTTGCATTTGTAGTTGCTCGCATATGCTGTATTTTCTGAAGAAGGAGACGACGCCAAGGTATTCTTGAAGAGAACGGAAGGGTATATTTATTGCTCGAAAAGAGAACATGCGATGCTTACTACGAAATCCTCAAAACGTGTATAAACCGTGAAAGATAAGTTGGTGGTGATGATGATGATGTCTTGCTCAAGTATTGTCCTCCTCGATACGTCACTTGCACAAAAGAAATTGATATATCCGCTAGGCGCTAGGCGCGTACTTTGCATTGATAGCCGTGCCGCATTGCTGATCGTTGCCCGAACCAAGACACATTATATCATCACGGTTGGCCGAGACCCAAAAACATGGAGTTGGCAGGACCGGTCTCGGCCGCGGGAAAGCGGCACCCACCGAGGCCTATCCTCGGAGTTTGTGGAGCTCCGTCTGCCTCGGCTGGGTTGCAGAAATTAGGGCCGAGACCAAGTGAGAAAAAATGAAATAAAAAAATAAAAGTGGGTGTTGCGGTCGGTTCTCACATTGATGAATAAGAGAGTTCATTCTAAGAAAAATTCTCCGGATTACACGAGTCAGTTGAGTACGTCTAATGGTTCGGTTCAGCATGTACGTCAGCGGGCCGATGGCTCCGGGGTAGCTACCGGCCATCATGACCTTTGCATATACGTACCTATTGTAAAGAGGAGATGCGTTTTGCAATGATTCGAATTAAAATCGACTTGTACATTCAATCAATCATACGGGCATTTGAGCAAAAGTACCACCGAGTTTGATCTGTCGGGTTGCTTTTCCCCCCCTTGTCCTCTTGTCTCCTCGTCTCCTCAGTTCCATGGTGACTCTCGAGTCTCGGCCGACCGTCGTCAGCTCAAACGCGGGTCATTATTGGGCAGGCCCAAAATTGGCTGATGGGCTTCCAGAAGCGAAGCCCCAGTTTTGATTACAACCGACACGGATCAATCTTATCTCGACCGACCCCAAGGGACCTGCAGCTGATGGCACTGATAAAAAAGCTTGGCGCCTACCACACCATCTCCCAATAGCGTCGCCCATCTTGCGCCGCGTTGCCATGAATGCTACTACAATATGGAAATTGAGTGGTCCGGTACATTTACGCGAGAGAAAAGGGTGTCGTGTAACACGGGTTGGAGATTACAACCCTCTCGCTCGGATGCGACTGATGGGATCTCACACCGACCCAGCCCTACTGCTACATTGGGGGGAGTGCACACGAGCATTTGGTGTTGCGTATATAGTCGTGTATTATACGTGTGTGTGTTATCAATGCCGCTGTCGCCTGAGGAAATTCCATGGTGTCACGACACCAACGACTTCCTCCTCGTCTTCTCAACCACCCATGTCGTACGAGAGAACTCGGCGATAATCATAACACCTGTCGCCCCGCAGGAAACGGGCACTGCGAATCAGATATGGTTGCCGCGACAGGATCGCCGGTAAACAGATCATATTTGACATTATTGCTTGGATGCCAGAACGGCTGTTCCCCCCCAATGGTGTTGCGACGCACCGCCCGCGCCCCCTCCTCCGGAAGCCAGATCCGTACATCCACGGTATGCATGTGGACCAAGATATCTCTATCCATCTTATCCAGTGTGTGTTACCAGGGTGCAACATTGCCGGCAATCACGCGAGAGCTCAGCTCCTCCCCCAAGACCCTGAACTCCTCACGGCCCAACAAATAACAAGATGGGCGGAATCCTAATTGGCAAGGGGAGGGCCTGCTGGATATCTGTTTGTGGTGCATTTCGTACATTATATTGGGTTGGAGGGGGCGCATCGCCGCACAGTCAGCGATTGGAGGGGATCACGTAATATTGCCGGATAGATCGTGAGCGAATGCTCCGCAAAAGTTTCAGGGCGTCGACCCGTCCAGCCAGCCAGTCAGCCAGCCTGTCTCTCCCTCTCTCTCTCTCTCTATCTTGCTTCTTTTTCCGCAGGCAGGTGGGCGGCCCTCTCTGGATTCTTCTCCGGCCGAAGCGCCGAAAGCGAGGGGCAGAGGCTTTTCAACACTACTGTGCATTCGGAATACACTACACTACTACTGCTCCTTATGGCCCAGGTACCCTTGGCCATCGTGGAAAGTGCCATGAACCTTGATCCGGGGACCCGCCCTGCCTGTCTGGCTTTAGTTCTTTGTTCGTTGAACGTTCGCTCATTATCCTGCATCCCTTATGCCTGTCAGTCTCTCCAAGCGGGCTAAAAAGCGACCCAAGGTGGCCCCCTCCACCGCTCTCTAGCGGCCCTGGAAGCGAAAATGCTTCGAAATGACTCTTTTCTGATTGGTCACCTTTGGCCTCCCGGTGGATGCCTTGGGTGACCGAAAGGGAGAACAACGACAGAACAGGGATGATGTTCCCATCTAACGGGAATCTGGGTAATCTGGGATCACGCTCTCTCTGTCTGTCTTGTCTCGCTCGCTCGCCTGCGGAAAATAGAAAAGAGTTGCAGAATCACAAAGAAGAGAGAACGAAGAGAAGAAAAATTTCTTGTGCTTGTTTGGTAATCAGTCTGTGGTTGCTTATATATCGTGTCTAGTCCTGGGGCTTTGTCTTGGGAAATGCATCTGTTGTTCACTTTGTCCCCCCTTACCCCGATCGGCAACCCACTTGGATCAAGCAGTGAGATCAGAGGAAAACCCCAAAGTCAAGTGGTTGTAGATACTTTCCCTTCTCCCCCTCCGGCATCGCGGGTGTGTGTGGTTTTGATTTCATAAAACTCTATGCAGCCATTGGTCTTCCAGGAGCTTGCTTGTCTTGTCACGTTCTGACGTTGACTGCGAAACCACACTTGGCAAAAAAACAGATTGTCCATCTGTCATTGTCCCTTGGGGGGGTTGAAGTAGTGAAATACATGCTTGCCGGTTGCTTGATAATGCAGCAGTGGCGGACTTTGAGAAACTGACTTCCACCGTTTCATTCCCTTTCTCTACCTCTCCCTCCTCTCATACCTTAAACCGTACGATCTGGACCTGATTTGATGCGCCTGCCTAGGTGGCACAAGCCTTTGAGAGCAGAAAAGTAATAAATCCGTCCGTCCGTGCCTGCCTTGCTTACAGTGCATTGTCAATCCTGCTGCTGTTGCTGCTGCTGCTATCAAATCAATCAAATCAAATCAATCTCGGCGATCCGTCTGCTACCTCCGCCAACACCGCGACGGCCATTTTCGTCTGACCGACCCTCGACCACGGTTACTCCCTGTCCCTTCAACCACGCCAACAGGAATCTCCGAGAACTCACAGACCTGAACATCTGACTTCAATAATCCGACGTCCGACCTTGCCCGGCGGCCTGGCCTATCCTACCTTGCTTCGCCCCCTTCGATTTACACAACTTCATCTATTTCGTCGTCTGTCCCAGCGAGTAGTTTGTTGCCTTCTTCGTCACCATACATATCGCAAACCACACACATTGCAAGCCACGTATATATTATACGTATAAACACGGAATCCCGTTTCTGGAACCCACTCTCGTTAGTCAACTGGACTATCGCCAACACGATCGACTGGCGTCCTCGGCACCGACGAGGACGGTGCACCGCCATTGAGCCATCCGCGCTCTGGTCAACGCCCCAATCTCTTGCCTGCCCATTCGCCTTGCAAAAGCTGAGGGCCCATCGGTCACAAGAGCGCCGCTGGATTTTCGTCTCGTTGCTTCAGAGCCGCTTTTCGTTACCGCGAACTGCCGGGTCTCGCTCGAGCGTAGACTGCATGATTCAGGAGACTTGGTCTTTTTCTTTCTAATCTAAGATTTGACGCCATACCACCCGCTTGTCGATCGATCACCTGCGTCCCTCTTATATCCGGATTGCAGGGTCCTTTACTTCACAACTAACCTAAGATATCATGGACGTTGACCTTCCCATACAATCAAAACCACAAATAACGACGACAGCAGAGACCGGAACAATGCGCACTGCACTGCCAACCCGCCCGGTGACATCGATGGGAGAGTCGCAAGGCCCGTCTTCCTCCAACGATGCTGCCTATGCCTCTTCAGCCGGATCGCGGAGTCCGGGCACTGAAAGTTTTACGACCTCTGGGCGGGACATGGCTACATCGCTCAGCCCGTCGCCAGTGCCATATAGCACTCTACACGACGAAAAGACTGCCAGCGCAAAAGCCAGTACAACTCCCTCAACCGGCCAAAGCGGTCAAGTCTGCAGGTAAGGCCTAGACTAATCATCTTGGACACTTTCAGGTCTAATTGAGAAATAGCAATTGCGGCACTACTAGAACGCCGTTATGGAGGCGATCTCCCCAGGGCGCCACTATCTGCAATGCTTGTGGGCTTTATCTAAAGGCAAGGAATTCGCAACGGCCTACGAATCTAAAGCGGCCTCCTACAGTTGTAGCAGCATCGTCCACTTCGCGAAAGTCGCCCGAGCAGACATCACCAAAGCCCTGTAGCCAGACCAATGGCGCAACCTACGTGGCTGCCGATCAGACTCAGTCGGGATCCTGTCCTGGCGGAGGTCGTTGCAATGGCACAGGTGGTGCAGTGGGCTGCAGTGGCTGTCCGGCCTTTAACAATCGGGTAGCCAAGAGTGCACAACTCAATAGTCTGCAGAATCAGGACCCGTCGACCCGTGAAAAGGACGTGGATAGTGGGCCGCAGCCAATCGATGTGGCTGCTGAAGAGGCAAATGGTCAGAATACCACGGTTGTTATTGCCTGTCGGAATTGCGGTACAACCGTGACACCTCTGTGGCGCCGTGATGAGACCGGCCACACGATATGCAATGCTTGCGGTTAGTCATCCCGGATTTACCACGCTCTTCAAGGGTTCTCTCTGATCATTTAATTTTATAGGTCTGTACTACAAACTGCATGGAGTCCACCGACCTGTCACTATGAAGAAGGCCATCATCAAGAGGCGTAAGAGAGTTATCCCCGTGTCGCAAGGCGGCTCGGAGGAGGGGACACCAATGGAATCGGTCGAGCAGACAGTTCAATACTCAAGTTCGGAGGAAAGGGGCAGTACGAATGCAGATGGATCGATAAATCTTGGGTTCCGTCGGCGGAACGAGCACCCCATGACCCTTTTGCCTGAACCAGTGCGTCACAGCCAAACCTCGACGCCTATGCCATCTTCGGATCTGGCAGCCTACCACAATGCAGTCACTCCTCAATCGATGGATGGTCGGGAAGATTCATTGACGGACAACAACCGCCTCGCACCACTAACGTCGATTGCTGCTCTGAGCGAGCGACAATCGTCTTTGTCGCCAGCATCCTTCTTGTCGCCTTCGAGGAAACGTTCCTTTTCTCCAGCTGACTCGGAACCCCCTCAGAGCGAAATAGGACAGAGCGCAAAACGTCTCTCGTCCATCAAATCGATTCTCAACCCTCCAGCATCAGCACACAGTCCCATTTCGAACCCGATGGAGGATGCTGCTGAGTCTTTGAGGCTGTTGAGATCACCAGCAAGCACACTGTATTCTGCACCGAGCCCCATCCCGCAGTCGGCGATCCCAAACTTACCTTCGATAAACGAGAGCGAGCGGGAAAAGGCCGATCGTAGGGCAGCGCTTCGACAGGAAGCCGAGAGAATGAGAGAGATCCTAGCTGCCAAAGAGCGGGAGCTCGCTGCTCTAGGTGACTGAAAACCCAATCTCATTCGACATTGGTCTGACGGACCATCATCATTGCTATGAGGAACACGAGATCAAACCTCATGGCTAAAATAGAAGAGGAAACAAAGATACCTCAATACCTGGCAGCAGGATACCACTTTGACGACGTTATATTTTCTCTTGTCGGCGGCGCTCAATGGAAAATAAATATGGGTAGGCATAACAGTACATGACGAAACGACAATTTTCTGAACTCGAGGGGCGTGGTTTAGATTCGAGGGTTGCTAAAAGCAGGCCGAAAAGCGAACCGAGATGAACCAAAAAAAAAACAGCGAATCCAAAAAATAAAAGGAAAATTGGTTGAGTGGTTCTTATACATGGCGACAAGGGCGGGGAGCAATCAAGGGTTAAACTTTTTGGGGGGAATTGGAAGCATATCTTTACTAGAAGATCATTTATTAATTTACGACGTCAAAGCATCATGGCCAGGAGCACAGGGAACGCCAGTTTTTGCTGAGCTGGTCGAGGGCATTTTTGAGTGCCATATTTTGGTTTATCGAAAATAGTACCAATATAAACAGCGCATTTGTCGCCTATTCAACTGTTGATTGACCCACGTACGTGAACGGATCAAGTGCTATTCCTCCATCAAATCGTGCCATTCATTTACATAGCTGTTCTGTTTATACATGCCTACATAGATTGACAATCAAGCCCAAGACCGCCCGTGCCAAGACCACGGAACCCGCCCTCCATTGGTATACAGTTATACAGTTCTATTCTCCTGAACTCCATCCTCATTTTGTCCCCCAATGTCTTTGAAACCAAATTTCATGACGGCATGCTAGAAAGCCTCGGTGTGTTTCCCCGCCCGCAATCACAGCTATGGTACATGATACTGCGATACATGATTTCTTGTCGTGTGTACCAAAAATAAAAAGAATGCGGGACTGCCCCTTGCCACTTTGTTTTTCCCAATAGGAATCTCAAGTGAGGGAGATTATCCGTTTAATATCTTCTTCTTTTCTTTCTTTTCCCTCAACGACTAGAGAAAGAGGAACAGGCCTCGTTGTGTTGTTTTAGACCTGCTCGGCACCCCAGCCGGCGTCGGCCTCGCGCATGTTGGCCGGGGGCTCAATAGAGGGGATAAACTCGAGGACGGCGTAGCCGACGCCGATGAGGCCGACGAGGGAGCCGGCAATGATGCGGAGGACGCCACCGCCGAGAAGAATGGATCCCATGAAGATGTAGACTGTAGAAGACGTATTTCCCGGGGTCAGCAAAAAGGGAAGAAAGAGACACTTTGCGTGTTTGCGGTTTGAGTGGTAGGGGGGAAGAAAAGGGACAGTCTCGAAGCGAAAATACGTACAGATACCACGGCCAATGAAGGAGAAGAGAAACGAGGCGTATCGCGACACCTGAGGCGGGATCTGGAATTCGAGGAGGCCAATGGCGGCACCAAAGAGGATGACGTAGACACCAATGATGAAGGATTGGCTATATCCCGAGGTCAGCTTTTCTGTCTGCTTAAAACACCCACCCTCCTCTTTGAATATCGCAATACAAGTTCTCTTGTCTCTGTACATTGCGACGACGGGGGCACGAGGGGAGATGGAGAAAAATACGTACAATCCGTTGGCCTCGGTGAAGAATTGCGAGATGCCACCAAGGATCATGATTACACCAACCGCCAAGTTGACGACGCGACTGCAGAAAGAAGAGCCATTGTTAGCAATCTAAATTCGTTGCTTGGGGGCAAGGCGGCGCGACGCGATGCGATGCGCCACATGTCGATGGAAGTATCCATTGGGAAAAACAAGAGTGGCCCTTTAGATGCCAAAAAAAGAGCTTTGGATTTCGACAATTGGGCAGGACCAGCTAAAGCTCGAGGAGCTTATTTTGTCTCTTTTGCTTACAAGATATCGGACAGCTCCATGATTGCTAAGGTGTTTCGGTGGGTGTTGCTTCGGATTTGTTGTCTGTGATGGCTTGGGAAACTCGAGTTGAGTCGCTTGGTCGTCGGGCGATGGTAGGGGGAGGAAAAAGGCTTTTGGTTGTCTCTGTAGGCAGAAGCTTTTCGGGAGGGTGAAGTTGTCTCTTTTTTCGCCAGCAAGCAGACAGATAGCTAGGTTAGTTGGCTAGTAGTTGAAGCTTGGGTTTGGGGGGCCCGCGCTAGGACAGTCGGGAGTCTGTGTTTCGTTGCGTTGCGTCAGGAGGCCCAAGGCGAGCTTGGCAGAGTGAAGGAGACCCACCACCTGCTCTGCTTCTTTCTACTCGCTCACCTATTTTCTTTTTCTTCTTGGTAAGCTAGCAGCTACATAACAACTAAGTAAGATATGTATCCTGGTTTATAGCACGACTGCTTATTGTATATATGGCGCTGCACGAAGTCTACGTGCCAATATGAGGCCTTTTGATTTATTGAATCGAAATTATAATGAGATATATTTTCTCCCCTACTTTTCCCCCCTCTTTCTCATTAGTTCCCCTATTGTGTGATTGATCTTTCACGGCTCGTTCTTTGTCTTGATTGACGCCTTATCAATTGAAAGTTGCAATGAAATATGTTGCAAGTGCTTTATCGTACAGAGGTTTATACACATGGTACATCGAGAAATTATTTGTTATTGAGGCAACTTTTAACAACAGCAACACCACCAATTCATATTACCATAGACTGTAATTGGTCTAGTAAAAAGAATCAAGTCGTTCCATATGTGTTTTGGGCATCACTTTGGCTGCAGATTGTCCAAGTATATATCATGGTGGAACAGTTGCTTTAACCCGCAGATAATTTCAGAAACTATGCATCCCATCCCGTCATATCTCCATGATACAAATGTTTCTTCTTATTTTCCCCCCTCTCTCCCCTCCCCTCCACTATGAACAAAACGCATTTTGGACCACATGAATATCCTTCATGTCAGTCCAAGCTCAGAGCTCAAGGCAAAGTCGAGATCGATGCAATTGTCCACGAACTTGTTGACTGATGCTGTATCCAAGAAAACAAGCAAACGACCTCGTTCAGGATCATGCTCTCTTTCCAAGCAGTTCTTAATGAGAGAAAGATCTCCTGTATTCGCCACAGGCAGAATAAGTTTTGCGAGGCAAGGGCAACATTTAGCCAAAGCTACCAACAGCATTGCCCAGCCATTGACCAAGAAATGTCTCAAAACAAGCCTGCTGCCTCGTGGACTGAGACAAAACATAGCCATGATTTTCATATGTATTTTGCGGGGGCGGAGAAAGGGCGTTGAAAGCCGCATTGCAGGTCATGTCTTGGAACTCCAGGTGCAGCAGTCATGTGTAACTTGGGAACTGGCTGGAGTTGCATGTGTGCTTTGTCTAATGATATTATCTTTGACTAATTGGAACCGATGCAAATCACCGTATTCAGAGACCAATGTTGATGACTTCCGAAGCACCACCCTAGGGACAACATGTGACAACATGAACGGGCAGACCCAAGTGTTGCTTGCTTTCTGTCTGCAGCCAGCTAGTACGACACGATGCCCCGTGTATATGCATCATGGCCAACCTCGAATTGAGATGTATCAGCAATAGCTACTTTCACTAGTCTGTAGCTTGGCGTTCATGTGTTGTATGATTGTCTGATCATAGCAGGGGCTACCCATCGACAACACTAAGCTCTATCGTTGGTCATTCTTAAAGGATATATATTTAATTTGCGATCCTTGTAAATTGATTCGATTCATCTACAAAGCATCATCGACTTCAATTTGAGCACAGAATTGTGAATCTCCAAAGTCCACAGAAAACAGTAAGTTTTGTGCTTAGCTACTATGTTGGTAACAAGAGGAGCAGTTCCTCACACGAGAACGACATTGAGGTGACAGATACCATGGCAGAATCTTTCGTCAGCCGACGTCCTGGTCGGGCCAAAGGTCTATCGCTGGACATTGTGGCCGACCACCGACCGAGTACAAGTAACTTTCCACATACTGCTATGGGGTATTTGAATTTTCCACATATTGCTATGGGGTATTTGAATTTTCATGACGGGTTCCGAGGGCCCATACTGGCTTGACTGGCCAAAAAAAACTAAAAAAAAAACTTTGTGGCCAAGTCCATTGACCTCCAGGCCGCCCGGCCGGCCGGCAATTGAGGCGGAAGGCTAACTTTGGTATAATCCAGCTTCCCACCCATCTAGCGTTAAAGCTACGCGGGAACAATGGAGCCGTTGGGTTGGGTCCTGATGCTTCCGCTATCAATAATCTACCCATTCAAGCCATCCAGTCCCAGTCTGGAAAGCACGAGGAAAGTTTACACTGACCACGGCAGGGCAAGTTGTAAGATCGTGGCGGGATGGCTAAGAAGTACAATGCTTTCCGAGGAGTAGAACTAGCTGGGCAACCTGGTGGTTGGGCCTTTGACACAAGATCTCGAGTATCAAAGCAAACGAGGAGGAGGAGCTGGGACCACCAAGAGACTCGTCAGAGCTATACAAGGTCCCATGTGTATAATCAAGCGGGTGAAACAAAGGCAATAGTCCGAAGATGGTTGATTTGATTCAAACCCCTGCCCCCCCTTCGCACAATTCTTTCGTGTAATCGAGGTCGGTGTTCGTACAAGAACTGGCACCGAGTTGCGCGGCGGTACCACCAATGGCTCGGCACCGATTTTGACTGCCTACTACTCATCATTGCGCCCGCCCCAATGGGATCATGACGAAGTGTACCGATATTTAAGATTTTTCATTTTTGCTAAAAATGTTTAGGTTTCTTCAGATGCGAGCCGTGTAAAGATCTGCCGCTTACCTTGGGTAGGACGTGCTAAGCCATGTTCATCTGAAGACTGAGTTTCTGCTGCTTATTTACGGACTCCCCCCAAGCAGCTTGTTCCCTACTCGTTCTTGCTTTTGAAATTTCTCCTTCTGCCCTTTCCGACTGCCCTTTCCGACTGACCATTATTCATCGTTTACATGTGTATTTGTTGATTTGCATTGTTGCAATATTTCCACTTCCTTTACAATCGAAAAAAGAGAGCTGAAGACGTTTGGGCGTCTGTTCGAGGGGCTTATTGTTGATTGCACGAGTAGAGGGGAACATCCCTATAATCTATATATAACCCGACCCGGTGGGGGAACTCCGGACGACCAGTACCAACACATTACGCGCGGCAACTCAACCCGCACCGATAAATCACAATAATAACGACATCAGCGGCACATTCTTCCATGTGTATGGCAAACGAGTAAAATAGAATCATGGTCGATTGGTTTGCAATATCGCCGCCGAGCGTGGCGGCAACGGCAACTCCTCAGGATCCAGAATTGGTGAATATATTCCTTCATGCTCCATCTTGTGGTATATCCGTTGTGCACAACGTGCTTGCACAAACTGCTGCTGCACATGATTGATATACTCGGCTAACAAAATCCCTTGCTTGCACAGTCACCTTCTGCGAACACAACCTCCCCCGAATCAGCAGCCAGCAATGGACCGCCTTACCTACCAGATACAGCCCAGGTGGGCGGCCAACCCATACCGTCCATTGACGATCCAATTTGTGCCGTGTTGGCCTTCTTTTTCCTGATAGCAACGGCGGCGCACATGGCCATTTTCCAGATCAATAAGAAACATGGTCACCTCTTCGTATTCAGCGCCATGATGTTTGCCTTCAGCCTCATTCGGGCCCTGGCGCTCCTGCTGCGCATTGCCCAGGCAGGCTATCCGACCAATGGACGTCTGGCCATTGCTGCCAGCGTCCTAACCATGGCCGGCACGATTCTCGTCTTCATTATCAACCTCTTCTTTGCCCAGCGGATCCTGCGCGGCTACCACCCCAACTTTGGCTGGAGCAAGCCCGCACGCATCGTGTTCCGCTTCCTCGTCGCCAGCGTCGTCATCTCGCTGCTCATGGTCATCATTTCGACAGTGCAGTCCTTCTTCACTCTCGATGAGGGGACGCGGATGCGCAGTCACAAGGTCCAGCTCTTTGGCGGCACTTACATGGCGGTCCTGGCCTTCTTGCCCATCCCCATTGTGGTGCTGGCCGCCATCCTGCCGCGCAAGTACGTGATTGAAAAGTTTGGCTCCGGTTCCTGGCGCGCCAAGCTCTTCATTGTCCTCTTTGTCGCGGCCATTGAGAGCCTCGGCGCTGGCTTCCGCGCCGGTACCAACTTTGTGCCCCGGCCCATGAACGACCCGGCCTGGTACGACTCTCGCGCGGCCTACTACGTCTTCAACTTTGTCTTTGACCTGATTGTCACCTACCTTTACCTGCTCAGCGGCTTCCACCGGCGCTTTCACGTTCCCAATGGCGCCAACGGACCCGGCTCGTACATGGGAGCGCTGCCTACAGACAGAATGTCCCATGGCAGCCTGCGGCCCATGTCGCATCAGCATCAGCATCCTCACCACCACCATCGCCACGTGGCGCAGCCAGCATCGTTCCAATCGTGCGATACTCTCACAACGCAGCAGGGCCGGGCCCCGTCACCAAAGATGCACAACGGCAAACTGCACGTCGGCTACACCGGGTACCAAAACGCATCAGCCACGTCGCTCAAGAAGGGAGGCGGCAACAGCGTCCTTCTGCAGCAGCAGCAGCAGCGCAAGCAGCGGAACCGCCTCTCAAAATCCAATCCTCGCCCCTTTGGTCGTTCCAACGCCTCACTGGCCTCCCAGGATACGTACGTCGGCTCCATCGCCCCCAGCATTGCCGAGACCCCGAGTAGCATGTACCGGGGCTACTCGCCCATGTTGCGGCAGTTTCCCTCGGACCCCTTTGTGGGCGTAGGCGGTGGCGGCGGTGGCGGCGTCGACACGTCCATGCCGCTCCCGCCCGTGCCTGCGCTCCCCGCTTCCGCAACCGCCGCCGACAGCGGCTTGTACGGTGCGAGCCCCGATGGTACGATCCACGAGGAGCCCGACTACATGGTGGCCGCGGGCGGCGCGGGCATGGTCGATGCCGAGGGACGACCGACGACGGGGTCGAGCGCTAGTGCCGGAGGCGGCGGCAGGGCGCGGCGACCGAGCGACGTCTTGTCCGACATGCTCGACAAGATGGAAAGTGTCCGAGAGAGCGTGGAAATGTACCGCAAGAGGGGATCCGTGGAGAGGACCACCAGTGACGGCCTGCAGGGGTGGCGAGGAGGCCTCGACTTTGAGGATGAAAAGGAGGCGCTGCCGTTGCCGCCCCCGCCGTCAGCAGTTGCAACCAACGGTGTATACAGAGCGGTCCCGACCCATGACGCGACGCCGAGGCCGAGTCTGTCAAGCTCGCGGTATGCTACGGAATTTGATGACCTTGATTCTGATGAGAAAATGGGCGAACTAAGAAAGTCATGAGCGGGCTCCTTTTTTCTTTTTCTTTTTTTCCCCGGTTCACTTCCAAACCCCATCTCCCCACATTAGGTCTTTCGGAAAAAAGCCTTTCAATAATACTACCAGATTTGGGCGGTTTTACACATACAAATATAGCAGCATCATCATCATGGCCTTTTTCTCATTTTTCCTTGTACAATTTCAAGTAGATAGTCTCCTGAATTGACCACGCGGCTGACAATTAGTCACACAACTTTTCCTCTGCAATTGTACAGTGTATAAGCTTGTATTTGGCTTCTAAAGACATCGTATTTCTGTTAGCAAGTAATGGTCGTAAAAACCCTCAGCACTTCGACAATGTCAAGTCTCGAGTCGTGAAAAATAGGTTGCGGTTCATCAGGAGAATCTATCATTATCTCTAGTATTTCCCGGCTTACCATCTTCTAGCGTTTGTTCCAGACATGTACGACGAAAACATTGACTGCTGCAACCGTGGGTTGAACACTGGGAGGGCATAGCCAGGACCCCTCCACTTTCCATACTCTGCGCACATTGACAGTTCTACCTGTATTACCGGGCCGAGTAGTTCCCGTCACGCCGATGCGGGTCCACGAGCTTAGCAATAGAGTTTCGCCGAAGAGTAATCGTACAGTACGCAACATGTTGTGGCCTGTCGCGCTCATCCTGCAGGTCTGCAAGTTTTAAGAGGGATTCTGTCGTATTCGTCATCATAATCTCCCAGGCTACAGACTCTAGCCTAGAGCCTGTTCGAGGCAGTGTCGCAGAACGTGACTACAGGAAGTAATCCGGTGTGCCTGAAGACAGATTAGCACAAAGCCGGGAATGTGACAAGCCATCCCGCCAGAGATACAGAGGGTACTTACGTCTAGAGACCATTGGTTCGCCAGCTCGTGGGCATGGGTCAAACTGGAGGCTACATTGGAAAATCCAGTCAGTTGTGTTTCAACGCGTGTCCAAAGGGTAGTTCTCAAGACTTACAATGTGTACTTGAGATGTTCATCAATCTCCATAATGGCAGCCTGGTTACCGCATCTGTAGCAGTAGTTGGGTGCTGTGTCGAAGTAAGCAAGGAATCCTGACTATTTGTGTGTTGGTGGTATGAATCAACTTACCCGAGAAGATTGTGACCACATTGCGGTCCTGTGACCAGTTGTAGCCCTCCATGACCAGCTGGTGGGCTCTTGCAATGAGGGTCAGCCCGTTGTTGTGGTTAAAGGCCTCGCTGATATCTTGGCCGAATGTATAACCAGCTCCACGGGGTGAGATTCCCCAGCCGCAGCGATCATCGGGGTCAGACCACAGAAGATCGCACATGGGACCCTCGTGAGGCACCTCCTGGATGCGATCGAGTGCGCGAATGTTGTCAAGGGTATCGATGCTGGGGGAAAGACCACCGTGGAGACAGAAGATCTGGTTATCGATGAGGGCGGTCAGGGGCAGGTAATCGAAGAGGTCGGTGAAGAACTTCCAGACGTTGGCATTGCCGTATTTCCGCAGGCACTCATCGTAGAAGCCATAGACCTGAGTGATTTGACGCGACTCGTGGTTGCCTCGCAGAATGGTGATCCTCTCCGGGTATCGAATCTTGAGGGCCACCAGCAGCGTCACCGTTTCGACAGAGTAGTAGCCACGGTCAACGTAATCACCCATGAACAGGTAGTTGGTGTCGGGGTTAGGTCCACCAATCTTGAACAGCTCCATCAAGTCGTGGAACTGGCCGTGAATGTCACCACACACTGTGACTGGGCATTTCTACCGCGGCGAAAGATTAGCAATCCGAAAGGAGGGCAATTGCCAAATGTGGCACAAATCGGGATATCACATACCACTGGCTGAACATTTGACTCGGTTGTAAGGACCTCTCTTGCCTGCAGAGTGTCATGGGGGTCAGTATACGTTTGCCGCCGTGCGATTTCGAGGCACATAGGGGTGTGCGAGAGTTGTGGCGCGGCCGCGTATGCCGGGACATACCTTCTCACAGAGTCTCTGAACATCAGCCTCGGCCAGCTGCTTGCAGGCCATCAGGCTCTCAATCCATCCGTCCAGCGTCGGTATGGTCGCGGGTTCTGAGGTTGGTAGGGGCGGTGCGAGTTCGGCAGGCTGGCTGACGTCCTCCATGTTGGTATCCATGATGGAAATGGGGGACCGGTGTGTGAAATGCGGTGGTTGTGCGGCGTGTGTGTGGCTCGAGGCACGGGGTATCTTATCACAACAGCTTCTGTCGCGGGCTTTGGATTTTCGTCGGCGTCGTGATTGTGGACGTCACAATCTTTGTCGGCGCCGTTTGAGGTGTCGCGTGATGGTCTTATGAGGGCGCCACTGGAGGGGGGGTTTTGGTTTGAAAGAAAGCTGAGATGGTGAAGAGTCGCAAATGACGTTGGGTAGGATGAGCAGGGGGCACCGCACCAGCAGGACCTATTAGCGTAGTTTGAGGACAGAGGGAATGCAAATCATCAACCAGTGCAGTCCGTCCAGCCAAAAAGTCAAGGTCAGGCTGCGCTGCGGGGCACAAGATCGGAGAGGGCTGAGGAATAGGAAGAATTGGGATCGGGGTTTTGGACAACTACGACCAAATCGACAGTCAATCCTCGAGATGAATCGATTGAGACCTCGAATATTCCGGGAGCAAAAAGCAGAAGGCCAATCAGTTGCCCTTGGCGTAGATCTTGTTCAAAGTCTTTGTTGTTGTTGCCGCTAATACCTCTCCAAGGTCGGCTCGTAGCACGCGCGGGGCTGGCTAGCAATTGCTCCCTCTCTTTCTGAGCTGTTACTGCCCCCCAAGAAACCAAAAAGCTACTACCCACTAACCTAACCTAGAGCTGTACTGACTGGTCCGTGACTTGTCCGCCGATTCTTTGCTTTCCTGTCTTTATTTTGACGCAATCAAGAGCCTCAAACCCCAAGAGGTCCGAGCTCGCCCACCACATTCAAGGAGCAAGATAATGTTTATCACAGCCCAGCAAATATGCCTAGGTACTATCAAGCTGCATGAACAAAATCAACAAATAATTGAGATGCGTTTTTCTGCTACATTCAAGACCCATCATGTTCCCCCTCTCTGCCAACTGCAAAAGATGCCACTGCCCCAAGGCACCCGATCGCATACTACTTCAATACGTACTACTTACTACCTGAGAGCTGTGTGGGTAGATGTGAACCTGTCTGAACTCACTTGTTGGCTTGACGCAGATCATTGACATTGACTCCAGACCCGTGGGACGTAACATACTCACAAGCTCCTACTCACAATTCTGTCTCTCTGAGAAATCCTAGAAGGATATGCATCCATCCCCCTTGGCTCTTCTACCTCTAAATCTGGAACGCCAAGCTGATCTTGTTACCCGCCTTGCCAAACTTCGGCGACCCACACTGGCGACATAATGGAAAGGCTTCGGCATACCTTCAAATACTGTTACAGTCCGTAATCTTTGAATACTTTTACACCATGATTATTGTTGCAAATACAGCACAGCACTTTTTCAAGGCCAAAGAAAGTGACGATTCAACAAGCAGCATTAATGGATGGGCCAGATTAGGCGCCATTCCATCGCCGGTCTAGACTCCAGTCCAATTCTTTACCACACACAAGGCATCGATTCTCTGCCTAATCAGACATATAGGGTCATAATCAATTTTTAGGCAGACTCCTATACTGGTCCGTCCTTTTCATGAAACAATGGCCAATAAAGACTTGGGTCAGCACAGCTAGAGGCTCACGTGATGCCGCGTGTTTCCTTTTCCGGAAAACCCCCAATGGGAGTCCTCCAGGCTCCCGTAATATAAAGTTAACCGTGCATGTCGCGTTCTCTTTTTACATGAAAGAAAACCCGACTTTACTTGTGGCGATGATACAAATCTTTTTCTCTCATTAATCGTGAACCATCATGGCGACTAGAAGAAGTACTCGTCTGCAAAACATCCCGACTCAACAGCCGGCCAGTGACAAGCCAGATACCCATCTAGTCCAGGCTGTTGGAAAAGGGGCTCGGCCCAAGTCGGCATCCAAACCGTCAGCTTCGAAGAGAGCTGCAGCATCGGAGCCAGCCAAAGACAAGAATGACCAGCCAATTCGCAAAAAGGCCAAGGGCAATGGCAAAACATCGACTGTCCCGTCGTTGGACGTCAGCACGGTCAGCGCCAACGACAAAATATCGATTCTACCGCCAGAGATCCTCCACATGATTCTCGGCAGTATCAGCGATCAAAAGGACATGAGTGCTCTGGGCCGGACTAGCAAGATGTTCTACTCCGTCATGATGCCTCGACTCTACGGACGCGTGGTTGTTGCGTCAATGTTCCACGCCCACATTGCCAAGCTCATCCGCACACTCGAGCCACTTCTCAGCATTGCTCAGAAGAAGCAATTGAAAAAGGAAGGAAAATACAAAGGCCAACAGGAAAAATATCCCACCGGCCTCAACGAGAAAGCCATACCCGCCTGTGCCGGCTACGCAAAGCAGTTCGTAGTCGGATATTGCAACCCGGGACGTAAACACGACTATATCTGCTACAGATATGTCGAAGAGGCATTAAAGGTCTTGAAGAACTTGGAAGTTTTGGACATCGTAATATTGAACAAGTGAGTTCTTCTAGGCGAGTGTGAATATCTATCAACAGGACTACACTAATGTTTTTTTTCAGGTCCATAGCCAAAGGCATAGCATCGCTGCCGAACCTTAAGGCCCTGCGTTTGTATGTTGACTGCGCGTGCGATGATTTGTTACCGCTGGCGAGTATCAAGCAGCTTAGGCACTTGGAAATAAAAGTGTCTGGGGTGTTTAATGAGCCACGCAATGTCTTTCGAACAATTCTTCAGAATTCCACGACGACACTTGAAAGCTTGGCGATAGTCGGCGACAGTTATGGCTGCCAGATATTTGACGATTGGGCCGAGAAGTCAAAGGGAAAAATTGCGCCCGACTTTGTCGCATTGAAGTCGTTATCTCTCACTGGCCTGGAGATCACGGAGCAACTTCTCAAGGATTTCGACCAAGCCTTTGACTTTACCCAGCTACGTAAACTTCAATGTTCAACTTTGATAGATCCCGGTTGTCTATTATTCCCTTTTCTGACCGGTCGTTTCTCCTCGTTTCATGGTACGACAGATGCCCCTTTGGGGTTGCGCACCTTGAACCTCAACATGGACGAAAGCACCTGGTATCATGATCAGATGCAAATCCAGGCTCTATTCGAGGCTAAATGCAACTTCATCGCGTCCTTCGATACACTTACAACCCTAGAGCTCCCCGGCTATGTATATTCTGCGGATCATGTGCCAGCCAATCCAGGTTTCTCAGACTTGCTCCTGCGAGCGATACTGAAACACAAGAACTTGAGGGTTCTAAAGCTGTTACATTATGGATATTCAGATAGAAACCACTACCCACACCTCGACGCGAATATGATAGCAGCTCTTGTCGACGGCTTGCCCCAGCTACGGGAATTCGAATTTGTACCGATGGAAGAGCGGATGCCCGAAATCAGTCGAGAGCTGTGTCGTGCAAGCAATCTGGAGAAACTCAGTTGTGCTCCATATTCCGATGAAATCAAGTTGATCTCTACAATTGTCGGCGGCTTTCTATCGCATCTTCCTAGTCAAGTCATAGCGAGCGCCCAGAATGGCAATTTCAACTGGGAGGATCATTACAAGCTCAGTCGAATCACATCGAGGAGAAATTGGGAAATTGCATCAAATTTCCGAAAGGTGAAGAGAGGTAGCGAAAAGCCAGAAAAGATCCAAGTCGATGGGCTTGGCTGGGAACATGGTGTCAAGTATCGCTATGTGCCCGACCTTGTCAGAATCCATGTTGGATACGACCCGGATTTTCCTTTCTTGAAGCAGGCAGAAAATTGCCTGTCATAGATTTCAAAATGGAGTCGAAAATAGAACATTCAGTCTTGCCCCATCTCCTTCGTGTTTATGTGCCTGTGATATTACAATCGTCAGGCAACCTTTCACTTTTCTCGATACGATGAATGCTCTCTGTTTCCTATCTCCGTTACCGCAAGATCAATCTTCGCGTAGACAATATGACCGAGCTTGCATTATGTTTTCCACCCTTGGATGACCTCTTTCAACGCAAAAGCGCACAGGTGATTCCCGAATCTGGACCGATACATCACTACCTAGTATATTTAAAATCGGAAAAGGCAACAAGGCTCGACTTAGTATTCTGCTTATGGATAGTGAGCTATTTCGCTTTCTTCATGGCTGCTTTGGTGCGACTAAATTTAACTCTGTCAAATAACATCAAGGCCACTTTCTCTGGGAATTCAGAGACAGTGGGAGCCATAACCTTATTTTCAATGACTATCCTGCATGGTCTGTTTAGGTCCCTTATTTCCAGGGGCCCCCCTCTTATAGATCAAGCACCCTTGGTGGAAATAATTTGTTCGAGTATGAGTCATCAGTCATCAAGCTACGAGGATACAACCTTCTTCTTCTTTTTCTCTCTTTCTTCTTCTATATCAATGATCAAAATATTTACCACGTTCTTTAGCCCTTGCCGCTGTGACTCATTCCTCCAACCACCTCCGACTGGTCTTCTTAAAGAGGTGGCTCACCATCAAGGCAACTGAATACACAAAATCAATGTCTAACATCAATCACCTCGGGAGTGATTTTCGTAATGCCTACCGAATTTCGATTGTCTTATTGACGAGGGATCCACGACTTCATAGCTAGCAAGCAGAAGGAGCAGAGGGATAATGTGTTTTGGATACTTCGTACGCACATCAGCCCAGGCGCGATATTAACAATCATGGTACTCTCCTGGTTCCATGGTAACTTTGTGACTGCTATGTTGAAGAATTGAACCTTATACGCAACATTTTCTCTTGTGATGGTCTTTGCAAGAGTGGCCTTAGAGTGGCCTTCTTCGACTAATTCTCAACGATCAAGTCAACTCGTAGAGATTTGAAATTTGCCAACAAAGATGATATTTTCGATCAATTAAATCATGATCCATCACTCCTGCCTACCTAACCTCGCTCTATTGACCAAGGACGAGTATGTGATCCTTCCTATTTGGGAAGGATACATTGGTACCTGCCACTTTATAGTTCACAAAGGACCGGACGGCTTTGACAATGGACTGAAGCACACCTTGTTGATACTTTTTAGAGGCTACTACTACTTTAATTGGTCTTTCACTTGCCTTGATTCACTTTGTTCCTCTTCTTTCCTCTTTCTCTGATTTACCTTGCCCCGGCTGCAACTTTTGGTCCCCTGGACTATAAACACAGTTCAAAGTCATCTTCTCTAGTAAGCCTCGATCACTCTTCCTATATCACTACTGACTGACTGATCTTCCGATCATCTTGCAACAAATCCAACAAGCAATACAAACACTCCCTTACTTGGCTGAATCATCGAGCTCAAAACACCACCGTTCCTGTCAATCAGACCTTCTTCTTCTTCAAGATGCCGAAAAAGAGCAGCCGTGCCACCAATTGTTCTTACTGCGGCCGCATGGGACATGTCGAGGCCCGCTGCTATCACGCTCACCCCGAACTGGCGCCGCGAGATTGGGTCATCCGAAGACCTGGTCAGGGCCGAGGACAGCGCCGCCAAGGACCGCGAGACGAACGCAAACAGAATAACTTCATCCAACCGCAACCGTCACGTAATCAATGGGTTGGCACATCAACAGCCAATGGCGCTCCTGCCACAAAGACCAACCCAACTACTAACAACCAAAGTGGCAATTTGAATGCTGTTACGCGCGACATGACGAAATTGTCGGTCACCGATCAGGGGCAGGAAAAGACCTTCCGACTCATGGACCTTTCCACCGAATTGGTTCTGGAAGTTCTCGGCCACTGCGATGTTCTTGCCCTGACACGACTCCTGCGAACCAGCAAACTCACGAAGAGTCTAGTCGAATCACTTGAGATTATCGAGGAGATTGCTGGAAACGCCAAGATCCTCGGAAAACTCCATATTGCGGTCCAGAGATCAAAAGAACATCGTAAATGGTCGCTCCCTCTAGATCTTTCAAACTGGAACCCCGCCAGCATCTTGTCCAGTTACAAGTCTGAAATCTGTCCAACCTGCCCCCCTCACGAAGCCGACTTCAATGCTCCAGAGGGGTGGGAGGAACCTGTGCCACATTCATGGATGAAGCTAGTCAATGCCACCGATGGCATGTACACATGTTTCGATTGCTTTATTCACACGCCGGGCTACCGACTTGCCCTCGACATCGAGGAGTTTAAGCAAGCAGAGGAATGGATCCATGTGAGTAACCATATTGTATAATCATGCCATATTGAGCTAATCATAAATGAATACAGTACCGACCCGACGTTGGATTCGCCAAGAATTACCTGGACAACAGAGTTTGTCGTCACGGGGCCAGACTCAGCGGCCTACAACCGATCTTCTTATCACAAGAGGGCGGACCGACCTTTGCTCGGATCTCCAGAAACCTATGGGCAAAGGTTCGGCCTTTCGCGGACAGCCTCGGTTACGACGCCCGTGAAGTTGACCGGTACTATCTAGCTGAAGGATGCGATAAGCATACCCGTCCGGACATGTGCACTGCACCGGACGACATTAGCGACTACGACCCGAATGAAATTTGAGTGAAGCCTCGAGCGAAAAGGCCAAGAGAGATAAGGGGTCAAAATGGAAGACCGAAGAGTGAGGAAGCCGTAAAAAGAAGAAGAAGAAGAAGGGTTGAGATGAAGCAAGCAATGATGATTAGTATATTATACGTAGCCTCTCTCCTCTCCCATTTCATTGTTTCTATTGGTCAAAAACAGACCAGCGAGAGAGAAACGGATACGAAATGACCCAGCACATGAGGTTCCTTTGACAAACGACGGCGACGATAGTACTAATAGATATACCTATCCCAAGACCATCTGAGCACATAGCCTGTGATTGTTCATATGGAACTTGAAGCACTGAGAAATACTGCCAAAATGACTGGACCATAAAACCGAGCTAAGCTGGCCCCGGCCCCACTAGGACACCCCCAGCGTCCACTAATTTATAATGCAAGCTCCAATCCCCTGTCGCCATGCGTCAAACCCCAAAACTTCAAAAAATTGCCCCTCCACCACAGGTCAGTCATTCTTGAAATGTGCGACCTGCTCCGTCACCCGTCAACCTGAGGAACAAGAGATTCTCTGGTAGCGCACGACGAGATGGGCATCAACGAGTGGATGTCTGAGGTCCAGGCCGCAAGACCGGTGGCCTGTAAGTCACATCCTCGAGAGATTAAACCTTTGTGATGCAGTTATGCTGACCAATTCCCTAGACCTCATTGACCTCTGGCATCTTTACCGGACGCCGACCCTGCTGGTGACCCTTGGTGTCTTGGTCTCGGTCTACATCTATCTGCTCCTGACCCAGGATCGGGAATACTCTGTTGCTCTGCGAAAGATATATGATGAGCCGGCCAAGAGCGAACCCGCTCCTGCACCTGTGGTGATTAGTGAAAAGTCGACTGTGCCAGTCATCAAGAACCCTGCTACGAATGGACCCAAGCGCATCAAGGGCGAGCTTCGCAAAGCCGAACCGAAGCCAGCTGAGCCGCAGTCTGATGAGCCATGGCAGGTTCAGCCTCTGATTTTCTTCTCTTCCTTGACTGGCAATACCGAGAGGACTGTCAAGGGCCTGTCCGAGTCGCTGGCCGATGCCCTCAAGCAGGACTCGACCGCAGCCGAGAAAGTTCTTGCGCCCAAGGTCTTGGACCTCACCGAGGTGGACTATGACGAGTACTTCATTACTGCGCCCAAGGCAACGGAAACGAGCGGGGCTGTGAAATATGTGTACTTGTTGCTCATCCCCAGCTACAACATTGATACCATCAACGACAACTTCTTGGAGCATTTGCAGGAAACCCACAATGACTTCAGAATCGATACTGCGCCCCTTTCAGATCTCCTGGGATACTCGGTATTTGGCCTGGGTGATCGCGAAGGATGGCCCAGCGAGGAAGATGGGTTCTGTTTCCAGGCCAAGGATGTTGACAAGTGGATGGCCAAGCTGACAGGTCGGAAGAGGGCCTATCCTCTAGGCATGGCAGACACGAAACATGATCTCAAGGAAAGGCTGGACGAATGGTCTCGAGGTGTCGCCGACGTTATTAGTCTCATTGGCAGCACTGGCAGCTTGGGCGAAGGCGTTCCCGGAAGCGGTGACGCCGTCGAGAGCGGCGACGAATCCGTCTCTGGAGATGACGACGGCGAAGTCCTTTTCGAGGATCAAACGGTCGAGATCAAGCGCCCCAAGAAGAAGCAGACTGGTAATTTGGAGGATCTTGAGGACTTGGGAAAGATCATGAAGTCTTCAGGAGGTGGTCAAAATGGATCTGCGCCGATTGCTGTCGACTTTACCACTTACAGCAAACCGGCCAAGAAGACTGCAACACAAACCGTAAAGGAAATGGTACCGAAAAGCTCGCCTACTTACAACTCTCTCACGAAACAGGGCTACACTATCGTCGGCTCACACTCTGGTGTCAAGATCTGCCGCTGGACAAAATCTGCCCTGCGTGGTCGCGGTTCGTGCTACAAGTATTCATTCTACGGCATTGCGTCCCACCAGTGCATGGAGACCACACCATCTCTTTCTTGCAGCAACAAGTGTGTCTTTTGCTGGCGACACGGCACCAACCCCGTCGGCACAACGTGGCGCTGGGTTGTAGACCCGCCAGAGATGATCTTCAACGGCGTCAAGGAGGGACATTACAAGAAGATCAAGATGATGCGCGGCGTGCCCGGTGTGAGAGCAGAGCGATTCGAGGAGGCCATGCGCATCCGTCACTGTGCCCTCAGTCTCGTCGGCGAACCCATCTTTTACCCTTACATCAACGAATTCCTCGCCATGCTCCACGCCGAGCGCATCTCGTCTTTCCTGGTTTGTAATGCACAACATCCGGACCAGCTTGAGGCCCTTAAGGCGGTGACCCAGCTCTACGTCTCCATTGATGCAAGCAACAAGGAGTCGCTGCGCAAGATTGACCGTCCGCTCCACCGTGACTTTTGGGAGCGCTTCCAGCGATGTCTAGATATCCTGCGCGAAAAGCGCTTCAAGCAGCGTACCGTTTTCCGTCTCACTCTAGTCAAGGGCTTCAACGTCGACGACGAGGTGGAAGGCTATGCCGATCTCGTCGAGCGTGGTCTGCCTTGCTTTGTCGAGATCAAGGGCGTGACATACTGTGGCACCAGCAGCTCGGCGGGCGCCGGGCTCAGCATGGCCAACGTACCCTTCTACGCCGAGGTCCAAGAATTTGTCGAGGCGTTGAACAAGAAGCTCAACGACCGAGGCCTGAAGTACGGGTTGGCTGCTGAACACGCACACAGCTGCTGTGTTCTGATCGCCAGCGAGCGATTCAAGAAGGATGGTAAATGGCACACACGTATCGACTACCAGCGGTTCTTTGAGCTGCTCGAGGAGAGAGGTGCAGACGGAGACTGGAGGCCAGAGGATTACATGGGACTGCCTACGCCCGAATGGGCCACCTGGGGCAATGGTGGATTTGACCCTAGAGATCAGAGAGTCGACAGAAAAGGCAGACCAATTGAGGCCTAAGTATGATATACACAAAAGTTATGCAAATAGGTGAGACTGGGACGGCGTATGCGCAGAAAAGGTATCAACTAAAAGTAGTGTTTACCCTGTACATGTTTGAAAATGAAGAAATACAGAAAGTCGTTCGTCATTTGTCTATGGCCAACCCTGGCTATGAATTTCCGGACGTCCATACATGCATCGTGCTTACAGAGAATATACAGTGATTTCTGGTCCCTCTTCTTCCCCCTGAGGACTCCAGCCGGGCACAGAGACAAGTGCCGTTCCGAGTAGTATTAAAATCTTACAATGAGCTCTCCCCTTATCTTTTTATTTTCTTCCTTCATCGAGCTCATGGAATCAGACGACCGCTTCGATAGAAGACGATGACAAGTGTCGGATTTTTGCTTCTTCTTTTCATTTTTTTCAAAGAGCGGGGGAGTTTCGTCAAATAGAGCTTGAGCTACTCTGTGAATGACACCACACCTCCGATCCAGTTGTTTGACATGATAGCCCATTCGAACGCTGCTGTTAGTCAAGGCCCGGGTGGGGGATACCGCCAGTGCCGTCAATGTCGAGGGCCTTGTCGTAGGCAATCATTTCAGCGAGAACATCCAGAACTCTCTGTTGTAAGTAATCATGGTTAGCAGAGTGCTTCAACAGCGAGGATATCTGAACAAGAGGCGCAAAAACATGGAAACCCCCAGACCGCCTGTGGCCACGGGAATCGTTTCGAGCAACAACAACAACAACAACAACAACAACAGAGACATACCTTGTCAACAGTCTTGTCGTAAATTCCAATCAGGTCTCCAGGCGTAGGGTAGACCTTGAGGGCCTTGTAAAAGGCAAGGGCAGCCTCGAGGGTGTTGGAGGGGTCGGCGGCGAGCTGCTCGCCAATCTGGACGTGCTCCATGAAGTAGCCCTCGCGCTCATTGACACCGGCGGGGAAGCCCTCCTCCTTGGCAGCGTCGACGGCCCGCTGAATGTCCTTGACGCGCTCCTTGCCGGCGGCCGCGGCGTGCTCCTTCTCGTTGCGCACCTGGCGGCGCTCGCTGCGGCGCAGTGAGCGTCGGAACTCGGGGGACTTTCTGCGCTGGCTGTCAAAGTAGATGGCGTAACCTATTGGTGATTTGACATGTCAGAAAACGGCGTTTATTCCGTAGGTGAGGTAGCTTCGAGGAGGAAGATCGTGGTTGAGGAGAGGGCACAGCTGCTGTTTCTCTTCCTGGGATGTATGGTGACGTACCTAGCAGACCTGTTGCTATCGTGGCGACACCTATCGTCGCTATCGTAGAGTTTTGAACCATGCTGTCTGGATGTGTGTGAAAGAGACGACTTGGACGTGAATAGGAAGAGGCCTGGAAGTTGGAATCAAGTGTGTTTGTTGGATGTCGTGGGCGACAAATGTGTCTGAAGCTGAACGTTCGCCTGCGATAAAAAGAAGAATGGAGAAAGGCTAGCTTTTCGCTATGGGTAGAGCTCCGTCAATTGCTTTGGTTGCGCACACGGACGGTGACGGGCTGCCGTAATTTTTTTTCTCTTTAGGCCCGTTCAGCAGCCTGCCGAGCCATTAGCGATCGATGGGTCCCCCGTACCCGGGGGCCTGGGCCACTGTTTGTTTGGTGGTCAGGGATTGGTCGCTTATAACTATTTTCCGCTGCCGACCCTCAATGTCAAGGTCAGGCACTGAATGGCGGGTACCCAGTACGTACTACTGCCCTTAACGCCTGCGACGCTCAGGGTAGAGGTACGTACTCTTATCAACCCCCCCAAGAAGCTCACTGCAACGCCCAATGACCACGGCTACGATGCCGCTGGTAACTCCGACTTGAGCTTCGTTTCAGTCTACCGCAGTGTCCTGCTTCTCACAACAATCCAGTCTGCAATGCGGGACTTGTTCTTTCGTTGCGTATAGCGTTGCATATACTCTATTTTCCATTCTATACTCCATGTTGGCGCATCCTGCGGTTTCTGGTTTCAATTGTAGCTCTGATCTGAAGCGTCAATACGGGTAATCTGGCATCGCGAAGTCCGCTGCGCCCCCACAACCAACGCTCACCATGTCCGACGAGAAGAAAGGAATCTCGCTCCGTAGCGGGAAGAGAAAAACCACCCGTCCGGTTATCAGCGCGCCAAAGCAGATATCAGGTCCCATTCCCAACAATGCCGTCGATATACCGCGTAGCAGCGGCGGTGTCAAGCCACCAGGCCCGGGGCCCATGGCTCCTCCGCAGCCCAGAGAGAGGCCACCGCCGAACAGAGGAAAGACAAGTGACAAGGTGTTGCGCCGATACTCGACTCGATTTAATAATATTCCGGACAACTTTGACGCCTCGGCACCGCCAATGCCATCGCTGCCTACCTTTGACCCTTCCAAGTACGGCGCGCCACCTGCCGAGAGACGGCCACCCCCTTCGAGAGGCGAGGGAGGCCCAGTCGGCGGCACTCGAACAGCTGGCCCCGTCGTCGTTGATATCAAGGCCCTGAGAGATCCGGGACTTGCGCCTGACCAGTATGTCGCCAACATTCTCAGCGAGGCGACAGAGGACGAGATACGAGATTACGAGGAGAGTCTGCGGAAACTCAAGAGCCGAGCCGCAACGGATTTGCAGCAGAATGTCTACCAAAACCGCACGCAGTTTATCAAGATCAGCAAGGAAGCCGAAAAGCTAAAGGGGGAGATGCGCGCTCTGAGAAACTTAATCACAGAGCTTAAGTCAAACACGACGGCGCTCAGAAATGCTTCTGCGAATACCAGCGCAACCCTCAATGGTGAGCTCAGTACTGGACTGAGTAAAAAGGATAGACGAAGTTCCGTCGCGGACCGCACTGCATTATGGAATTCCCAAATGCAGGCTTTGTACAAGAATGTCGAGGGCTCGCAAAAGTTCTTACCCAACTCCTTGGGAAGACATGTCGTGCAAGATGCCGGCTACTGGATCGAGCTCGACAATGCAACCTACAAGTCACGACGTTCGATGCAGATATTTCTTCTCAATGACCACTTGCTCGTTGCCTCGCGCAAGAAGAGAAAGGCAGACCAACCCAATGATGCTCGTGCTCCCATGACCAAAGTAGTCGCCGACCGTTGTTGGCCTCTGCTGGAAATTGAAGTGGTGGATATGGCTAGCACACACGAAAGCTCCAGTAGCAGGAACAAGTTGGCTGATGCCATCATGGTCCGTGGCATGGGTCAGGAGTCTTTTATTTACCGTACAGAGAAACCCGAGGACACCCAAAAGTCTGCTTTGACCCTCAACATCAGAAAGGCCGTGGAAGAGTTGCGAAAAGGATTGCAGTCCGAGATGGAAGCAAATAACAAGGCAAAAGAGACAATCAACTACTTTGCTTCTCGAGACCCCGGTCTTCTCGAAAAGACGGAACTACTCCAGACCTTGTCGGATATCAAAGACATGCTGATCGAGGTGGACGGCAAACAGCAGAATCTGAGATGGGTGGAGGGCCAAATGGATGAGCTAGACATTGATGTCGCGCTTCAACAGTTTGAGACGGCAGTTGCCAAGGTTGAGAAGCTTCGAGATCTTGCGAGGGGGCTAAAGAACAACACTATTGCTCAGGATTTCATCTACTTCAAGGTCCAAGAGCGATCTACGAAGCTGGCCGGGCTGATAACGAGAAATCTGGTCGATAATCATGCTCAATCCCAGAAAGCAAAGCGAAACGTCGGCTGGTTGACGCGTCTTGGATTCGAAGATCGTGCACGAGAAGCATATTTAGAGGCCAGAGGGACCCTGGTTAAGAAGAGGTCCAGGTAAGCAACGCATACCCGGCTGTGCCAGAACACATGACTGACAAAAACTAGACAAATCATCTTCCAAGGTGATCTTCACCTTTACATTTGGCAACTCTCGTTTGCGTATTTCAGTATCATACGCAACACCGTGGCCTGCTTCCAGTCGTGTTTTCCGCAAGCCATGCTCAGCGCATGTGTCAAGTGGGCCAAGGAAGAGGTGGAAAACTTCAACGTTATTCTAGCCCGGCAGCTCAGCAGTGTCGAGAAGGACGGCGAGGTCTGGAAGGAGTGCATGGAGCGCGCCAAGACGCATGCGCAGATGCTCGCCGAGGTCCACCTCGATTTCAGAGAGCTCATTGGCAAGGAGATTGAAGAAGAGCCGGTTGCCAATGGCGACACCAAGCCAGTAGGACTCGGAGTGAGTCAGGGGTAGATTTCAAATATCACATAGGGCCAGTCCCAAATCTTGGTAGGCTTGCCACGTGAGCGAGCCACTCTTGTTTGAAGGTTCGACGCCACCCAGCGCACTGTTTAATCTGGTTATGACCACAACTGCGCAGCGTCTATTGTGGAAGCCAATCGATGAATAATGATTTATACCTACTCCTGCTCTTTGATTGAATAATGCGATGGGCGGCAGCGTTGATTGTAGACATGATGGGGCCAAGCGTGTCTGTGCACGTAAAATCAACAAGATCATGAATGATTCAATCCCAAGAGGGGAGGATCTGCATATATTTTATGATAGACCGGGTCTTTTCTCTTACGGCCTGCTAGCAAATTGATCCTCTTGGAGAAAAGGCAATGAACATTGAAATCCAATATCTGCAATACACAGACAGATAGACCTCGCTGGACGACCCAGCAAAAGAATCAATATGACCGCGCACGGACCATAGCCACGGATACAATAAATCGAGTGCCCAATCCCACATCAAAGAAAACATTTCGTTTACTTTCAGAAATGTCTCCTCTTTATCCTTGATTGGCGCAGCGATAAATCATCACATGGACACACGTAGTCTGAGACAGCAAAGGGCTGTGAGTGATACAAATGGTTTCGATTTAGTGACATTCGAGTTGTCATTCCTGAAGCCAACGTCACCACCTGACGCCAGCGCAAACGAGATACCCTAATATGCAGCAGAAGGACCATAGTCTTCCGTCGTCCTTCACGGATCCAAGCACTGATACCAGCACAAGAAAATGCAGGAAATGAATCAGGAAGTGACAAGAATCGCGAAACCCCGAATGCATTAACCAAGCCCTACGCAATCATCATGCTCATGCCTCATCAGTGTCCAATGCCATGAGCAGCAACCCAAACCAGAAAAAGGAGGTGCCACCTCGGTATCATGAAAAAAGGGGGTCTCTATCGTGAAGGATACAATAGGCATGTCGCACCGCTAACTCCGCGATATGCCAAGAAGAAATGTACAAAGACAACGCCGTGGTGAATGACCAGCAAGCGAAAGGACTGGCGGACAATCTCTCGCGAGCATATTAATATGCCATGTTGCGCGATAAGATTAGATGAGCTCGAAGCCATCGTCCTCAACAACCGACGGTTCCTCGGTCAGGGGGACCGAGCCGCCCTGGCGACGAAGGTTCCGACGAGCCTTTCGGCCCTTCAACGCGTCGCCATTGTTATCCAGTATTTCGTATTCCTTCTCGACGAGCTTTTCCGTCTCCTTGGTATTGGTTTTGACAAAGACCTCGAGCGACAAGGGCCGGCCGGGCGAGTCCTTTCGGTCAAAGCTGTAAAGGAAACCGTCCGTGACCTGGGGTTTGCGACTACTCCGGTTCGGTGACGGCAGAAGCTCAATCAGCGAGCGGGAAATGGCCGGATCCATCAGCTCCTCCATGGCGTCGACCTTTGCGCGGGAGTAGTTTGGCTTTACGTCGTGTACAAACTTGGGCTTTACAATGTTGTGAGAGCGGCCGTGGGAGAAGCTGGCAAAGAGGAAGACGACGTGTCAGTCATCACGGCAACGTATATTAGGGACAGATGCGCAATCCCTTGCGCGTGGTATACTCACCTATTGTCGAATGAGCGCCCCGGCCGCACCTTGGCACGCTGGCTTTCACTTCCACCTACAATTGTCTCGAAATCCATTGTGCTATACTTGCAGCCAGATGATGGGCGAGTGCCGTTGGCCCACTTGGCATACTTTTCCTTTGCTCTCTTTGGGTCCTGGGCAGCACCTCGGATGTCACGAGTTACCTCAAAGGAAGCCATGTTGAAGAATTCGATGATGGATATTGTGGCAAGTTGGATGTTGTAATCGTTGGTAGTAGGTACAACACAAAGCAGCCTTCTCAGGTAATGCTATATGTTGTTACTTTGTGCCGGGTTCCTTTCTGAGAACCTGGAGGGTGTGGACGCAAAGGTGTTTGAACAGAGGCACGGCCGCTGTCCTTGGTAGGTAAAGTGCGTGTAAGCTGATTAAGTATTATGGATCGGTTGGGACAACTAAATTAATAGCTGGCACAGAGGGAAAGATGAAGAGCAGCCTTAGGACCGGAGTCGGAAGAGTGTGTCAGAGGGATTGCAGTCGGGTCTTTTAGAATGAAAGCCAACAGTTGCAAAGAGATGACCGAGTCACACCGTTGTCAGGCGCCGGGGAGTCTTGAGCAAGTATGAGGTAAGAGCTGCCTTGTTTCCTTGCAAACAGCAAGGCTAACCAAGGAGGAGGATTGAAAGATGCGCCTTTGTTCTCTGATAGTCAAGCGATGATTCGTCCGATCGATGCAAGGTCGATACAAGAAAAAAAAAAAGCGTCTTTGTTTTTTCGAATAATTAAAAGAGAAAAAAGTATGATTGACAAAAAGACAAGAAAGGTCGTCAGTGAATCAGTCGGATCTATTGCTTAGACAGACCGAGTGACTCAGATGGAAGGGTCGAGTATGGTAATGTAATGTTAATTCGGTATGTTGGGGGGGGGGGGGGGCGGCCTAAGGTATGCGCAAAGCAAACGGACTAGCGGATGCTTGTTCTCAGGTACAAGCTGCCCGTTATCAGTAGTAGCGATAATGCAAGTGTACTGCTGCTGCTGCTAATACTACTACTGGCGGTTCTTCCAGGGGTGGTGCAGCCAAGACAACGCAGAAAGTCGAACTGATATTCTTTCTCAAAGGACGAGCAAAAGAATAGTCTGATGTAGAATGATTGATAATGTTTGTTTGTTTTTGTTTACGTGATTGGTAAATGTCCAAATCAAAGAAGAAAAAGAGAAAGGGGAAAATGGAAGGGAGGGCGGCGCAAGGTCATATGGGGACGCTGGCTGGCAGACGTTGGGACTTTGGGGGAGGACCCTTATCGTGATCGTGTCAGGCTACTGTAAAGGTAATGTAGGTACATGACATTATTTGCACAAGATCTGGGAGAGAGTGAATCACCGGCCGCCTGCTGGGCATAGCGCGTGGTGATGGCAGAGGTCTGGATTGGGGGTTCGTCACTTGTACAATACATACCTACCTACATTTCATGATAACCTAGGTAATTCTTGTACCCATGTATCTACAACTACTACAAGCCAGCTTCCTTCCAACAAGCCTGGCAGCCATTAATGTCTGATAGGTAAAGGGTGTGTGGACAGACAAAGTGGAACATTGGTACAGTAATGCAATGGGCTGAATGGGCGAGCTATTCAGCTTGACTTGCCCGTGCCATGTACACTACGATAAAGCTCGGGGCGTGTGGGTTCATTCGATTCCCCGGGATGAGGTGATGATGCATTACAGAGAGGCCGTGTGACTAGTGACGTGCTGCTCCTTGGCTGTTCCCGGGTCCTCAAGTTGCCAAGTTGGTCGTTGTTGGTCTCGCTCCTTTTCTCCAAATATCGGTACATTGCATCTGGTGGATCGAGGCTCGCCTGCTGATTGCACTGCCCTCTGATTAATCCATTTGTTGTTGTGATGATGATACGGCTGAGCAAGGCGGCTTGTACACACGGTGCAATTCCTCGCTCCCCAAGCTCCCGTCAGCGCTTGTTAGTGCGTGATGCCATCAGACGATAGCCCGGGGATCCAGCTGCCTCGCCCCTGTTGACAAAGCTACATCATCCTCTTCTATCTTCTCACTCTCATTTCACCCGCTCAACTTGTTGCAACTGGCGTTCCCCGTACCTCAGCTTGTTGTCTGGAGATTCCATATCGACAACATTATTAATACACTATAGAAACAACACAGACCTCTAAACCCCAAAGACCTGAGGAACACAACACAGCCGAAACAGTTGCATCGAGCCAGCGAGTCCAAGCTTCATTTCCCCCACACTTTGTACTATGTATGTGCTAGACTAGTCTATCTCATGCTATACAGTGCTACGTTTTAGGTAACTGGACTGAGCTCTGATTAGTCCCGTCCTTGTTTACGTGTTGACCTGTCCTTTCTCCTGAAAGGCTGCATGCATGCATCTCTCTGGTCCATGGTAGCTCATCGGGAAACATCGGACAAGAGAAATGAGACCTTTATAACGTAAATCGGCTGCTATCTCCCCTTGACGCCAAGACGGCGAAAACAAATGGACGGTCGTGACCAGCAAGTCTGATTCGGCGGTTAGGTGTGTGTAGTATACTTGCCAAATGCTACCCCTCGCACACCCCTCCATCACGTTATCGAGGTCACCCCCCTTCTAACGTCCACGATAAGCCACGGCGTATCACAGCTCCCATGTGCCTCGGGGTCCGGCTTCCAGGCAGCTGAGACACGCGAATTGCACAGTAATCTGCTTGTCACGGTTGGCTTCCACGGCTTCCACGGCTGCCTTGAATGTCTTCGGATGTCCTATTCTGGACTATCCCACATATGGGGTATATATGTGACTCGCCCGGCCGGAGTCATAGAACGTGCATACATGCATTCAAGCTCTTATCACGCAGGATTCGCTAACCGGGCTGAGGGGTGGTCTTGGAGCTCTTGGTCCTTCCTGTTTGTTTCCCGAGGGCAGCAACTCGCCTATGTATTCATAACCGAGCTGGACACCTTGAGCAAGTGACAAACGGCAAACGCTTTCAATTCTACCAAATATGATCCACTCCATCAATCGCACTCTGGTAACTTCTACGAAAGGAGAGGTATAGTCTTGCACCGAAAAGGAAATGTTTCTACTAGTTCCATTGGCCTGGAGGTCGCACAAAAAGGTCGATAACCTGCAGATCCCCATGCAGCTAAAGCTTCGACGGCAACGTCAAATTCACATGGGATTTCGCAGGCACCTGAGTGGCTCAAGGGATACGAATGGTTGACAGTATACCTTTGAGTACAGCACCCACAACTACCATTTGTTCTAATTGAGAGCTTGATCAAGTTGATGGTCCACGATCAAACCTATGGACATGGCAATGATCTCATCATGCTGGACTTTTAGATCCTCCAATCATCATTGTCCAGATCATACCGTGTGTCTCTTCATTCCCCAGGTTGGAGATCTGAGGGGGCGGGCGCCTGATTGTAGTGCCAGTAAGCTACCTGCATTCAGGTACATCGCCCTAAACGTTGGCACCTTACAGTTGCCATGTACCTAAACCTCGGGTACCTTGCCTGAGTGCCACTGGAGGCCCCGATCCGACATCAAATCGTGACTCTGAAGCATTTGCTCACCTATCAGGTTTAGAAACCCGACAAACAAGAAAATGCATCCCTATTCACCAGCTGGAACTGAGTGAGCATTGTCAAGTATGACGAAGCGGAAGTCATCTTTATCCGGTTTCTGCTCCCCAAGACACGGTCCCAGATCCTCGTCTCATGCCGCTACTAGGTACTATCTAGGGTTGAAACTGGGAACCCGTGACTACATACACAGTAGCATATCTCAGCCTCGATTGGGCATACCCTTGACACCATGGACCGTGGATCCATGGGCCCCCCAGAAGCCCGACTACGTCACTCTGTCTATGTTTAGATGAAACCGCTGACTGCAAGGCCAGAAACGGCTTGACCGGACGTTTGCTGCTGGAGATACATGCAAATGAGGCGGCATCACAGCAGCGACCCGAGACAACACGTCCCTGACCTGGATCTTTACCATCTTGCACTAGCCTTGGCACACTGCCGTCGCATGGTGATGCCACGAGTGAGAGGGTTAAGATCAGTCAGGCCCCAACACCATATGCCTGACCAAGGATATCATCACAAGCAAGCTGGAGGCACACGGCGAAAAGTATGGCCATGGTTCTGAAACCTTTAGCAACTATCCGACTTGGGTGACGTGAGCATTCAATCTTTACAGCTGAGCTAAGACAAGCATATACAACAAACAGCCCCATGTTCATTAACCTGACTAACGCCGAGGTTTACAACAAAAGTTTTGGCGGTACAAATTCACAAGCTTCAAGCTGATAATCCAGTGGCATTCCTAGCAGCCATGCCCGCTGCTGCCCAGGCCGTGAGGAGATAACTCATCAGATTTTGGCAGCTCCTCGCGGTTTGGCATCAGCTGGCTTGAAACAGGCTTTCGCCGCCCAGTCGCTCAAGAACAACGGCATCTCCGTCTCCAACAGAAAGACGCTGAAGCCGTCCGTCTGCACTTTTTGTGGCGTGGTAGGTCCGTTTGTCGTCTTTTGAAAGTCCTCCTCGGCCGCGCCATGAGTCGTCATACTCCCGTGCAACCCTGCGACAAATGGTTTGAATTGCTGGTCACCATTTAGAGGGTGCTTAGGGTGCTGGACCGACACAATTGGCGCATAGAATTCGTTCATGGTGTTTCGGTGGAAATAGGGGAGCCACAAGGTGTCTTCCCCAACCATCCAGCGCGGCGGGATGACGGCAAAGTCGACGACATTCACGCCGGGTTCTCTATACGATGGCGCCGTGAGCACCGTAAACAGACTCGGGTCGTGTTCATCAAAGAGTAGGTTGCCCATGGGACAGTAGCGACCGAGATCGTATTTGTACGGGTAGTTTGTTCCGTGCCAGGCAGCGACATCGAAGACGGTATGGTCCTGCTTTGCTTCCCACAGGCGTCCGGCTTGACGCGAGATGATGCTCCATGTCGCATCATTTGCCACCGCTGTCCCTTTCTCGAGTTTGCCATCGAGAAACGCCTTTGGAACCTGAAAATCCCGTATGTTGGCCAGCCCAGTCGAGCCTATGGGACCAAGTTCAGGCAGACGAAAGTGGCCTTGGAAAAGCTCACAAATATAACCTCTCGCCGGCCCAGCCGGCAAAGTGACGCGGTATCGGATGCCCCTTGGGATCACGCATATTTCGTTCTGTCGAACAAGAAGCTTGCCAAGCTCTGTCTGGATATCGAGGGTCCCAGACTGTGGAATGATGAGCACATCGCCATCGAGCGACGAGAAGGCCGTGTTTGGCTTCATGGGCTGTGCCACGGAGAAGACCCAGATGGCAACGCCCGTCTTGGTGGCTGGATCTCCATTCTGTGCCAAAAGTTTCTGCGACAACCAATCTGCCTCTGCATCGACGGGGAATTTCGGCCACAGGTATGAGTTTGGCGAGATGACGCTGGGCTTTTTCGGCACGCCTTCATTCTGGTACGGCACAAATTCTTCGTGCCGAAGCGAGGAGCTCACACGATACATCCATGTCTGTAGGCTATGATCCCGCGGAGCCGTAAAGGAGCTGCCACTGATCCGTTCAGTCCTCAGACCAAAGGGAGGTTTCTGTGGGCTGTTGTTGACGAGCGGGCTTGCACCGGGAATCGCTTCAGACCTGAATCCACCTCTGGATCAGCACTGTCCATTTTAAACGTCAATTGAAGTAGTATAACTCACTGGTGATAGCTTCCAAATCCTTCCAAGTATTCATAAATCTCCTTGACGGCAAAGTCTGTTACTGGCGCCATTCTGGCATTTATTTCTTCCAAGCTTATTTACTTCGACAGCGAGTCGTAGTATTCAATGAGTGCCGTCGAGAAAACATTTCCCGGGCTCAGAAATATGCTTTCTCCTCATGATTCCCGCTAGTATTCCCAGCTCGGCCGAATGCCAATCTCTCAGCCATGGTGACATGTCGCCGCGCCCCTCCCCGCAACTTTACCCCAACTGTCACTTTTCCTCCTGCCTCGGACATCATACCCAGGTAGAGTTCATCCTCGGCACATGCGATCTATTATAAGCTGCAATACATGATATTCTCCGCGTTCTCTGGAGGCGGGGTTCTGCACTACCAAGAACATCTGACTTGGTGGGCAGAGCTCACGTTAATTGTCAATTACCCGACGATGAAGTAATGTACAATCGACTTGGACCCTTTTTTTTTTATCATTAATTCAATTGAAGAAAGTACAACTGACCACTGAAACAATATGGGATCTACAGTGACGCAAATCCACTATCTCACAATCCCCGAGGACAAGCATCTGACTGATGTCAATTCAGACGCCGGCAAGACATGGGCAAAGGCATTGGACGTGCTGGAAGCCCAATCGGGATTCCATCGTCTATACTGGGGTCGCTCACCTGAGGATGAGACAAAGGTGCAACTTCATGTTGGTAAGCATGGCGCAACAGTTTCCAGTATCCATTTCTTCCCAAGATTATTCCATCCTCGTTAAATGTCGAAGTTCCCTAGCATAGGGGACTGGACTTGAGTGAGGGGCTTCTAATGCCGGTGATAGTGAGAGATACACTGGCCCAGCACAAGGGCTTCTTGTCCTCGGCAGATTATTCCAAATTCAAAACTCTCTTGGAGCCTCTGCTGCCGTCCTCGTCAACGACCTCGTCAGATTTTCTAGTCCGGCACGCCCACATCCGGGACTTTACACCCGACCCGCAAGCCCTGGCGCGCGGCGCACCGGTGACGGGCACGGCCATTTACGTATCCACGTCGGCGGCGTGGCACGAGGGCGCGTGGCCGCTGTGGACGCACGTTGTGCGCCACGTCGACGGGTGTCTGGGGTGCACGGGCGGCAGCGTCGAGGAGACGGTCGACGGCCGCGACGGGTGTTATATCGTCTATGTGGGTTGGGAGAGTATTGGTCACCACGACAATTATCACCATACGGAACATTTTGCCAAGAACAGGATCATTGTAAGTTGCAACGTTTGTAATGTTTCTTTCCCCCCAAATATGATTCTCGGGAGTATTCCAGAGTGCCATAGTGCCATGGTGCCTTTGAGAAGCAAGGGGTTATATGAACATGTTCTGATCCGAGTTTTATTCTTTATTAATCACAGGGTAACAAATGCTAACACGTTAATACCCAGTTGAGCAAGGGCAATGAAGGCTGGCGCGAGTACGGCCACGTCCGTTTTGAGGGAAGTAGAGAAGGGCCGAGAAGTCTGCGATCAAGAGGGAAGGAAAAGCTCTGATTTGTAAATTGATTAATAGATACAGCCAGATGAAATGAGAGAGATTTCAATTGGGGGAACACAAAAAACATGGAAACCCTTCATTCGAACGAAAGATCAACTGAGACGTAATTGTCATTGTCACCGAGTCATATTCATAGTTTATACCCTCTGTATCTTGTCGAAATTGCCAAGGCTGGCGACAATGATAGAAGTCCTTAAGTGCACGAATCGAGAAGCAGTCCTTCTCACATGTACTTCCACTTGTAGATGATTCAACCCGATTATATGACTACTATGGCAGGTCAATGTGAGCGAAATTGCCCACGTTAAAAACCATTCGCAGTACCGCTGTCGGATCGTCTTATTTCCTAGTGTCTAAATTGCATTGACTTTAATGTCATGTCGAATATGCCGGCAGATCACACCGAGGCTGGAGTCGTACAGATCTGACAAGGACCGACAAGGCACACTCCTTCGCACGCGACTCGCGCAAAAGCTGCCTGCAAATCCCTACCCTGCGTTTCGTCGCCAAGGGCCGCAATGTCTGCCTCCTCCGTCAGAGCCTGTTCTGCTGATTTTGACTGGCAGAGGTCTTCCTCTGTCGCCAGCCAATCATCACTGCCAAGCAGCCACCAACAGGGGGCACGACGAATGTAGGCTCTAGATACTTGCGTGGGGCTGTGAAATGCAATTGCTGCAAGCTATCATTCTCGGGCACCTTTTGGTCAGATATGGGCCAACATGGGATTACATGTGATGGCATCAAGGCAACGTCTCGCGCGGGAGGATTAAATCGCGGGCCGTTGTCTATACGCCACCCCCATAGTCACAGAGTGTCTACAAAGTAGCATTGTGCCCATGTAGATGCCAACAATTGTTCGTCTTTTGCCATAAGGCTGCTTCTGCACGTCTCTTTATTTAGCTCGATACGTAGGTGGTTTTCTGGGTTTTGGCCCCCGGGCCCCTCCAAAATTTGGCCCCCGATACGGCAAAAACGGGTAGGTAGTCGGCACAGTCAGCATGAGCTGAGAGAATTGGAATGTTGCAGCCATATTTCATTCTTCCATGTCCGTCAATTTAGATCCTCGCGTAATCTTCTTCTCCCCTTTCCGCTTTATTGCAATCAGACTTATCCGGGACCTGGCTGCTGCCCCCGAGGAGAGACCAGACTCATAACTACCGCGCAGCACCATGGACGCCGCTCTCCAAGGGCTTTTCCCGCCCGGAACGGACCTGCGCACCATCCCGGCCGTGCCAGGCCCCGACGGACAAGTACCCAACTTCATAAACCCTCCCACTCTCACCCCGACCATTATTGCTGTTGGCGTCATCTCGTCAATCCTGGCCGTTATCTTTGTATGGGGAAGGCTATATGCGAACCGCAACGCGCTTACACTGGCTGACTGTAAAACTTTTCTTTTCTTTTAAAGTGAAAATTTCCCTAGGTAAAGAGAGTGCAAGTCTGACTGACTATGAGCAGATTTCATGATTTCTTCACTCATGTTTGCTCTAAGCAGTACTGGAGTCACCACTTCACGTAAGCCTAATAATAACACTTGGCTTTTGTCGCTTTAAATACTACTAACTTGGAGTTTTTGCTAATTGCGAGAATGTGTTCCTGCAGATAACCAGTTTAATAGGCACCAATGGGACATACCACTTTGTTGGGTTGATGAGGTATACTTGAAGGTTTGGACTAACGAGTTTTGCCCCGAATACTACCAACTACAATCATGACTAACTAGTGTATAGAAAGTATTTGCCCAAACACTACTCAACGGAGCAGCGCTCTGTTTTTCGAAAGCGTCCATTTTTTTCATGTTTCTCCAAACATTCTCCGTGTCTCCTGCCATGCGCAAGGCCATATATTTCGGCCTGTTTTATACGTTTTCGCTGTACTTTACTTTCCTCCCCCTCTCATGTTATTTCCTAGCTCCGCATCCCGGACACCAATGGGCAGAGTTGTTTACCGACGACGGCTCACAGCGTCTGATTCCTTGGGGCGTAGCTCAGGCTGCCTTGTCCATTTTGTTGCATTTTTACATTTTCATTCTCCCTATCCCCATGATCTCGAGGATTCGACTGCCTTACAAGAAAAGGCTGCAAATAATTGGAATTTTTGCTACGGCGTTGCTGTAAGTATCGTTCAATATTGACTTGTGCATTATATTGACGTTCTTCTGTCTAGAGCGGTTGTAGCCAGTACGGTCGGGCTTGTCTATCGCATCCGAGTCCTAGAGCAACTGCCCAACCTTAGTACATGGGAGGGAGCCATCGTTTGTATTTGCCTGTAAGTTATTATCATCACAGGGACTGGCTCTCAATACTCTCGACCGACGTTGACACATGTTCTTCTGCCCTAGTATCGTCGAATATAACGTCGCCATCATAGTTGGCTGTATGCCTGGCTTTGCGAAATTCTACAATGTTCACGTTTCGCAATCTTGCGTTTTCAAGTGGCTTGGATGGAGCAATGGAATGTCGTCTGCCCATGACGCCGAGCCCAAGCTGCACCATCCACAAATTCTTACATTTGGCTCTCCCAGCCCTAACAATCAAGCACCATACGTCCAAGTGACAGACACTATGCTCCTTGAATCGCAAATATCGTCCTCGGGCACTGTTATTCTTGATGGGGACGGGAACAAGGAAGGTATCTACCGATCCGTTCATATTATGCAGCATGTTTAGCTAGGCGGTCATGACAAGAAATGACAGAGGCCGAGGCGAAGGACGGGAATCAAAGACACAACGGCGGGAGTTCAACAGAGGTCATACCATAGAAGAAAAAACAGCATTTTAGACTAAACTCCGATGCGCTCCCGAATGGCTCATAGCGGTAGCTGTTTGTGTGCAGCCTCCAAATAGGCTACTGGTTGTCCGACAAGGGCTTGAACCACTATCAAGGCTCGGTCGATTTCATCTTGCATACCAGGCTCGGTTAAATAAAGTATCAAAAGCATGAACAGTAATGCAAATCAAGAGAACAATTATTGAAGCATGATGGACTTTTTCAACTGCCTGGGTGGAAAATGACTGTATGAATGCTTGAGGACGCTTATTCGACAAAGGTTAATGTAAAATTTCATTAAAATGATGATAATGATTTTCTTGTAACCACGATCGACCAGATGACATCACATAGAATCAAACAATGCCTGAGCTTCTATAGGTATATTTTTATTGGAAATTCATACCTTACTTGATGGCTGTTTGCTGATTGGCCCTGTCCCCATAACAGTATTCACAAGGTCGGATCAGGCCGAGAGTGGATGTTTACCTAGAGTTGAATACCTTGTGTGTTGATGCCCATAGTCGACTTCGGGACATGAAAAACCTGAAATTGATTTTGAGCAGCCGTTTCTCTACATCTGCACAAACGTTTCGACCTGAAAGTCCTTGATTTCGCGTTGCGAAGCCACAAGCTGCACGCCAGCCTGCAAGGCCGACCGAAGGGCTGAAAGCTGAACAGAACAGCCCGCATTCGGTAAGCGCTGCGGCAGCTCAAGCGAGTCTCTCGATTTGAGGCAGCCGACATGCTCTGGTCAAACCTCGCGAGACGCCGACAGTCCACCAGTGAAACATTCATCGGGACAATAACTGCTAGAGCCTAAACCATCAGAATAGTGGCATCACTTTTATGATTGACACAGTCCAAATACCGCTCGCCTATTTGTGTGTTTGAACATACACCATGTCCTCCTCGGAAGATGATTCTTCTCCTGATACCTGTTCGACCTGTTCTCGATACGCCAGGGAAGGAAGATTGGACTTTTCCAAGTCTGCAGTTGCAGCTTCCGCAGCAGTACATCAGGAATGCTCCGAATGCGATGCTTTTGAAATCGACGAGAGCCAACTCTGCGGCTTCTGCATTCACATTCGCCCTTCCCACTTATTAACGTGTAGATGTGTCCATGACCTGTACAGAACCAAGGTTTCGTCCATCGAAGGAGAATACAATATCGTGATGGGGACTCTATCTGAGCTGAAGTCGAGGCAGAGAGGATGCGCATTTTGTCGATGGTGTGTCGAGGCTATCCAAGCAAATGCTCGACTATTTGAGTATAACGTTGAAGAATACGAGACGATACGAATCGAGAGAGACATCTGGATCGAACTGCGTAATTTGCGCAAAGGTGCTACGATATTAGGCCGAGAAGCACACGCGTATGTGAGCGTCAAGGCCAAGACGTACCGTTCCTACCTTGACTCCGACCAAAGATTCCACATTGGCCACAATAAAGGGTATTGGAAGACGTCTGTCGCAACCGAGAATGTCAAACTGGCCGATTCAAGCCCGCACAGCTTCGGTGACTTTTCCTTGGCATCATCCATTGCTGATTGGGCTACTGTTCGGCAATGGAAATCAGTTTGCGAAAAGGACCACGGCGCCTGCGGTGAGAGAGCGGCGAGTGAACTGCCTGCACACTTTCGACTCATAGATGTTACATCGAGATACATTATCGATATTACCACCAGTCCCCCATCGTTTTTTGCACTCAGCTACGTTTGGGGTGCCGGTTCCGAGGACGAGATGACACTACGTCAAAACAACTTGGTCGACCTGCAAAAACCCGGTAGCCTGCATGAACTTCCGCGGACGATTGTTGATGCCATGCGCGTTTGCGAGCAGTTGGGTCAACGCTACCTGTGGGTCGACAGACTCTGCATCGTGCAAGATGACAAGCAGGACAAATACGGACAGATCAGGTCTCTAGAGGCGATATACTCACGGGCAGAACTTGTAATAATCGCGGCATCCGGAGACGATATGCAATCTGGATTGCCAGGCGTTGATAACACATTTCCGAGACAGCAATATCAATTCGCCACAGACGTTTTTGGATTTACCCTGGTAAACAAACTCCATGATTTCAGCTCAGCCTTGCGGACTGTCTGGAACGATAGAGGTTGGACATACCAGGAGGCCGTCCTTGCTAGGCGCAAGCTCTACTTCACTGCCGCCGAGATCTGGTTTGAATGTGCAGAAGGCATCAAGCGCCAAAATGAATATTCTACAACTTGGCCCAAAGCACGTGGATATCAAGCAAGAAGTTACACCAATGCTGGATCCAGCGGTGATGACTTTGAGGACTACAGATACCATCTGGGGCAGTATTCCAGAAGAATCCTGACATATCCATCTGATGTATACCATGCTTTCCGTGGTATTGAAGCTGCATTCTACCCCGGGAGTGAAATCATCCATGGATTGCCAGCATGCGACTTCAGCCGTGCGTTATTGTGGTCTCCATACAACAGACCAGAACTGCAAGAACGTCAGTGCAGTGACCAAGAAATAGTCCTCCCCTCTTGGTCATGGGCATCATTAATTGGGGCAATCGAAACTTGTGGATTATTTGGTACGAACAAGAAATACTACATGCATGGCTCTTTCTACTGCTCCCTCTGCAAGTGGGAGACTTCGGAAAATCAAGACGACCAGCAGGCTCTTCGCCAAATCAATTCTATTCACGATGAAGACGTCTGGAAAGAGTTGGACAAAATCTTTGCACGAGAGCTAGGCTTTGACAAGCGCCCAAATCATCGACAAGTCCTCGCTCTTGCATGGGCCAAAGGTTGCATCGAAGCAGATGTGCCTAATGATCTGTTTCAGCACGACTTCGATCCACGTCGGCTCCGATCGAGCTCTTCCATATCTGCCAAGGAATTGGCATTGCGCTGGCCGACACTTCAAGACTTCTGGACTGAAGTTCGAAAGAGGAATTATTGCACAGAAGATCCCCCCGGTCCACCGACTCTTGAAAAAGGGCACATCCTCACCCGCACTCAGTCGTCAACTCTGCGCGTCGAATATGAAGGCAAGTCAGCAGAGGACGCTTACTCCACTGAGAAATTTCTAATCCGTCATGCACCCACCGGCGCAGGCAGTGTTGAGATTATCGGATCACTTCTTGGCGCAGGCGAATATAAACTGCGTGGTACAATGCCGCAGGGGCAAGTGGCCAACGTGGATTTCATCGCCCTGGCCTTGGGATATATGCCAGGGACAATAACGATGAAGCTGGACAGGGAGACGCAGAGAGGAAATCGCTTTCATCAGGATCAGTCGAGCTATCTGCTCTTCGAAGACCAGCCGGGTGTCATTGTCATGGCTGTCACATGGACTGGGTCAATCGCTCGTCGATTAGCATTGGGATGGGTCACGTTGCAAGGCTGGGTGGACTCGAAGCCGACGTTTAGAAGAGTGGTATTGGCATGAAGAATGAAGTGCCTGCTATCTCAACAATTTTATACGTAAGTTTTATGGAAGAACTGAGCGTTATTGTTCAGTGAAGGAATGCTTCAAATTTTACTAGAAACAAATGCTCGTGGCCATATCGAGCAATCGAAAATTCAGCGTATTGGCGACATCATGTATGTTAGATTTCCTAGAGAGCTGGCAGTCTAACGGTTCCGAGTACTAGAATCATCAGGCACATCAAGGGTCGCGGAATTGCACTGGTGTTTGAATAATTTCTGTTATTGCACACGTTTGTTGTTGTCAAGAAAAGAAGTGCAAAATGCGCAAGTATGTCCTAACTTTGTGTCACGTCTCCCAGTGGTTCTGAAGAGCTATCAATACAGGCGAGGGTGTTGGACTGTTGTATCTCTGATATGAGACTGATCATTGATGTGATGTAGTAAGCCTTTCTATCTATACATATCTACGTCTCGTCCCATGGCGGTTAGGAATCCTGTGAAATATTCCTCCTTTTCTTCCTCCCGAGTGGCCCCCTCAGCCTCACGGGACCCATCCCATCATTTCACAAGTACATACTATGCCAGAGACATACTTACATGTTCGAGAATCAATCCTCGCGCCATCATCATCATCGTCATCATCATCATCATGTTGAATACTCGCTTATTTTTGTTTCTTTAATTCCGAGGTGCCAATCTCAAATGACGGAATAGTATCCAAATAGGCAATACTATATCCATTAGTTGATCAGCCTCGTGGAACGACGATGATAGCAAAAAAACGCCGCGCGATTGATATCGTTCTGCTACTCTCTTGTCCTTGTTCCCCCCCTGCATCGATCTAGCGGTCACTAGTAATGGTAGTGACAGACTCATCGTCATGACTTGTGTGTGCGCGAAAGGCTTTCTTTCATTTCCGCACACGACACGAGTACACAACAGAATCGCAAGAGGGAAGAAAACACCAAAGTCACAAATGAGGAAAGTGATCAACCAGTGTAAATGCTGGATCGAGCCAACAGAGAACAGGGGAGTCATCCAACGTTGCAATTAAGCAAGGGGGCCCAGAGCCAGACACCTGGGCGCGGCGACGTTTGTTTTTTCTTTGGGCGTTTCTTTTTCCATCGGAACTCGGGGTGGTGACTCCATGTCGGCCCAGGGCTTTTGAGTAATGGTGTCATTCTGTACTTGCCAATTCTGTTCTACGGGGGAAAGGGAAATCGCGTAAAAGATAGGACAAGCCAGGCCAGCAGATAAAAAGCACCGGGCAGGCAGACCGATGGACGCGGAACTCCGTGTATCTGGCCATGGACCAAGACTCTCTGTTGTTCAATTTCCAGGACCACCAGCAACACGACTTTTGGACTGACTGGTGTAGAGTATCCACAGTGGACTCGGTCTCCCCCTACCTAGACTACCCCATAGCGGCAACTGTGCGATCTCGTGGGCTCTGGACCACCTGGGCGTAACCGGGGGGGAAAGAGAAGAGAGGAGAATCGAGAACACGAGGCGAGCGAATGGGACTTTTACTATGTATCCATGATGGACTTACTTCGGATCGGTCAATCATCTCACGGCTACGTCCGAGCAGTTGATCATGTTGATCGATTCTGTTCATTGTCTATCGCGAAATAGATCCTCTGCAACAAAGACGCGTCCAAAGATTTAAAAAATTCTTTTGTCGAGAATATGACGGGAACGCTCATGCAACCCGCGGCTGTAACCTTGTCTCGACCGTACTTTCGGTTTTCTATTCCGAGGGTAGCAATAAGAAAAAAAACAGAGAGGCCAAAAAAAGAGAACAGACGAAAAGAAAGAAACCAAAAACAGGCCCCAGTGACACCCACCAACTCCACAGGTCTGGATTTTGTCCATTCCCTTCCTTTTTCTCTCCCCTTGGCTCTCTCTCTCTCCCCCCTCCACCTTTCTCTGGTACACCCCCAGTCAAGACGCCAGACGCCCGCCGAACGCCCGAGCCGATGCGCCAAGTCGGTTAGCGCCAGGGGAGAAAAGCACAGCGCAACGCCAACCAACGCCCTCATGCAGGTACCAAACGCTGGATCAAGAAAATCCTTCCTTTGTCTTCTGTCAGCGAACCGATTGCATACCTACGATTCGCTGCGAGCTGCATGTGGTGCGACCTTGGGTCCCGAAAGATCCCAGATCTGTCTGTCAAATCTCTTTTCTTTCTTCGCTAACAGTAGCCGCATACTCCAAGTGTGATACTGTGTACAAGATGATTTTAGAGTGCCGCTTTTTTCCCTCTCTCACACGTCACTGAGCTGAGATCCTCTGGGCGCTTCCTCAGTGCTACCCTAATGTATTCCGCGCAGAAGGAAGAGAAGGATTTTCTTTCCCCTTCTTTACCCCTGGCTTACTGCATCGCTGACAGAAGCTCATAATCCTCCACCTGTTTCCTTCTCTCTTTTTCGCCAGTCTCTTTGTTCCAATTCATCTTCCATTTCAAAGAGAGAGAGCAGGACACACACCGAAAAGAGGGGGAAATATTAGACCAAGGCACAAAACAAGAAGAAAAGAAAAGAAGCCGACCGTTAGTGGATTCCCGAAAGCGAGAACCAGAAAACAGCCACCGTGTGGAGCGCTTGCATCCATCCCATCCATACCTTATACCGAACAAGTCTATTTTACCTACCCTAAGTCTTTAGCCTTTGTCGGTGCGTCTGAGCGACTTTTCTTCCTCAGCCCAAAATCCATGACTGTAGTCTAGACTCCATAGTCGGTAATAGTTGGATACCCTTGACAGCGGTCAAAGAGAGTGAGAGAGAGAGAGAGAGAGATGCTCGGAAACAAATGCCCCGTTTAGAATGATTTGGTTTTTTTCTTCTTTCTTCAATGCTGTTGATCTCAAGTTGTACCGTCGGAAATGGCTCGGGCTGGACTCCTTGACCATGGTTCGGCGGCTCATCCGAACTCCATAAGATCGTCTGATTATCGTTGCCCCGGTTGGAATGTGATCGACGGTGTTTTTGTCGCGCGACTATACTACATACTACCCACCATGACTATAGCCGCCAAAGCGACGCACTGGAAGAATAATTGGAAAACTGGTATTGATTGTTGATATACAATGTTGCATTCACATGGCGATAATGGGGATTTGTTGTTTTTGGGTTTTTTAATTATTTATTATAAATGTTTTTTTCCAAGAAGTAAAAATAAATGGCATAAAACATGCACTTGATTCTCCAAACCACCCAGTTCCTAGAAAACCCCCCTAACTCAACACTATTTTCCTTTTATCCACGCTGCGTTACACCATTTGCCCGTTTGTCTTTGTCTATGTGGTATCGTGACATGAGTTCTAAAGTAGAAGAGAAATGTGTCTATTAAACACATCCACTCTACAGAAGAGCAGCAGCAACACCAACGGCGGCGAGCATACCCAGACCGACCTCGGTGCGGCCAGCGGCGGCAGTGGGGACGGCAGAGTAAGAGGTGCCAGTGGGCTTGGAGGGAGTGTAGGTCGTGCCGACCTCGGTCTTGGTGGTGGCAGAGCCGGTGCCGACGGGGTAGGTCTGCTTGGCGGTGCTGAGGGTGGTGGTCGGGTAGACGGGAGTCTCGGTGGGGTAGGCGCCGTTGCTGGTGGTCTCCTTCTTGGTGGAGGAGGAGGCCGGGTAGGTCTCAACGGGGTAGGTGCTGGGCTTGACCTCGGTCTCGGTGACGGGGCACACGGTGGTGGTGACGGCAACGAGCTCGGTGGTGACGTGGGGCTTGCCAGACGAGGCAGGGCAGTTGGTCACGGTGGGAGCGCAGCTGGTGACGGTGTACACGTTGGTGGAGTAGATGGTGCTGGTCGTGTAGGCCGTGGTGGAAGCAGAGCTGGCGCTGTACGAGGAAACCGAGGCCGAGGAAGACGAGGCCGGGTAGCTCTCGGCAGGGTAGCCGGAAGAGCTGGCGGGAGCAGTCGGGTAGACAGCCTCGGAAGAGGTGGTGGGCTCAACCTTGTAAGCGGCGCTGGCGAGGCCGGCGAGGGCAAGGACGGAGACGATGCGGTACTGCATTTTGAATTATGTATTTGGTTTTTTTGGTTTCTTGGAGAAAAACGTTTGTTGTTGATTAGAAATGAGTGTAAGTTGCGTTTGAAAAGTAATTAAGTACTTAGGAAGCGCGAGTTGTATGTAAAGAACGAATGACTTTCACGAGATGTGATGGAACGATCAGAGTTGATGGTTTGGAAGTAAGAATCAAGACGAAACCAGACTTGGAGGGTCGCCATATATATGGTTTCGAGTCGGGCTGAGCGGTCACTAAGCCAATAAGCTTAGTTTAGGAGAGTAGCACTCTGAGTCCCCTTCTCATCCGTCCTTTGCTGGCCTGGCTGGTAATACTGTGTATACTACACACAGTACACTGAACTCCGTACTCGCCGCCGCCGCCGTGCTCATCCTACTGGCCGCCACGGGACAAGGGGGTGCCTTGCTTAGGTCTCTCTACTATTCATGCAGGAGGCGGCCAATGATTAAATGGCTCGTTACATGTCGTATGCGCGCTGTGGTACGCTCATCACACCTTGTGCCTGACTCTTGTCCGGATTGGGACATGCCCCAAATGCACTGCCAAGCCAGACTTCACTGAGTCTTGCCCAGTCCTTGCAATCCATCTGGGGGCCCTTGTTCAAGTATGCATGGAGCAAATGAGGTTGAATGCAGAACACGAGCCTCCGGCCAATACGAGCACCGTCGACCCTGGTCACTGTCTAGTTCCCAGTAGCCAGGGGTGGACCACTTTTGTCCAATTAAGCTTCAGCCGTCTGAACAAGCAGCGAGGGGGGAGAATGGGTCAAAGGTCTGGGACCTGGATTCTCGACTTTGGGACCACTGCCAACATCCGTAGAGGGGCCACCAGATGGCTTGAACACCCCGTAAAAAGAAGTTGAGGCACCGGAACTCCCAGTACACTAACTCTTTGGTAGGTAAACAGGCATTACTCCGTGGAAATGAGACAGCTTATTTCGACGTCTAGGCGCGGTCTTTGCTCTCCTCTGCGCCCCCCCGGCGTCTCCTCTCAACACCTTTGCGCCGTGCCCATTGGCCCAAGGCGAACACCTCTCAGCTTTCGCTACCGTCAATTGAATCCATCCCCCTGGGCTATGCTGACAGGTTCCCCGAGAAGGAGGAACGGGTAAGGAGTACGGAATACAGTAAACCGTACCATTGACGGGTTGACTGATGACGGGACGCGCTCTTTGTCCTCTGCTTGCTCGCTCGGCGCGTTCAACTCATAGTAACCGGATCCATCATGATATGATCCGCTTTCCTCTTGTCCATTTCTTTTCCCGTGTGCCACGAGGTAAATCCCAAGCCATCATTTGCCGTGTGGAGATCATGGTCGTTGCCCCAATCGAGATGTGCTCATAACTGCATATGCTTTGTCGCGATTGCCTCCGAGACTGACTCACTCGTGCGAAAAGCAAAAATACCAGCCCGTTTCGTGTGTGAACAGCTGTTCGTTCGTTGGTTGTATTATCTATGCGACCCCTTCATTTGCGGCCTCTAGGTATCCCAGCTCAAGCTTGGGTTGGGACAGGGACTGATTTTACTGTCAGAAATCCGGACATTAACAACAAACACTATGCCATGCGCCTCTCAATTCCATAGGTATCCTTCTACTCCAGACATGCACTGTCCAATATGCCCTCATCAAATCTTATATACCAAATCTCCATCAGTGTACCTGTTGTTGTGAACACGTTAGCTTCTGTTTAGTGCCCACTATCAAACTCTCGGCTCAACTTACATGATCTGGTTAGCTGCGTCCATCTTCTTGAGCGCCTTGACAGCCTCGTCGCGGCTAAAGGCGCCGCCACTGCCGCGGCCTACCCGACCGTTCACGGCTGAGATGACAGCACTGACGTCTGCCGAATCGTCCTCGAAGAGGTCAGTGTTTAGAAGTTGTCCGAGCGATGTACGGAATGTGGCCAATCTCTCATTACTGATGGGAGCGTCGAGGTTGAGACCAGCAGCACTTGATGCCAGCTCAGCGTCGTCCTGAGATTCGTTTTGCAGTTGCGACGACGGCAATGACGACGCAAATGATGTGGCCTGCGACTGCGACGGCGCAGCTGTGCTTGAGCGACCAGCAGTGGCACGGGTGCGTCGCGGAGTTGCATCGTACAACTCCTCTTCCTCCTCTTCCTCCTCTTCCTCGGCCGCAGCTGATGAGCTCGGGCCCTTGCTGCCGGCAGTACCGTTGGTAGCAGCACGCTGGTCCTTTGCCTGGCCTCGTGCAGAGGCGCGAGCCGAGCGAGCAGCACTGCTGCGTGCCGCGGTACTTCTCAAGGCACCTTCATCGTCATCATCGTCTGAGCTCTCTTCGCTCGACGAATCCGACTCTGCCGCTGCCCTGGTCCGCCTTCGCTTCCTCTTGGACTCATCTTCGAGCACCTCTTTGAATAGAGCAAAGCGGAGGATACCCTCTGCAGCGGTGGTATCGCGCTCTTCCACGCGGTTCGACAAACGTGCCTTTGCGTGGGCGGTTGCAAGACGAATAATGGTTTCGAGGGTACGGACAGTCAGAGGTGAGGTTCTCCGTTGGTTGCCCTCCATCTCGTCATTGCGCAAGCCGACGTAAATGTCGGCAATACGATCCGAAGCTTCCTGGGTAAGAACAGGCTTTATTCTTGACTTGGCGTACTGTATATATTTCTTCATGAAAGGAATGCTCAGCACCTCTTTGCGCTTATTTGCACCACGGCCGGTAGTGATTGTAACACCGGCATGCAACATGGCATCAAATTTCTCGTAAACCTCAGTGGGCCTCTGGGTATCGTTTTGGCTTTGAAGTGCCACGCCCAGAGCTTGTGATGCATTTTCTCGGACAGGAGCGCCTTCATCAGTGCCGGCCTGGCGGTAACGGTGCATACGCAAGACGTGCTCTGATACCTGTCTGTCCCTCATGTCCTCAATGTCATCCGTGACGACAAACAACAAATCGAAACGGGAGAGGAGAGAATCGGGCAAGGCAATGTTCTTGTGCGGGTCCTTGTGAGTGTCGTATTGGCCAAAAATGGGGTTGGCAGCCGCTATCACACTACAGCGGGCATTCAATGAGGTGTGAATACCAGCCTTGGCAATAGTGACGGTCTGTTGTTCCATGACTTCGTGGATAGCAACTCTGTCAATGTCTGACATTTTGTCAAACTCATCAATACACACCACGCCGCGGTCTGCCATGACCATGGCACCAGCCTCGAGCCGCCGCTCGCCAGTTTCCTTGTCAGAGGTAACGGCAGCTGTCAAACCGACACCGGACGAACCTCGACCGGTAGTGGCAATGGCAAGGGGAGCCGTGTTTAGGACGAAACGCAGAAGCTGTGATTTGGCTGTTGACGGGTCACCGACCATCAGAATATTGATATCTCCTCTCAAATGTGTGCCGTTCTCCAAGTTCTTCTCCATACCACCAAGTAGCATAAGCAGAATTGCCTTTTTGATATAGTCATGGCCATAGATACTCGGTGCAAGAGACTGCGACAAGAGTTCAAAAAGGTTCTTCTTCTTGGAGATCTTATTGATGTTTCGGATATCAGTGTCGGTAATAGTTGCAGAAGCCACACCACCACCGGCTTTGGAGGAGAGGAGCACAACATTGTTGGCGAGAACTACCGTCTTGAATAGTGCGCTGTTGTGATTTGTGTTTCTGTTACCGAGCGTTCTGAAGATGCCCACCAGCTGGATTCTGTCACCCGGCTTGACCTTGTCGACCAAGTCATCATCCAGGATGACATCGACACCACGAGGCAGCTGGCCAGCAGGCGCCCGCTCAGGCATCTCCTGAATCGAGATGGTCTGGTGGTCACGATATGTGCAAAAACCGTACTCGGTAATGAGGGGGTTGCCCTCGTCGTCGACCAATGGGTAGACGCTTGATGTCGTTTGGCCGTTGGTCATGGTCTGGTCGCGGTACTCGCGGAAATGGAAAATGTTCTTGTTCTCATTGTAGTGTATGCTCTTGACGACCTTTGGTCTGATGAGCGAGGTTCTCGTGACGATACCCTCGAGAGAGACCATGTGGTTTAAATGGTGGGACGATAGCGTCCGCGGGTTGCAAGCATTGAGGCCGAAGCTTCCCGCCCAGGCGCAGTAGTAGAGGGACTCGGGATCAACATTGGTGCCTGGAATGGTGCCAACGACCTGCTTGAGGGCGTGGTTGAAGGCGAGAGTCCAGTCGAAAGGGTCGAAGAGGAGGCCCTCGGCCATGTCAGGGTTGTGGTCGCGAACATGGTCGATGTTGACTACCAGTCTCCTCTGGTTCTTCTGCACCATCAAGGCAATATCGGCGCGATAGCTTCGTGCATGTTGGTCATCTGGGTCGGGGCACACGCATCAGCATTTGGTCTCGTCTGGTATGCAGTCGTTTGGCAGAGAGAGGGCGGTAAATAATGAAAACTTACGGGGATCGAGAAACTCCTCAGCAAGGCGAATGCGCTCCTTCGCCGCTTCATCGCGCAGCATTAAAGAATCCATCTTGCCTCAATGCTTTTCTCTGGCTCAAAGTATGGTAAGGGAAATGGGCAGAGTGCACAGAGAAGAGGAATGGCGCACTTGGTCTTGTCTTTCAATCTTGCATGAATCTTAGGCGATTTCTCCATCGTCCATAGTGGGGGGAAAGCAACCGACCCTAGCACCAATTTGACGCGTGACACGCGACCGGACGCGTAAAGTGGTTACTTCTTTTGGTAGTCGCGTACCCCTGCCCATTTTACCGTTGGGACACTGTCGATCTTTTGCATATCAAAAGCAAATGACCGACACTTTGGTTCTATCATGTCCGAAACAAGCTCTCTGCACTACACTTCGCGCCTACAATGTTCGTCCTGTTTGATAGGCGACTTGAATGCAATTTTGTTTTCTGGTATCGATGCGATCATGTATCGAGTATTCATGTAGGACACCAGGTTGAAATACTGTGATTAGTCATATGTCATAATCACACGCTTTGACCACAAATGAATTCACCAGGATTGTTTCTACAAGATTAACATATTTCTATTCCTGCAAAATGACTGAACGCGACTTTTATCATTTCATCGCCCGATACTCCAAGCTTTTTTTTATGGTTCACCATGGACAACAAACACACAACATATGTACCATGGGAACATGACCGGTCTACTTGTACCATGGAATCTTCCTCATCTTCTTTGCTCATGCCAGCCATAAAAACTCCTAATTCTACAGTTATGAACGCAAAGTTCGAGCGCCAGCATCAAGCCAAGTCTCGATTACTTCATTCAGCGGAAGCCGGCTGCGGTTCTGGCGTCTTCGCAGTTGGCACTGCTTCCTCAACCTTCTTCTCCTCGACAGGCGTAGGCTCTTCGAGTGCGAGCTCATTTCTCAGGTCGGGCAGGAAGCGATCAATTCGCTTCCACGTCTCTACCCAAAGCTTCTCTTGCGATGGGTCTTTGCTGGGCGGTACAAGATAGCCGCTACTGGACATGAATAACAGAACGTTCTTCAAGTTCTCGGGAACAGCCTCCTCCTGCTCAATTTGTTAGCCGGCAAGCGCGGATCAATCCATTACAACGGACTACTCACCAAACTGTCGCCCTGACCACTATTCATTAGGCGATCCATGATGTCAATAATCTTGAGCCATAGATCTAGCATTCCATCCCACTTCGATAGAAGAACCAAGTATTGGAGGAAGACCTTGCATAGCAACGAGGCAGCCTGCACTCGTGTTTCACTCATGCCGTCGCGGTCCGACGAGTACACCTCGGGCTTCAACAGCTTGTGAATGAGAGGGAAGAGGACTTCACCAAAGATTGCCGTCCACTCCTCGTGGCCGCTGCTGATGAGTTCTGGAGATAGCAGACATCTCTGCAACGAAGAGAATGCCAGGTGACGTATCTCTCGGCAGGGGTTGGTGCACTGTGTCGTAAGCGCCTGGAAGATAGGCAACCAGTAGGCGGACCATGCTGTATTGAAGTGAGCTCCATGAATCCACGTCAACTCTCCACAGGATTGATTGACTCTTACCTTCGCTAGCCTCGAGGTGCGATTGCTTCATGAGATGGGGGATACGCGAGGTCATGTTGTGGATGAGATTTATGGCCTTGACACCTCTGGATACGACAGCATTGTCACTGTTTTTTCAAATTAGTTAGGACGCTTCTTACAAGCAAAAGCTTTCATGTTAATGATCTTGTGTTGTGCATACCTTGGCGTTTCCTTCTTGGGCCGCGAGCTCCTTGCCCGTTTATTGCCTGCATCGCCCTTCTGCTCAGCAACAGCTCCTATCTTGGCAGCAGTTGCAAAGTCATTCAGCAGGGATATGGCAGCTTCATAATTGTCCGCAATGATTGGAGAAGGTGTGCCTGATACTCCACCCTCAAGAATCTCAAAAACGGCGGCAGAAGAGCTGGCATTGCCTGCAAGGTTCCGCAGTAACACCCAGAAATCTGGCGAAGTCATGATCTCACTTCGAAGAGGACCTGGCTCACTGATGCATGATTTCAGCCCCTGCAGTACAAGCTGCGAGGTCTTTCCAAGAATCTCCTTGGGCATGGTAGAAATCGTGTGCAACAGAAGTGGAGCTCGGACAAAGTCGTGTTCCTGGCCAAACCGAATCAGAAATTGCAACTCAGTACACGATATTCGCTGGCTATAACTTACGTAGCTTGCCTTCAGTATATTGAATTGGTAAAAAGCAACTCTCGAAACAAGGATCGAGTGATGTCGGCTTGGTTCGCGGAGGACGGCTTGAAGCGCTTCAGAGACTTGTTTCCCGAGTAGTTCAACCGTTTCGGCGTCTCTGAGTGCAAGAACGGTACAGAACTCGAGAATATAGGTTACGGAAGGATCGTAGTTGCTCTGCTTGCGAGCCGGCTTTGGTCCAGGTGAAGATGGTATATTGTCTGATCTCACAGTGATGGCAGGCACCGTAGAGTTGTCGTCTTCCGGTATCTCATCGAGAAGAGCTTCGACGAGATTCTGTAGATTCTTCGCTGGAAGCTTACTACAACGCTTATTAGTTACCAATCTACTGATAGTTTTAGAAGAACTTACGAAATGTTTTCGAAAACGTCGTCCATATGGCAGGCATTCACGCAGTCGACAGTGGCCAGTGTGCTCTCAAGTTCTTCGGCCGAAGGCTCTGGTGGATCATCGGCTGCATAGCTCGAAATGTACGAAGACAGGGCCGAGAATAGGCCAGTGTCGGCAGCCTTGGCTCCTCTATCAATAACTTGAGAAGGTGGCTGTAAGGGTATCGCTGGTACGGGAAGTCGCTCAGAGTCAGTGGAGAAGGATGGAGAGATGAGTGAGTTGACAAAGAGATTCAACCAGATGCGGACAATCTAGCGGCGATACGTTAGCATGTCTCGTGTATAAGTAGAATGATTCTTGGGCAAGACTCACGTATTGCCAGCCGTCAGCTATGACGGCCTCACTACCCGTGACAACGCGGAACAGGACTAGAGTGGCTAACTGGGCCTTGAAGTTTCTGCCGAGCTTCACAGCTAGCCCGCTGACCATGACCGTCGGGCCATCATCTGAAACCTTCATTTCAGTGTTCAGAGCGGTGTTCGCCAAGCTCTGAGTAGCAAGTGTGGTCATGCAGCTCAGTGAATAGATAATGCGGTCCAGTGCCTCGGTAATGCCATATTGTGAAGCAATCTTTGCACACTGGTCAAAACCAGTGACAACTCTAGCAAAGACAGCATCGTCCGTCGCCGACATGAAAACATACGACAGCGTGGAGACAATTGGCTTCCATGTCTTTTGGAACATGTCCGCATCATAAATGTTTGTGTCGCAAAGAACCAGCGGGCCTGAAGACTCGGTTTTGAGAAGGAGTTCCCTCCAAGCATAATCAAAGGCATGCTTGTTATCGTGCTCGTCGGGCAGAATAATCTCATTAGAACTGATAGCGTCAAAGATGGCCTGAAGATATTCTGGCTCAAAGTCTTTGCCACCATTTGTGCCGCGGAGGTTTCGCGAAAAGTCAAGAATCGTCATGCGCCTCGACTTCATATTTGGATTGTGCTGATCGGTATTGAGCATCACCACAGCGTACGAAAGGACATATACGGCATCCTCATCAGCACAACCGGGGGGGATGTCGCTAGCAATATACGCCTTGGAGAAAGTCACCATGATGCGTTCAATAAGTTGCGACTCGCCGGGAAGACGGAAGCTCTCCAACATCAGACGCAATGCTTCGTCAACACGTTTCCCAGTGAAGTCGAACAGACTGATATATTCTTCGAGCAATTTTTCGTTGCCTTTCTTGGAAACGTATTCTCCAAGGACCGCTTTCGATATCCTCGTAGTGCCCTTGAGAAATCTGGCAACGGAGGCAGGATTAGTGAAATCGTCGATGATGCCTTCAGATTGCAGATAGACAAGACCCTTTTGAGGTTTTTCGTTGAACTTGTTTGCACCTGTGATTATGGTTTTCTTTCGTAGCCTTTGCTCGCGGAGTTTGGCTGCATCGGGATAGCCCTCCAAGACCGGTTCGTCACCTAGTCTGTCGGCGATGAATTGAATATAGCCCAGCAAAGCATCTAGGCAAAGAGGTGGTACACTGGTAGTGCTCCAGGTTGCAGAGTCTGGCAAAGCGCTCCTGGACAAGAGCCCGATCATATCTTCACACATGTCCGTTCGGTCGGTGTCACAGTCGTAGTTCACAAACAGCTCAACCAAAAAGCTTGGCATGCGAGCTAATGCCCCTACACTTTCGACCATTGCCTGCCGGGCGTCAGGTTTTCGTGCGCCTCCTTCCAGACCTAGCTTTTGGCGATCCTGGACCGGTACTGGAGTCGCTCTGCCACTGCCAGCCTGCCCCGGCGGCGGCTTGACCAGCTTCGGTGCTTGCGGTATGCCTTCGTACAGTGAAGGATCGATGCCAGGTTCTCGAGGTATCTCTACCGGTGGATGTAAACATGCGACAAGATACGATAGGAATAACTCTTGCTGCAACTTGAGAACGCCCCTGCAAGTTTCTAGAAGAGTTCCGGCAACAATCAGAGATTCTTGAAGAATGGCCATGTTATCCGACCGTACCAGCTGGAACAGGTATCGACAAAGCTTGTCCTCGGCAACAAAGGCTAGAGCTGGGTGCCGAGCAATGGACGGTCCTGCAACTTCGAGGGCCACATGGATTATACGCAGAGCCATGACACGCATGTTATCACCTTGTGTTCTATCATGCGGGTCTAAAAGATCCACTAGAACTCGGAAGAGCTCCTTCATGGACGGCAAGGAGTATGGCTTGATCTCGAGCTCGGAAGCGTCCTCGTCGATGCTCTCGTCTACTGGCGGTGGAGTTGCCTCGGCCTCGGTTGAGCTAGAAGACTCTCGAGGCTCTCCGGTCACGACGTTTTCAGGGCCGTCGGTGGATGCAATGACGTCGTTTCCATGAGTTGACGGGACCATCTTGACTGCGTCCATATCCCCATTCGTCTGCTGGTCCAATGCTTCCATATCGTCGCCGGCCACATCCTCTAGATGCTTGAGATGCTCGAAAATGATTTGGCACATCCGGACCATAGCAGCCTCAGCAGTTCGTCGCAAGAGCTCCGATAGCCTCGACTGACAGCACATGGTCAAACCAGTCTCCATCATCTCACAGACGCTCTCGTCGCTAAGCAGGGCACCCCCGGGACTGGACAGCATATCCTCCATCAAATTCAAGATCATAAGGAGCACAACCTCGTCTTGTGCTGAATCGCTGGCCTCAAAGCGGCAATGCGTTATTGCTGTGGAAAGAGACTGCATGGCAAGCGCGAATCGGGGAGACTCCGGACTGATGAATCCATAGGCAAGGAATTTGCGGATAGCTTTGAGTGCAAGTATCGTAATGGGTGCCGAGGTAGCGGAAGCTTGTATAACCTGTAGGAATGGGTTCAGGAGGGCGGGGGCATCGAATTCATGGATATCTGTTGTGATACCGTTGTTAGCATGGACTTTCGGTTGTGTGTGTGCGTATCTCCTTCAGGAAGACATTGTACCGACCTTTGCAAGTCGAAAGATCATGTCGAAGGCGACCAAACCCAGCCATCAGGGGATTATCCTGCATGCTCTTGCCCTTCTTTCCTCTCAATCCCCATCTGTTTGCTGGGCCAATGTCTTGTGCTCCGTCCACACTCAAAGTGGTCGTGTTGGAGCTCCTGCTGCCCGGGCGAAGGAGAGGGCTCGGGGGCCCCAGTTGGACCGGGTTGGGGTTGCCGCCGAGTATCGAGGAAACGGAAGATTGCGCCCATCGTGCGTGTTTGCGCATGACCGAGGTCACAGATATGCACTCATTGATCACCAGTGATACGGGGTTCACGGCGACAGACACAGGCCTGCTTCGGAACTGCGCACTTGGCGCTTGATCGGGGTTGGCAGCCATGTTCTCTGGGCCGCTGGATGGAACCGGCAGGGAGGTTTTCTCAGACTCGGTCGCTAGTTGACTGGCGGGGGCGGTATCGCTGTGCGCATCTCGACTCATCCTCGCTCTCGCGACAAACAAAAGTGTCAAGCAATGCTTGTCTTCTCCAGAAGATTGGTTTTTTGGGGCAGTACGAACAACCCCCAATTAGATCTGCAAAGCTCCAACCACCTTGTCTCCTGCCGGCTCGAGTGTACGTACAGCAGACCAACACGGAAAAATAAAAGAAGAAGGAAAGTTGTATCAGAAAAGGGCAAAGGTATCAACCGACTACGCAGGTTTGAAATACCAGAACAATGCTCGTCAGGCAAATAGCAATGCCAAAAGTCTGGACAGTTGTTCAAACCAATTGCGCAGGTTGTCTATGGGGAGCTTCCAGGTGCTTACCTACACATCAAATGCACATGGGGTCCCTAATAGTACTTAGTCCAAGAATATTGGGGATGCTTATTAGGTAGGTTGGCGCAGGCTGGTACCTATTGGAGGGTCCACGGCGGCGGCCGGGGGATGCTTGGATCCGGCGCTCGGTGTTTTTCCGAAGATGCCACATTGACTTCACAGCATACTAGGTGGTATGTAGGTTGCAACTCTGGAGCCTGGATGTTAGATAACGTCCACTATTTCCTATTACTGAAGCTCCAGCACCTAATAATGGGGCTTATTCCCCTTTTAACAGGTGCCAACATATTGTGTGAACACATCAGCATTGGATTTTTAGACATCTCTCTGACTGTGTTCCTTGCTTTTTGTTCTGTTGACAGATCATCTCTCACCTCGATAAATGTGAAGTTTTTATTACCATGGAAATGAGTCGTTTCCAGGTTGTCCCTGAATAATAGTATACTGCATGATGCAACAACTTCGAATTTGGAGATTGTCATAATTTATCGCGTCTCAATGTCTTTCTTTTGATCTAACGGTCAATTGAGTTTTCCCTGTTCCCTGACTCATCTTGCAATGGATACCTTTGAAAGCTGTATATGAATGTTCCATTAATCAAGACGTAACATGCACTTCCTTTAACGCCTGGCGTACCGCTCTATACAAACCAAGGGAATGTCCTTTTGCCCGCAAATATTCCATGGCTCACGGTTCATGCTTCTTTGGCACCAACAAGGCTTCCCTTCGTCTTTGCCTTCTGAGGATAGTGTTGTACATTCGGGAAATCCGACCGTCTTGCAACCAAACCATGCCCTTCAGGTCCGGCCATTGTACGGATGGAATGACATTGACGTTGAATAACACGACCCTTCGTGCTGGGTGGTGCTGACGTGCGTCAAGTAGTAGTAGTAGTCGGTAATGATGCAATTACCGCCATCATGACTCTGCTCCCTTTGGCTTTGTCTTGCCCTCTTTTCCATTGGTGGTGTCTTTGCCGCCATCGTTTTCGGATGATTTCGCCGAGTCCTGAGAGCCCACTACTTTCTCATTTGCTTCTTCATCGAGAGCCATCTGGGCCTTGTCTTTTTCCCATTGGTCGGTACTATCGCTGAAGCTCTCTTTGGCTTTCCTCTCACGTTCTTCCTTTTCCTTCTCTTCTTTCTCCTTTTGTCGTTTCTCCTCTTCCATCTCCTGTAGGCCTAAATTAGCTTCAATATCATTGGGACATGCTATGATTTCGACTAACCTCCATGTGCTTGATATCGTCCACGCTGGGTTCGTACAAGTGCCAAATGGTATAATGCGGCAGTCCAACAACTGAGTATTGCATTCGCTTGGCCATCTGTGGTCACGTTAGTAAGTGAGCCAAAATCAGGTTGTAGTCAAAACCATACCTTTCCGAAACCTTCTGTTTCGGCATGCTTCTCAAAGCTGAAGGCAGGGAAATGGACACCAGATCGGAACACACGAGCCTTGGCCAGAATGCTCACACCACCAACACCATCAATGTCCATTTCCATATCGGGGTCGCCGTACGGGTCTCTGAGGTAAGCCAAGTGAGGTCGCCATGTAGCATACTCGGCATAACCTTCCACGATGACAGCATCTTCGTCCAAGGTATCGGCCAGAGCAAGTGCTGTTTCTGATTCCTGCCACGAGTTGAGATCGTAAGGTTGTTCTCCGCCCAGCCAGTCAGGTAAAGGACGCCAAACATCTTTCAGAAAATATTAGTACCATTCTGCCCCACGAAAACGCACCACGGTTGCTTACTTGGAACAATGACATCCTTGTTGTGGCGCATGAGATCCTCGAGAATAGTAAAAGGTGCGGTCTCGACATCGACGTCGCGCCAGTATACCCATGAATGGTATGGACGGAGGGCGGCGCTTAGAAGCCAGTTACGGGCCTGAGCCATCAACTTTCTTCTACTGGCCTGCGCGGCAAAGCCGTGGCGACTCTCGACATCCTGGTTAACCTTTTGTCCGAAATCCTTTTCAATGATCTGAATCTCGCCGTAAGGCATTTTCTCGTCGTCATCACCCTGCAGATCCTCCAACTTCTCGACAAGCACTTCCAGGGTTCGGTCTTTCGAGTCCGAAACGAGAAAGGCAAGATCGATGAGATGATGAGGGTAGGTGAAGTTACGCAAGTGGGAGAACATCATGTTCAAATGGCTTTCGGCATCTCTGAGTGGTACGCAGAGCAGAATGCGCTCCTCTCTCTCCCAGCCGCGAGCGGTTCCTTGCACGTTAGACAAGTCGTAGTATCGCACTGTATCGAGCAGAATATCTTCGCTACTGCTGATGAGTCCCAACGAGAAGATGGAAATGAAGGTGCCGCTGCCAGGCCACACGAACAAGCCAAACAGGATCGCAACGGAAGCTATTATGCCGAGTCGTACCAATAGTTTCCTTCTCCGACGGGTCGCAGGCGTTGAAGCTCGAGGTTGGAATCTAATGGACAGCCAAGAAGCGTCAGTTCGACCTTTAACACAAACAGATACCACTCTCAGAGCCACATGTGCAAAGGAGGACTCACCTATGTGGAGACATGTCAAAGGTGTTGCCGCGAGGGTAGCCATTGGCATAGGCCCCGGAGTGATGCCGGGGCGTCACTTTGGACGCCCCGGATGATGCATATGAGGGCAACATTTGGCGGGCGCAAGCCCGTGGCCGTCAATTTACTGCTGGTGAATATGACTGAATGAATTGATCTGACCGGACGGCGAGGGATTCTTTTGTACGTGGGCGAGTTAAGGAGTAGTAGCAGTCGCCTGTGATCGATCGCGGGTGACCGGGGGGTTGCTGGAGAAGAGAACACGGCGGCCGGTAGAGGGTTACGGTGTCATTGACAACGTCAGTGTCAGGTGCAGCACATGTAGAGGGAAGCGAAAGCTGCACAGAGGCAGCGAGACGGATTGGCGGGACAGCTATGCTCGATACAAGGGCGGCGTCGCACAGGAGGAGTGGAAAATAAAAGGTGTCGCTTTCAGATGATCCTCTATCGTTAATTTGGTGAGAAGGGAGAGCGCCAAGCTAGAGTGTTACTTAAGCTGACCCTCTAAGCCAGGGTGGTGCTTATTTAGTTAGCGTGCGCAAAGCAGAGCTGCGACCCCTGGGGAGTGGAGCGCAAGCAACTGGCAACTGAAATCAGCAAACTGGTAGACTGGAATGCCGATTACGTAGCAGGGAGTGTAATCTGTAGCGTATCCTGGCTCGTTGGACGATCTATGTAAATGGAATACTGTCTGGCCAATTTGAGATCTGCGAGAAAAAGATGCGACTTGACTTGTGGCTTGGAGGAAACCAAGAGGCTTCTCGCTAATGTCCTACCTTGGTAGGTAGGTAGGTACCTACGGAAACTCGTATGCGACATACGGAAAACAATTTTGCCCCGTCGTCAATACGACCGACCCGACTCTGTTCACGGACCCGGGGTTAATCCTATATTAAAGTTTGCACATCCACTTGGTGACATGTCTCAGAAGGGCATTTATTATTGGGTTTTCGGCGAAGTAGTGGCGCTTTGCTAAATAGGTAGGTTAGGTGGGTGGGCAGCTAAGGTAGGTCGTTATCTTTCTTTCTTCCCGTAGGTAGGTATTTAGTGAGGCTGGAATTCCTACTTGGCTGTCAGTCGGCTTAAACGCCTGAACATAAGGTACTGAGTGAAAGGTGAGCATCGATTTATCAATGATGTGCTTTGCTACCTGTAGCCCTTTTATTAGATTGGCGAAGATCCATCCGTTCAAGGTCCCCGTTCGAGGTCAACAGGGGTGTTTGCAACGTCTACTGTGTGACTTTTCAACCCGTTGTGCAACTCGCACTCACTAAATCGTGAATGTACTCACTCAGCGGGTTCTTCTTGTAATACAGCAATGAACCGCGAGACGTCAATTATAGTCTTTATTTTGTTTATCCCATCGGATCGAAGCAAGTTTAGACGAGCCCGCTCGGCAGGCGGTCGACATGTTTCCAAAAAGAACAAACTCCTCAAACTCCATGCAATGCAGCCATGGTCAAAGTCTATCTGATAGCGATTCTACTTTGCAGTCGTCGTCAGCCTCACCGTCTCACCGTCTCCTCCAAATTTTCAAAAAAGCGCGTCTCACTTTCTGCCACTACTAGCTCTTCTCCTCTCAGCTTCTTCTTTGCGGCGATGCTCTCCGCGCTCTTGCACACTTGGTCGATCTCGGGGGTTTGACCATGCTCCAAAGGCTAGAACGATTGCCGCACAGGCGATGATGGCACCAATGCGCATATCTTTGCTGAATGCGTCTGAGTAGGCATGCCTGACAGCAGTAAGTTGTGCATTTGTCAAAGTACTGGCGGCATTCTCTAGAGAATTGAGCAGTTTAGAGTCTACCACGCCGGCAAGCTGTGCTCTGAGGGTAACCCCCAGGACGGCCGAGGATGCTGCAACACCGAGGGCGCCGCCCAGCACCCGGGTCTGGGCGAGAATACCTTGAGCAGGTGCTATTACTTGGGTCAAAAACCGTTATAGGCAGAGGGGGGGTTGGAGAGCTGCGTATATATCGCGCCGTGGCCACTTACAAAGATCTCGGATAGAGGCTTGTAAGCTTCCGGACATTGTGGTCACGGCAGCGGACAGGCCAAAACCAAGGCCAACAAGCACCAAACATCCCAGAGCCTTTGCTTCGGGTTCCACAAAGTCTGATATTGTAGACTCGAGCCCGCAGCCCAAAGCAACTAGACTGCTTGCCGCAATCATGCTTTCGCAGATTCTGTCCTTGGTCTTATTAATGATTCCACATAAAACGGATCCTGTTGCACTGGCCGCGAGTAACGGCAGCAACATTATACCGGCTAGCAGAGAGCTCTTTCCGTTGACAACTTGCAAGCGAAGCGGGAATGCGTAGAGAAGCATGACAAAGCAGAAGCCAAGCAGCGTGGTGTTTGCAATCGCTGCAGCGAACATGCGATTACGCAAAAGACGCACAGGAAGTGCAGCTGCTAGGTTGTCTCCCCAATGATGTTCGACAAAGAATTCCCACGCCACGAGAGCAACCCAGCAAATGATGCCCATCAGTAGTGGCGCCAAAAACACTGCTGTATCGAACAATGCTTCGCTGCTGGCATTTTGGAAGGGAAAGACGACCAGCACGGCAGCAGCAATGAGCAATCCAGATCCAAGGTAGTCCAGCTCACTCCAGGTCCTTCGCTCAATATCAGGCAGATACTCGGGTTTTGGCCATGTGAAACAAAAAAGGACCATGGAAATGGCACCAAGTGGTCCACTGGGAATATCGTGAGTACAATCCACGAGTTGCCGCCGAGTTCAGACCTACTTTATCCAGAACACCCATCGCCAACTCGCATAGTGAGTTACTATAGGACCAGTATTTAGCTTATTTGTTTGGGACAGAAATTGGCACTGGAGGTTGCTTACAGATACCGCCCAAGACGGGGCCAAGGACGCCGCCAATAGCAATTACGGCGCCAACAATACTTCCAAGGAATGGCTTGGTCTTTTGCGGAGCCGCTTCAATAAGGATAACCATGGTCAAGGAGTATAATCCTACGTCGTTGAGCTTTTCTCACTGCCGGCACAGACAGGGTACTCACCAGAACCGCCAATTCCTTGAAGAGCTCGGCAAGCAATAAGCTGCGTCATGTTTTGAGCGAATCCGCAAGCCAAGGAGAAGGCAAAGAAAATCAAATATGCTCCAGCAAAGGCATTGCGGCGACCAATTATATCTGACAGTCGCGAGACGAAGACGGCAAAGCTGAGGTAGCAGAGTGTATAGGAGAGCGCGACCCAATTGACATTTTCCATTTCCTGGAAATCCGTACCAATGTTCAGCAAGCTGGCAGCAACAATGGAACTGTCCATAAACGACAATAGTAATCCGAGGCAGACGCTACGATGCTCAGTCAGATGGTATCCTGACCGTCAAGTGCAGGTGAGATTGTATACCTCAAAGCAAGAAGCCAGAATCGCGAAGCCGGTAGCTCGGGTCTCGCCTTCAGACTGGAACCTGGAGAGTCATGATCGCTATTTGTTGGTTCCTGTTTCGCTTCTTCCACGTCAGGCATGGCCATGATGATCCACAAAGTACAGCTTTGGTGTATCGCTCAGAGCATCTGAGAGACTTGGTGAGGTCAGTTTGTCGCAGAAAGTAGTGGGATTTCGAGGTGATAAGTCGCGATTTTTAGCAACGGCCAGGTTTATGGCGGGTTCCCAGGCGAAATCTAGGTGATGGGGATTTTATAAAGGATATGCGTGCAGAGGTTCAAGCCATGCTTGTCCAGGGTCCAGCACTAGATGGACATGGCAGCCAACAGGAAAACGACAGGAATTGATCCCAAAGGGTTCAAAAGAGCAAGATGATGGCAAATTCATCCACACGGTGGGTTGTCGACGGTCAAGAGAACCGCACACCACCGGCGGTCGGATCAGACGAGGAGGAGCTTATTGGTTCTTCCTTCCTCCGACGATGCCAACGACGAATCCGGGGCGACTTGGATGAGCACGGATCGTAAGTGCTATGGTCAGCATCCCAGTTTTCCCTCTCTTCGCACTCGCTTTATGGGATGGGTTCGGCGTTGGAGCGCCTATCATAGACGCGCTCGCACTCGCTTTACATACTATTCCCAGTCACTCGGATCGACCCCACACATTTTCGCCAGATTGGCATTGGGGGCACGTCGCCATTGTCTTAAACGGCCGTAAAAACGCATTCAAATTTCCAGCTAGCAAACTAACCATTGATTATTCCTGGTATATGAAACAGCAAAGATCCGGCCGCCGTTGTGGGCTTGCAGCTTTGACCTGCCGCTGTTGAGTCGAGTCATGTCATGTCATGGAAATGTCATGCGTCCGCCAACTCACACATGGCTTGGGCTGGCTGGGTTGGCTGCTAAAAGGCTTTCTCAATAGACCCGCCATCCCTGCTGTCCGCTGAAATCCATATCGAGTATAGCAGCCTGCCCTAAAAGGGATGGATATTCGAACCATGATCGGCGCTGTGATTCAATCAGCTATCCCTTTGAACACCGGAAGTGATACTTTTTTGCCCCATATAATTTCAACCAGTCGGCGTATGAGTTCGACCACCGATCCACGCTATTTTATATATGGTTTAGGTCGTGCATATATAGGCATTATTTATTAACGCGTAGCTTAAAAATTAATTTAATAGCAGACTAAAAATAGTTAATTTAGTATAATTATATAATAAAATAGTGTTTTATAGCCGATCCGTATTAAATTAAACCGGGGAATTAGCCTATTAAGACCTAGTGACAATATTAAACCTATTAATATATAATTTTTTAGTTTATAGCAGGCAAAAGCTTATTTAGTCTAATGCTAGGCGTCTTAATAGTCCTTTTTGCATAATAAGACTCCATTACACTCTAAGCAAGCCACCTTTAAATGGCTAATAAAGCTAATTCGGCGTAGTTTATTAAATGCACGAAACTAATAATAATTATTATATACTTTGCACTTTTACCGATCCGTAAATTTTATCTAATAATATTATTAAAATGGTTTGCCGTTAAAAAACTTTTACGTAATATAACTAATAAATAATTGCCTTTTTATTATTTATAGCTAAATAATTTTAATACCGTATTTTTTAATTAGCCTAATAGCTAATTATTTATATAAGCGTAGCTAATTGCGCCTAGCGTTATATTTAATTTTTCCTATAAATATAATTATATAATTTTGCTAGCGCTAAATAATATATATATTTACGAAAACCATATTTATTTATACCTAAATTAGCAATAAATTAATAATTAGGAATATAGGTTATATTTAATAGAAAATTAAAGCAAAATGCTTATTAGCTATTACGGCAAAATCGCCTTATTTTTAAATTCGCGTTAATTCGCATTTAATCGCTAAAATTAACGGCGCCCATTTTTTTATTATAAGCGTTTTAAAAAGCTTAGATCGGAAGGTTTTTAATTAGGTTAAAATCCTATTTTTTAGCTTTTTTAATAGCGCTAAAATATTATAATAAAGGCTAATTTTAAACGCTTATAATAAAATTTATAAAAGGCTAACGTATTATTTTTGCTTTTAAAAATATGCTGGATAGCAGCTTTCGCGTTATAATTAGTGCTTTTTTATAGCTAATAAAAGCTATAAATAATATTATTACGTTAATATTATTAAAAAAAAGGAATTAACTAATTTTGCCATTTATTATAGGCTTATAATAAACGTTGCCTTATAATAATAAAGTATCCTTTTTTAATATAATAAATTTTTTCGGTAAATTAAAAGTTATTCGTATAATCTTTATAATAGCTATACCCTAATTACGAAAATATTTAAATAAATTAATAATTAAAAAAAGGTTATTTATAAATACGTAATAATAAAGCCTAATTAATAAGACTTTTAATATAATAGCTTTAAGTAGTTTAATTATAATTATTTATATTATAGCTATTTTATTAGGCTAATTAACTAATATAGCTATATTAATAAACATTTTACCCTTATAATACCAGATTTAGTTAAAAAAATAACCGCTTTACGCTATAACTTACGCTTTAAAGCCTTATTTAATAGGTTTATATTTTATTTTAATAATACCTTTTATACGCCTTTTAAATTTAATTATCGCTTTATTAATAATAATTAAAAAATTAAATTAGCGCTAGACCTTTTTAACGGCATCGCGAAAATAATTATTTTAATATTGGATTTTTTTAAAAACGCTATGTTATTTGCGTTTTGGATTAAAAATAACAAAATTGCGAAATAACAGCTTAAATTTAGCACGGCAAATATACCGGCGAATTAAATTATATTATAGCAGATCTAGGGCTATACGCTAATAGTTAGATCTCTTTTTTTCTAAATATACACTTATATAAATAAAAATGCTAAATAATAAGTAAATTTTATTAAAATTCGTATTTAGCTTTATACGGTTTAAAAAATAAAAAAAGAATAAATATATAAATTCCGACTAACGCATAATATATTTAATATTAATAAATAATACAAATAATTTAATAAGCTTTAATAAAAGGAAAAATTTAAATAATTTAATAAAATTTATAATTATAAAATTTTCGTAAAGCTGCTTTTTAAATAAGCCAGCTTTAGCTAATAATAAACGCTAAAAAATAATAATTAAATTATAGCCGGCTAAAAGAGGATAATTTTTAAATATAATAATTAATCCGTTATATAATCTAATTTAATATAGCTATTAATTTATAGCTAATTACGGCATAATATTAAGCCCCCGATTTAATACCGGATTAACGAACGGGCCTAAATTTAACGGAATTATAAAAAGATTAAAAAATTTATTTTTATCTTTTATAATAGGTAATTTTATAGCATTTAGCTATAAATCGGATAGCCGCTAATTTTTTTAATTTTAGCTATTTTTAATAGCCTAGGCGTGGATATTATCGGCTTTATTAAAATCGGAATTTAAATTATATTCGTGCTCGGATTTTAATAATAGCAAATTAATTAGCTAAATAGCTATAATAACATAAATAATTAACCTAAAATAATAATAAAATAGCCAGATTAGCATTTATTTTCGTTATTATAATTTCCGTTATTTTTTATAAAATCCTAATATTATATTATAGCGCTAACAATCGAATTTTATCGTATAACTATAAGGCGATATACGGGGAATTATTATATAAAGGCTAAATTAAACTATGCGTTATAATTAACGATTTAATAATTATTAAAGATAAAGTCTACTTACGCGTAAAAACGCGTAAAAAGTACTCCTTAGTATAGCTAAGAATAAATAATACGTGGTCTGCAGCTATAGCCCGGGGTATCGTAGCCAATAATCCGGTGTGGTTGTATATGGGGCAAAAAAGTATCACTTCCGGTGTTCAAAGGGATACTAATGGATTTTGCTAAAAAGCCATGGATGCGCAAAAGCAGGAAACAACTTTGTGCTAGACAAACAGTCATGCCATTTGCCTTGATCAATTGCCCTTGAGCACATCGGCCCTCAAAGCAAGACGGGAAGCTGATGGTCCGGGCCGCAATGCCCTTGCAATACAATACAAGACCCGACAGGTGTGTTCTGAGACAAGGCACTCGACAACCTTGACCAAGGTTCAACGGCATACCTTAATACTGCTGGCCCAGTCCCTGCGACGACAACCCTTTTTATCTGGCTTCCCATCATTTATCTCATGATGGTTCCCATAATCAATTGCAACTTTTACTTTACAGACGAGGACGATGCGTACTCGCTGCATACGCCAAGCCGCCAATAAGTGGTTCTCACTTCAGCTGAGCTGCGTGGCCCCAAAAGAAGACACAGCGGTGGCTGTTCTAGGAACGGAAGTTCCACCTCGGCAATGAATAGATTTCAGGTGTCAACAATCCCTCTTTTATTTTATTTTTCCCTTTCCGCTCCTTGATTTCTCCTGGTGAGTTTCCAATAGTTATGAAATCTATATGCTTTGACCAGTTGTATACTGCTTCTTGGGATATCTTGAGTATCCACCCAAATTGTTTTTACAAATAGCAACAAGTTACGCGTAGTTAATCACTGACGCGTCGCACAGAGATCAGTCCACTCGAAATGCCAATCTGCCAGTGATGTAGAACAGCTGCAATTCATATTGCCCGTTCATGTCAATGGCATCCACCACGGAGATCTTGACCGGGGAAAACCATCTTGCAGATATGCATGGGCGGCCTCCCCGATTGTGTTGTATAAAACAACTGTGCCCAGGACGACCACGGCAGATTTGCTCGAGAATAGCATCCACCAGCACCATCGTTATGGTGGGTTAAAAAAAAAACCGCCTTGGTCATAGGCTACTTGGTGGCTTGCAGCTGCATCCAGGGGTGTGGCATGCTGCTGGCCAATGGCTGCAGTTTCGTGCGAAGAATTTTTTTTTCTTCTAGAACACACACATGTGTGTGCCAGTGCACTAAAATTCGAGTTGTAACGGCCTTTCTCAGTCGGCACTCGGTGATCGTGGAAGAGAAACACCATTCATCGGTCTTGAGCGCCTTGATCACGACTTTTCTCGGTGGCAGACAGAGCACAACGGGAAAAGATCTCGTAAAGAGGAGCGAATCGCACCTTTGTACACTCAGAAATACATAAACACGGGAGAAAAATACCGACTGCTTCTCCGTGTGTCCCCGGGGGAGGGGTGCCCATCACGCACTCTGACGCGGTTCTCTCCAAGGGTCGGTTGACTGCCAGCCTGCTTCTGAGAGCCTGCTTTGTCGAATGTTCCATGCAGATGTTCCATGCAGCTTCTTCTGCAGGCGAGAGCTGGGGTCTCATCAATGGTACGGCTGAGGCCATAATATCATCGTCTTTCAACGCCAGCTCTCCGGTATGGCATGACGAATTTGGAACGTGTTGAAGCTTTCGGGAGCGGTCAGATGCTGTTAGCGTTTCTTGAAATACGATCCTTCACCTTGCTTTACAGCCAAGATAGGGAAAAATGCTGACGCAATGTCCTATCAAGATCTGCAGATCTAACCTCCCTGTTCCCATGTGCTGACCGCCCGACAGACATTACACACGCGAACCTCCAAAATCCCCAGGCACAGCACTACACCGAGGCGCGCCGAAAGAGATTACTAGGTGGGAATGCAGACGCAAGAACGCAATAGCGTGTTTCGTGGGAGCGGAACAAGCCTGCAGAACTCGCAATCATGATGCCAATGACGCAGCCTTACCACTGCCAGAAAGATAGCTCTCCTCGCGCACATATATTGTGGTTGGTCGCTCTAGTTGTCTATGGTGAAATGGCCTCTTTGGCACAACACTCCTTTCCCTTTCTACGCAGACGTCTCCCACGGCACTCCTTTGGAGTTGTGCGTATCCTTCATTTCTATTGAGTTGTTACAGTACTTGACGTACCACCTCTACACCATTAGTTGTCTAGCAAGCTCTAGACGACGCTCAGGTATTCTCCATACACAGCTTGGAGTTATTCTAATCGAGACACAAACGAAGCCCTTCCTTCAGCGAAGCTGTCTGAATCCGTCAGACTTGAACCAGTATTGAATGAAACTTGTGCTAGTCACAACATTCATACACCCATCTCTATCGTCACAGCACGTACCGTCTGACTGTCCATCTATTCGTCCAACTCGATCACACACAAACACCTTCAGCCTCTGCGAGGTCACGACTAATCAACATGAGTTCTCTGCACTCCTCCCCAAATGACTGGTCCATGGCCGGGAGCTATCAATCCGAGTCAGTGCTTTCCTTTGGCCCTTTCTGCTTTGGTCATGGCATTCTGACAAGTCAATAGGTACCAATCTTTCAACCTCGGGTCTGCCTCAGGATCAGAGGAAAGTTCATACCTTCAGATTTCTTCAAACCAACCCGACTCCGATCAGTCGTCTGAAGTTACTGGCCGTCGCCCTCCTCCTACCACCACAGGTGGTGGTAGTGATGACATTCATTGCACTCATAGCTTGGGTGTAGAGCACTGCCTCTTACACTCTCACAGCGATCAGGACTTTGACAGTTCCTCTTCGGTTCAAAGGGAGGATACTTCTGCGAGTGATCACACCCAGGAACCAGACAACTCAGAGTCGCCCTTGGCCCAGGGGACTCCCGAGTACCACTACGCTGCGTCGCAGGCGATGGAGAGATACCTTGATGATGACTCGAGGCATGAGAGAATTGCTCTCGGATACAGCAGTGTTGTATGAATACGGGCGGGGCTGGGAACGGCGCCTTTGCTGGTCAAAAAGCCGCACTCATCGGGTTTTTAGCAGAGTTACAAAATCATTCGCAAGTGCTGGGCACTGGAATTATTCATAATTTGTACAATAGTTTTTCCAAGGGTAATCATGTACAAGGATAGTCATGTAGAGGGCTGGCTGGGCACGGATTTCAAAAGGCATAATATTGTTTAGCAGATAAGGGTCATCACCCGACTTCGGGCGGCGCTGCAGTAGGCCTTGTTCGAGGTTGCAAGCACTGTGCCATCTTGGGTGGTTTTTGACCGATGAGTTTGGGAAGGACAATTGGTGCTGTAGTGTTTACATCTCGAAATTGCAATTTTACAACACTTTTATACGCTTTTGTTTCTAAAAGTTCTTGCATAAATTTCTTTCGTTTTCAAAACATTATTTCATTTTTTTACGTTTCTGAGCAGATTATGTTCAATTACATTTAATTACATCTAGCCTATATACTCTTGCCGTTACTCTCTCCTCCCCAGCCCCCGTCTTGAAGCAGAAGAGGTCCATGTTATAGCCCCATGAACCTCTTCTGCTTCTCGATGGGCCCCACTAACAGCCGTCCGCTGATGGGGTGGTGGACTTGAACTTCATCTGGTGAGGGAATGTGTGTTAGCTTTTTCTATGATTTCTTCTAGTATTTTCTTTCTATCTGTCTCTTGTAATAAACTCGAGCACTTACACAAGTCAACCAGACTGGCCCCAGCCAACCCTTCCTTGGCCACGACCCAGGGGGACATGGCGGCAATCACGTCGGCCTCGCCGGCCTGGCCGTCCTTGAGGACCTCGTAAAAGTTGGCATTGAGCGCCATGAACTCGTCCGAGGCGTGGCCCTCGGCGCCCTCGGGCTCGCGCGCGAGCTGGATCAGCACGTAGGCCGTGTCCTTGTGGCGGCCGTAGACGACGTCGGCCACGCCGTCCTCGCCGTACATTTTGCGCGCCACGGCCAGGATGTTGGGCCGCAGCAGCCGGAACAGCGTCACGCTGCCCTTGTTGGCTTGCCGCCGGTAGCCGTTCCAGATGCGGTCCATGAGGGCGTGGGCATAGAGGCTTCGGGAGGTGGGTCTCTTGTTCTGGTGTGGCTCTGCGCTGTTGTTGATGTTGGAGGATGCTTTGGGACTCGGATATCGAATGGACTTTGATGATGCCTGGTGATGATCGGGCTGGATGGGCGATTGCTGTGTACTGTCTACCAGGAGCAGTCGTTTCAGTCTCGGGTCGTTGAACGATCGGCTCGATTTGCCCGTGAGCTTTGGAGGCCTGTACATCGTTGCTCGTTGTTCTATCGAGTGTATCCCTTTCGAGTGTCTTTGTTGGTCTATTTCCGTCGTTTCTGTGCACAAAGAAAAACACGCGGGTGAGACTTGACTGGCGTCTTGAATTCGGCAGTGCTCTCTTGACTGGGAGCTTTCAAAGAAAATTGGAATGATGCGTGTGATTTCGTTCTCCGTATCGTGAAAGAGGCAGAATTACATGGTTCAATACGGCAAGCTGGTTATGCGGGCTTGTTGAAGCGAACAAACACATAAAACAAGCACACAGAGCAAAGACTAGGGAGAAAATTGTTTGCTGTTCACATTATTCTTCTAGCTACAGAATAAAAGTAAACAAACGTCTAAAGCTTCGGTCCTTTGTTGACCATGTATTTGCGAGCCTGCGAGTCACATTAGTATGTATCGTCCGGGCGATTGGTAGCTGCGCGCATCTTACCTCGTTTATAGCATCATAGTCCTGGGCCCACTTCAAAAAGGCAGAACTGTTCATATCGGCATTCATGTCTGGCTGCGTATTCTTTAGTGATATGATCTGCCACTTGTCGGCGTGTTTTGTGCCCGTAGGTGGCTGGCTTATAAAGGCCTCGCTGTTGGCTTTTGCCCACTGCTTGATCCTTTCGACCCGCGGCCGCCTGATGCTTTCCCAGTCCGAGGTGATGTTGGCCAAGTTGGCTGTCGCGTTCTCATCCTGTGAAATGAGGTATTCCAGCACCCCTATGTCTTCGACAATCTGAGAGAATCCATGAGCAGCATTCGGCATCATCGCATGCTACAATAATTATAGTCAGTAAACACACAGAGATTCATAAGACCGATCCAATTAAAAGAGGAATCACGCACCGCTGAGTCACCCAATAAGACAACTCTACCATTTCGGCTCGTCCAGCGAGGGAGGTTGGGCATCTCGGCCAACCTCCATCTATCGCAACTATGGGTAATCTCGAGGACCTTGCACAACTCGGGACACGACCCGGCAAAGAACTTTCGCACATACTCAATATCACCCTTTTCATCCCAGAGCCCCTTTTGATCAGTCTCCCCCTTGATACCAAAGAGACAGCTCTGGCGGCCAAGCTTGCTGTTATGTCTGCACACGACGAAAGCCTGGTGGCCCATGTAGACATTGATGAAGGCATTTTCCATGAGCGGTTCCAGCTCTGGAATGCCACGCATCTGATCATCATCAAGGACCATGCCGTACAGAGTGACGTCGCTCAGAAGCGGATCCATCGGGACGGAGAGATCGGCCAGGACCTGGCTCCTGGTACGAGACCGGATGCCATCAGCAGCCAGCACAAGATCTGCCGTGGCCTCGGTACCGTTGCGCTGGACCACGACGACTCTTGACCCGTCTTCATCACGGACCTCGGTCACACTTGCGTCAAAGACGAGGCGGGCACCGGCGTCCCGTGCCCGCCGCTCCAGCAGCTCGATCAAGTTCTCGCGGTGCGTGCCCCAGTCTGGGTGATCGGCAATGTCAGCGGCGACCGTCTTGGTGGCCACGGCGCCGGTCTGCAGGCTTCGGAAGCAATTGGCCGGCGTGTCGTCGCTGATGCTCTCGAGGTCCTCCTGCAGGCCCCAGGTGTGCATGATGCGCGATGCGCTGGAGCGAATGTTGAGCCCGCTGCCGGCCCGCGAGACTCGGCCGTGTTGCTCTAGGACCTCGACCTCATGGCCTTTGCGCGCAAAGCACTACAATTATTTCCAATATCTTAGCTAGCAAATTCTCAATATCATGTGGGATATAGGTACTGTCAAAGAGTCTATTGAGATACTCGCGTTTCTACTCTCGTGTCCCCCGCTCCTTGACTGTGCCATCAATCATATGATGGATGATCTAGGTATGCAAATCCCGCCAACGCAGAGTGACTCCAAGTAGTAAAACATGCGGAGGCTATAGAGGTCGGACACTTACAATGGCTGCACTTAGCCCGCCAAGGCCAGCGCCGATGATGATGATCTTCATATTTGCAAGTATGGCGTCGTCTTGAGCAAAACGTCGGCAAATAATGACGCCTCCTCACGAGCATTTCACGTAGCCGACATGATGAAACGTTGTCATTCAATGGAGACTAGTGCTGATGACAGGGTCCTACTCTCGGCGAAAGACCCCCGGAGGAGTGGGTTTACCGAAGCGTTTAGTGGTCAAAGACTTTTGGAGCCGGCCAGTCATTATGTGCGATTGCAAGCAAGCAAGCAAGCAAAGAAACAAAACTTGTCCGAATGTCCATAACGATTCTCCATGTTGGGCTTCACAGTCACAATTGAGCTGGTCCGAAAGAGGAATCAAAGGGGTTACAAAGGAGGAAGGTAGTCAAGAGAAAACAGCAGCCGTCTTGCGGGATATGGAGTCCATCTCCGATGCCGACCCAACCTGCGCCGCGATGCCCTAATGTGGTTTGGCCACCGCCCAAGCCGGGGGTTGAATGACGGCTTCCCAGCTCCCGGGTTGGGTTGCGAGATACGGATAGATCCCGATCTCTCAAATATAACCCCGAGAATACGAGACCTTCTCATATTGATGTTTTTGAATTGGAATCACTCCGGTTGGTCGATATTACAATGGATGCTCAATTCTTGCATACACTCTATACTTGTTAATCTGTTGCGGCGAATAGTCTATACTATATCGCGGTGTGCTAGTTCATCTCATCTTTACTGAGCAGTCATTTCACAAGACCTTGAACATGAGTGATACTCACACTCAATCGTGTCATATTGCAAAATATGGAGCTGTTACACGATGAATGAGAGGACAAAAAACAAAAAAAAAGTCGACTCGTATGATGCAAAACGGCCATGATTCCTTGACCGAACAAGAACCGACAAGTCCTTTAACTCGCTGACAGCAACATGGCCACATCTCCATCAGCGATGCGAACCTTGATGGCGAGTAAAAGAGAAGGTTACAAGCTGTTCAACCGCCACAATTGTAGACGAGCGAGGGTTACACCAACAGCCGCACCGCCAAGGACGTACAAGAAAGAAGGCTTGGGGGATCACGTCAGCTCTGACCAAGCCTCGTGCGCAAAGCGTTTTGGGACTGAAATTTTAGAGCAGGCAACGCGAACCGGCTTCACCATGGTTTTGCTTTCAGCTACAAGTACCGTCACGCAAAGTCAAAGACATGAATATTGAATAGAAGAGAGAAAGAAAAAAGTCAGAGCAGGTATAAGCGACCCAGGGGAGAAAAAAAGTGGCTTGACTAGGAACAGAGCAGCCAGGTCTCGATCATGCACCAGAGCCAACCTATCCTGCCCCTCAATGTTCCGACAGAAAGAAAAAATTAAAAAAAGAACTTTTGCAATCAAATTCGCGTGTCATGACCCCTTTCACATCACATATATTTGGCGTGCTTGTGTTTCCATTCCGGCGGTTTCGTGCAAAGAGGGAACCATATCCCCTCCTTCGCCCATGCGCCAATGAATTATTTTTGGCTTCTGGTGTTGGAAAAGAGGGGAGAGCAAAAGATTTGATCCAAGATTGTTCGTGCTTTTACCGGATGGGGGTTCTCGGTTGGCTAAATGCGCCTCTGTTGAGTCATTGAACAGGACAGAAAATGGAATACTCGAACTATTCTTTCTTTAGGTATGGGGCAAAGAGGAACACTGGGGAATAGAGAACCGGCAGTAGTGAGTGGATATGGGGAGACAGTGTTACCAAACTCTCGCAACCTCCGGTACATTGTCAATGCGATTCGTGACATGACCTGACGATGTCTATTGCCTTGCCCCAAGCCTTTTTTTGGATGACTGCATCTCCACAGGACACAGACCTGCATAGCCAGCGGAATGCCATCCGACGAGCCTGATCGATGATGACGATGATGATGATGTGATTGCGAACGCGGACGCCGCTTGCGTGGAAATGATGAGGAGGGGGTGGATTAAGCTTCACTGTCGGAAAGGGACGTTCAGTCGAAAAGGATCGAGACTGCAAGAAAAGGAAAACCGTCAAACGTGGGTTGGGCTATATTCCACATCATCGATCCGGCTATATGTTGTATCGCTCAGTAACAAGAAGTTGTCTCTGACACACTCACACACATATATACAGAGTTTACATGGAGTCGTAGACATTAGAGGGAAAAGGGAGCGCAGCAAAAGTATATTAAAAAGGAATGTTTTTCGTGCTACAATGACGACGCGGATGCTCGATGCGGCCAGTGGGTGGTGAGTGGCATTTCGGTTCCCACGCGACGGGTCACTGCATTTCACATGGCGGGAAAAGAAAAAAAGAAAAGAAAAGAGGAAGAGTAAAAGGGTATAGGTGTGACAGGCGCTTACCCGAGACCTGGTCTCGGGTGATGGCGGCAGCTGTCAAATTTGCCGTAAAGCTCCGAGAAAAAAGAAAACAACAAGGTAGAGGTAAAGTATGATAAGGGAAAAAGATGGGCGAGACGAATGGTCTCGAACGCGGCTGATGTGCTCTCTCTCTCGGTCGCCGCGTGTGCGTTGGGTGGCACGACAGGAGAAAGGGGAGATGAGAGAAAAAACAAAGAGAGCCAGGAGATAGAATTCGTTCTCGAAACTGTGGATTGGGTGGAATGAGACGGCAATAGCTTCACAGATAGACTAGAAAGCCATGTAGACATTTCTTCTTTTCCCCTGTTTTTTCCAACTCCCTTGGAGCACATGCTAACTGCCTCTAATGGGGGGTTTTCCTCCCCAAAGTCCGCCCGGCTCGCGATTTTGCCCTTCTTCAGCATCTTCGTCGCAATGTCGTCCCCCTTTTGCGCCTGAACTGCTCAAACTCATCGCCGACCAGAGCCGATCACCGCCAAATGGTTTCCCCCCACAAGCGAGCCTATCGTGGAATGCGGTGTGTGTTCTCATGACCAGCCAAAAAAAAAATCGTGGAGCTTTTGCTACTATGTGCATAAGACTGGTCTTTTTTTCCCTACGCTATCAAGGGGGTTAAGTCATGGACAAAGGCTCGTAATCGGTTTCCCCGCGCTGGTCTTCCCCGCACATGAGGAAAACCCCAAGGGGAATGCGACCAGGGCAGACGGCTAGAGGAGGGGGTGAGAAGGAAAGAGACTCCTTTGGTGTTGACTCTCTTGATACCTACGCAGTCTTATCCGGCTAGGACCTAGGTACCACAACGGCTTGTGACCCAGGGGCAGCTCGATGCATATTACATAGCAGATGGTAGTACACACATACATAGCAAGGGGTCAGCCGAATCTTGACCCTTGCTGGAAATCGCAGCGGCGGCTACCTTTTGACGTGGGTGACATCGTGGCACAGAGAAGGGGGCCCCCCCGGACGATGAGTAGGTACATACATAGTATATTATGAATGAGTCAGTAGATAATGTAGTATAGCCTTGGCTCGCGACCGGGGGGGTCCCTTGCTTAGACGCTTGATGGTCTCTCGCTGCGGCCCGACAGTCCATATTGCTGCGCTCTTTCTATTGGTCGTGGGCTCTAGAGTTATACCCGCCCAATCGCAATGCGTCCTTTTTTCTTTTCCATTTCACCTACCATAATACAGACTACAGTAAAAGGTGTGCCAACCCTCCCCTAATATGTATCGCCTTGTGTGCCTATTAGCGAATGAATCAAGAAGCATCTCCATGCGAGACATTATGATCGACTGCCATTACCCTTGTTCCCTAGGTAGGCTGCCGACATTCATCAGCAACTAACTTGTTTCGTCTATGTACATACATAGTATACAAGTTTTGTGAATCTGGGGCTAAACTTCTCGGCCGGAAAAATTAATGCTTCCACACGCTCTCGAGACACGTTCTTCATGGTCCTAGAGTGTACGTATGTATATCGTACATGCATACATTAGCACTCAAATCACCAGTCTCTCTAGTCTTCTTCCTTCATAGCCGCCCCCCATCGTTAGCTTTGCGTAAGTAGTAGCTGCAACTTCGCCTCCACACCCTCAGTCAGGACTTATAGCCGAGGCGCAATGCTCAATTGGGCAAGTTACATAGAGACGCCAAGTATGACCGACGGCTATGGTAGAGCAGGCGTAGCCCATTCTGTCCTGTCTTACCGTTTTCAATGGACCCCAATCCTTCCATTTGGGGAGGCGACCATGCCGAGTTGAGAGATCGTCAGCAATCTCCTGCCAGCGTGGCATGGGTGTCGAGCTGCACCCCGGATTTCACGTCGGCCTTTCGGGGTCCCCACCAACTTTCCCCTAACCCTTGGCGAGCATCATTCACCATCATGCCCTCGTGGGATTATGCACTGATGTGGAGTGTGGAGGCTTCATCTGATTGCTGCAATTCTCTTCTGCTCATATCAAGTGACAGGCTATGTACATATCTTGAGACAACAGGCCCCGTTTCGCACACGTCATGCTCTCATCAATCCTCATTCGCTGCTTGGCTTTTTTTGCATTCTCCATTTCCCTCCAGAGCAGCGCAAAGTGCCCCGACAATGTCCATATTGGCTTGGCTTTCCCCCATATGTAGACACCACCACCCCCCAAAAAAGACGCAAAGAGGTATCTCGTTTTCCAGAACGATGCCGAAAGTAACCTTAAAATCAAGTTGAATGCAACATACCCCAGACTGGCCTTGCCCTAGCCAATGTCCATATGAGGCTTTTACTGAACGAAAGAGTAAGCCGCGCCGCCTATGCCGCCGGCTCCATGGTGAGGTTCCAGCATGCCGTAGTCCATCTGCATCATACCGTCGTGAACATTGCCGAATTGTGCATATTCCATCTCTTCCTGGTTACCCCATAGCATACCGTCCAGGTCCCAGAGACCCTGCGGATCTAGCGCACCCATCAGCCCGAAACCCTCGGGCTCCAACCCAATGGGCGACATGTGCAAGTCCGATCCGTCGCCCATGAGCATACCATGATCCGTCACCAGCCTCTGCAGGGGGCTGTGGGCCCGCATCGCCGGCTCTAGCTGCCGCGAAGCTTCGTACATGCGCCAGACAACCTCGCGACTTCTGCGCGCTGCCAGGGACCAGTCTTCCATGGCTTCGAGCAGCTCCAAGACAGTGTCAAGTTGCTTTTGCCAGTCCGGCACACGTGGGCTGTCCCATTGCCAGAAAATGCTGACCAATGGTATCATTGCCGCTTGGTACAGAAACCAAACTGCATTCCAGCCAGACATCTGGTTGCGAGTCCACTCGCGAGATATATCCTCGATCGTAGCCTTGGCGAGATCTCGGCACGCCTCAATAGCTGCGATGTCATGCTCAGCTGCGTGTGACGCACCACTGCTCGCCAGGTTGAGAAGAACGGGCCGGTGAAGAAGCATGCGTAGGTTCTGGTATCTCCACTTCATGATGCAGCGGACAATATACAGAGGCTCTGCGCAGGGGTCGGTCGTTCTTAGCAACCAAGGCAGATTACTGTACCAGTTGACGAGCTGTCCATCGAGGTGGCAGCGATCTTCCGCTCGTAGCAACGGAGAAATTGCAAGCATGTCTTGAACTCCCGTGGCAATTTTGCAAAACTTGATGTTCTCAATGAGTGGAAGGATGCCGGCATGTTGTGCAGAGTCGCGCCCAGAGCTGATGCCAGGCTCTGGTACTCGAATATTGATGGCCGGGCCCCATCGACCAAAGGACGGCCGGCCCATTGTAGTTGTGGCCCAGGTATCGAGGCAGAATAGACTCCACCAAGTCCGGCGTCGTGTCTCGGCAGCTACAGCTTCGTTGCTGCTGCCAGATGGAGAACTGACGAGGCTCTCCCTGTGCAGCCCGAGAGCACTGGCCATGCGAACTGCAGCGCCAAGCACAGCGTTTGCCATGTTGGGGCGGTTGATGTAGTGCAAGTAGTAACCACCGATCAAAGCGAGTGCCTGGACAGTTTCAATGTGACTGCTTCCAAATGCGTCTAACGGGAGATGCTCCATGGCCCGATTGTAGTAGTTGAGGTGGTTGTAGTCGTCCGATTTCATGGCAGCGATGCTGCCCATGGCGAATACCATGTTGAGAATGGCGAGCCAGGGCGCATCGCATCTTTGGCCTTCCAGGTAATCGGCCCGGAATGATGCTTCATCGAGCATTGGGATGAAGACATGTACTCTCTTAAAGTATGCATCAATGAGTGTCTGGCCCTTCCAGGACCATGGCACCCGTTGCGGCTCCTTCATATTTGTCGTCTTCTGTTTCATGGTTGGCAGGTTGTGTGTCATTTCAACACTGTTCAGAGGCGTAGTAAGTGAGTTTCGAAGACCAGGTTGGACTCTGAGCATGACCATTAGGGCAGCCTTGATGGATGAAGCCCCAAGGTAGGAAGCTTGTCGATCGACCGACAGTGATAGAGCGTTCACATCATCCGCTTCGACCGGGATCGGGTCCCTTCCTCGTCGCTCCTCGTCCCATTCCGAGTCTCGTGTTGGCACCTGCTCCAGGGCAGTAAGGCCCTGTTCTGTGGCGGACAAGGGCGGTGATTGTAGTCCAGCCTCAATCGGTGAGCTGTGGATCGGTGGTGATGGCATACCAGTTGTTGGATCTGTGCCTGGCCGGTCCAAGACATTGAGCAACTCCTGACGTGATAGAGGCAACAGTGATTGGACATCGTGGTTTGGATAGAGGCGTTTGAGTATTGCCCGACATTCCTCAAGAGATTGTGATAGTGCTTCCAGGGTTTTCCTCGAAGGGATGACGCGCTGCCGGTGCTTGTCGTAGAAACAACGCTTTGGTGCTCGGCTTGAGAGGCATTGCCCACACGGTTGTTGGCCGTCACACCGTCTTTGATTGTGTCAGTTGATCTCGCTTTGATTCCAGCTTGAAACAGAAAATATACTTACATTTTCCGACGCTTGCATTCAGCACATGCATGTGGTGTAGTGATACGCTTTGCAGCACTGCTCGAGCTCGTCTTGGAGCCCTCTGAAGAGTCTACGGACTGTTTTCGGGGAGTAACTCCTTGAACTAGCGAGTGTTAGAAGACCTGCCATCGAGTCCTTGGCCACCCAATGGTACTCACAGGTGTGGAACATCCCACCCTGAGTTGGGATGGGAATCGACGGTGCCATGACTTCTGTTGGTGGTGGTGATGATGATGATAAAGATGATGCTATAAACAGATCAAGTTGGGGTTTGTAGTATGAAATAGTTTAGTGTTGCTTCCTTTTGGAACTTGTTTAGGAATATAGTGAAGCGATCAGCAACATTGCCTTGCCATGAACCAATACGACGGCTAAGCGAACGGTGGCAGGTGTTGAAGATTTATATAGAAAGATGCATGCTCGTCGGAGCCGCGCAGTATGGGTATGCGGAGAACGAAATTGTGGTAGAAAAGATGATCTTCTTGTGGGGTAAGTTCCCGCCCCCCTGGACAGGCCTGGACAAGACACACCCATCTGCTCAGGTACAGTCAGTCGATCGATACTCGAATTGTATATACCCCCATACTATGGGATCGGCGGGTCTCTCGAGGTACGTACATATAGACACTGCACAACAACTGGACTAGTGCTGGACCCTGATCGTAGTTGGCAAGGTTGGGTCTCTCCAGGCAAGAAAGTCAAGGTACCCGAAAGAGAGCGGGTGACAACGTGCAGGTGGAGATCAATGCCGTGTCGAGTCGAATCAAGATGACACTGCCGGATACTCCATAGAAGATGGCTCATTCATCCATTCATTCATACTAGGTATGTGACGGATGGGTGCTCGCAGTCAGCCAACCAGCCAGCGAGGTCAACCAGCAGCAGGGCCGGCCGAGGCAAGGCAAGGCGGGTGACGTCTTGAGCGTAGTGTGGGCATCATTCGCCAGACAAGCGAGGAGGCGAGCCTGAGATAACCAAGGTACAGTACTGTATGTAAGGAGGAGATGATAATAATAATGATAATATGCCTTTTCTGATATGACGGTGTTGTATGTATTGTTGTTTATTATCACACAGACCAAGGGATGACGGCGGGAGTCTGCTTTAGTGGCGTTGGTTTCACACAAAGCTATACAACCTGGCCGGCTGAGGCTGTGAACAAAAGGGCAAATCGTACTGTCCGGACGAACGGTACATTGTTTAGTCCTGACGGCTAACGGCGAGATGGGCGAGCCCAAATGTTACCTTGGGAGACAAGAGGGCGAATTTTGGACAAGATTTTGAGTTTAAGCCGAGTTAAGATGAAGTTGCGAAGGAAGAAAGCCGGGCATGGGTCTGAACTGTCTGTCTGTCTACCCAAGGTGTGTACTTGTTGGTCGATTCGCTCCTTTCTGCACCAAAACGCCGCATGATTTTCTTTATTTTTATTTTTTATTTTATTTTTTTTCCCAGATGTCCCCTCCTTCCTTCTTATTAGGTGCGAATACATAGTCCCCGAGTGGGACTAGTGTTACAGTTGGTGCAATGCCGGCGCTAGTGGTGAATGGGCAAGTCCCGCCTAAATAGTGTGCCTTCAAGGGCACTACAGAGGGGTATCAATGGCTCTGTGTATTATGACCCATGCCTGTATTAAAATGGCTCAGAAGAAATGACAATGGCACGACGATTGGGCGAATAGACTGACATATCAATTTTATCACCTTCTAGGTAGTAATCATTCGGCTTGACTCGTACTCGGTCCTAGACTCGACTCGACTTACCTCTGTATCCGCCGGGCACTGAATACCATGTAGCAGCAGCTGAAATCCACTTTCATAGTCTAGGTACAATGGAGACCCGCTTGGGGAGGGCCAAAAAAAAAAACCGTTTGATTGACCCAAAGACCACAGCTTAATAGTTACCCAGTAAGACAATCTCTTTCCTGTCGAGATCCGAGAAACATGAGATGCTTCCACCTGCCTCCACATTTCCCGCGGGGCAAAGCTGCCGGTGGCCTTGTCCACTCACTGTATGTGAACTCTGAATTCTACATCACAAGGCACCACGCTACCTATCTGTACCTGTCTGTTCAATATTAGGCTGCTCCCTGGAGCTCACTGTAATGTGCCTAGGTGGATAGCCTGTACTACTTTGTACACTACCTACAAATCACGCTGTGGGAGAGGCAAGGCCAGAGGGGAAAAGTGGGAAAGCAAACAAGTGAGCCAAGTCATCAATCATCCTGGATGGGCCGAAGGGGTTGCAGTGCGCCGTGCCAGAGATTTCTGGAACAACCAACCATGTCGCCGGATTTGCGGATTTGACCTTGTCTGCTGTGTATAAAATAAAGACTAGGTAGAATAGCAAGCAGCAAGCTAGCAGGGCAGCATGTGGTGGACATTGGGGATGAACATTGAATGATGGGGAGAGCGTGGCCCGCCGCACCCCCCCTAAACCCTCAACCCATGCAGGTGTAACGGGAACTGAAGATCCAGATGCCGGTGGAAATTCCCCACATGACCGTGGTTTTTAATATACTAGACGCACCACAAGTCAGGCCAGCGCGACGCGCGATGCCAGGCACACACGTATACTCCATGCACCCCATACTTGTCACATTCACATCGGGCGAGCCGCGCACCAAACATCATGTACCGCCTTCATAGGCAAGGTATATGAGTGAGGTAAGGTAGGAATGGGGGAAAAAAAAAAAAAAAAAAAAAAAAAAAAGCTGGAGGAGATGTCCGGGCTATGGCCGACAATGACTGTACGCCACACAGCTAGGTTAGGTTTCTTGGGTATGGGATTTTTTCCGCCTTTTCTTTTTCCGCCCTTCTTTCCTTCTTCTTGCAGGCCGACAATCGGTCACTTTTTTTTTTCAGTACTTTTCTGCCATCACTGCGACTGTGATCTGGCTTCCCAAACTTTACTTGGTTAAGCAAGATTAGGTGCCACGAAATACTCTCTTGCTTGAAATCCCCTTTGTTTGGGAGGAGAGAAGAAAGCAAAAAGTGACACGTCGACTGGTCTAGATTAGGTACTGCAGGATATTTGATCGTGCCGGCACCGAGTGGGATTAAGGGATCGTGGGAAATGGGCGCTACTACGGGAACCGTTCCGAAGAGACGGGGCCCCAAACTTGCATTGAAGCAAGTCACCTTCCACTATGTAGGTAGTAGGTAAGTAGTATGTATCGCTCTATGCTGCTGCCGCTGCCGCTGCCGCCTACCGTCTTGGTGCGTGTGAGTTTGTCAGGATTTCTACGTCAGTCAAACGAGGTATAGTGCGCCGAGTCGGGACAAGGCCATCAGACATGACATAACTAAGCACTTGGTCATCCAAGTGGAAGGAGTTTTCTACTGAACCCGCAGTCGCGTGCCAGTCACATTTTGAACTATCGTCGGCTTTCGGTACCACATCCGCCTCAAGACTTGACTAAACTACAAAATAGACCCATATTTATTCAGGTTAAAAAAAAAAGACTACATACAGCATAAAAAAGAAGTAGGTAGTACCTTTGTTCGGCGTCTCGCCCAGAGTTTCCCTCCGATCCGATGCGAGAAAGTCAATATGAGAAGGCTTGCAAGAAAAAATGACATCAGCTGGGTTTCCTGCAACTCTGCAACAGCAACACATCAGCCACGGCGGCGGAAACATGATTTCCTATTATAATAGATAACGCGTACGCTCAACCGATTGACCGAGCGACGTTACAGTATTATAGCTTGTGGCTTGAAGGACTGCGACAACTCTACATAAATTTAATGTATTTAACTCTCTTGTAAGTTTGTTCTCCACGAGGAAGAAAGAAAAAGAAAAAAACGACACACGGGGCGAGCCCAGCGCTTTGGATTGGCGCATAAAGCCTGAAACTTGGTATCCGCTGAATAGAAAATACAGTAGGCACGTAACTCGGTTTTTAGAGTTAAGGCTTTTGACTTTCTGTGTATCCCAAAGAGCCGCAGACCCATGTCATGGCATGCTTCGTCCCTTTCTCAGCTCCGTCCCAATTTGCCTGTATCCAGATTGAGCGTCCATTGGACGTTTTGGCCGGCCCAACTTCCTATTCCGGCCATCCCGCGCCCTTTCTTGTATGGGTGCCAATGCTGGTTAACCCCATCTACCCCACAAGTCGTTCCTTTTTCTCTTTCTTGTCCTCTACGATTTTTTTTTTTACTATGTCTTACCTACTACCCACCATTCACACGTACGTTGTCCCTCCCCAAAAGCGGCTTCTGCTCGCCAGCTCGGCTGAGGGGTGGGAGCCACGTTGTGTGGAGTGCATCTTATCTCCTCTGTTATATAGGTGACAGCCGGACTGAGCCACGATGCGCCTTCGCCAAATCCTGCATTGCATACGTAGGTAAAAAGAAGCAGCAGAGGGGAAAGATAGAAGAGGCTCATGATCTTGCCGGACCCTCCTTCCACCCACCCCTGTTCTGCCCAACCATACAGTAAGATAGGTAGTTGTATACACACTAATCCACAAAGCCTGACATTGTGTGGATTACTCTCTCTCTCTCTCTTGCTTATTTTTTTTTTTTGCCCGCTGCTACCTAACTACCTACTACACAATAGGACCCTCGAGCCGGCAGTAATTACTTTACACCCCTCTAATGTCATTTCTCTCAGCCTATGTGAATCCTGGCCCGTCTCCCCACATTCCAAGACACCTGTGTTTTTGGTACCTATGATCGCGTTACATACATGGCCAGCTTTTTGTTTAAGAAATCTGGGCATAGTTACACAAATGCCATGACTCTTCGAAAAATAGAAACAAGAGTAAAAACTTGTATTCGGGCAGACCTCTGGCCATTGCCTTGGAAGAAAAAGGCACCGACAGGAAGAAAGAAAGAAAAAACACCCACAAGCGCAGGATTTCAACAATTAGACTGAAGCAACCGTCATTTTATGCAGAGTCTTTTGTTTGGCCCGTTTCGCCGGCATGGCATTAAAGCCACCTATAGGTGACGAGATCTTGGGACCAAGTGTTGGAACGACCCCCATGCTACCTTGTATGGATACCTTGTGTGTACTTTGTACTCTGACTGCGTGTCGGGGGCCGCGTCTTTTGCAATCCAGTACTTATCTTACAGCATGGCGAGCAGGCAGGCGACTTGGTTGCCCAAAAACTTCTTGGTCTTTCTGCCTCTCTTGTGTCTTGTCTTCTCTTGCCTCATTCTCGCTCACGAGGAAAGAGTCGTCTGCCTCTCTTGCATATTCCCCCACCATCATCTTTTTTACAACTTCAGTGGCCAAAAAGCCACATCATCGTCATCCTTGGTGACTTGACAGCCGCATATATTAAATGACACACCCACACCCCAACAAGAGGATCATCGTGTACCCTGCCGTCAAAAGGCCGCCCAGATCGACTTTGTTTTCTTCTTTTCTCAGTAACTACCCCCCCTTCTCCCTCCTCCTTGTCTGCTGCCAAACAGGCGGGCGTCACGCCCTGCTGCCGGGTGCGGACGCAAGACCCAGAGCCAAACAAGAGGGAGATCATCCCAGTTGAAAAGATGGTTCGAGGATTGGGCAATCATTTCCTACAGGCTGGGTGAATGTAATTCTTTCTTTTCTTTCCCTTCCTTGCATGTCCCTGGTCATATTTGCTCTCCTTAAACTCCGACAACCACAGTCTGGGTTCGTCCATGTCCAGTAATAAAAAGTTCATGGCCAGATAACATTTTCTTGCTTCTTTTTCACTGTCGGTAGCGCTCGGTGCGCCTCGAATTATATTCCCATGTGCGCTCCTACATGCTGTGACAATGTATGAAGGCAACTGGCGAGATTAGACTGCTGCTCGCTACAGCTGTGCGGCATATAACGTTCATCTAAGTTGGATCCAAAGATAGCCCCCAAGGGCCGCGTGTGTTTGTCTGAGCACAATTCATTCCATCTACTTCGATAGATCGCCGACCTAGAGCAGGAAAGGGCGGGTAACACTTCTTTTATTGCCGGTGGATTGCATAATCCTCGAGACAATCATATAGATTCTTCTATTCTAGCATCCAGGGGCATAAGATCTCAAAGAAGTATCTAGTCCCCCTCCCCTGAAGGTCTCATGTCTCATATGACCCATGCACAAAGTAAGCATAAGATGCAAAACACTAGCCTGCTCAAGAACCCCATGAGTAAAGTGAATTTCCATCCAATCTGAAGCCTTGTCCAGGATCTGAGAGAGGGCCGATCATCCATCCCCACTAGTCAGCCGATCAAGCTATCCACGTACGTACCTAAACTAGCATACATGGCAAAGCAGCTGTTGGGGTCAACTTGGGGAAGAGGACATACATACGCATGTACCGAATTCGGCTTCTAGATCGTATGGTATGTGCAAGTTTTCATGATCTTAATAGAGATCTTATGAAGAGAGACACCGCAAGCCTGCGCGTCTCTGTGTCACTGTTCCGGTAACAGCATTTCATTGCACTCAGAAGAACAACTTCTCTTGTCCAACGCGATACTGGCACAGCACCGAGCCGAGTAAGCCTTGGACCGATTCCGTCCACATGGACAAAGTTCTAAAACGCCTCAGACGTAGACGACTTTCTTCGCTTCACGAGTATATGCCCGCAAACAGCATGTTCCCCGTGAAATATAGCAAGTTGGCGCTTTCATTTCAAAGAATCAGTCAGGTAATTGCCCGATGTATTGCCTCGACAAGCTTATTTGCCTCTTGGTAACAACTTAATTGTCCAGCCTACTAAATAATACCTGAGTCAAGGTACATATCCTGCCAGTCCAATTTTGATAGTCACCCATGGCCCCGCGCCTAGTCATCTTTCGACTGGCTGCAAGGGCTCACAACGCAAGGTTACTGCAAGGGCCAAGGGCCTACGATCCGAGTATGTCTCATATCTTGGCTGCCACACGGCAGAGAAGGGTGGCTTATGTAGCATCCTGCACTCCCGCCGAGCTTCCAGGCTTTTAAGTTGTATCCACACAGCTCCAGCTTCCTCAAGCTAATCCCGGATCTTGCAAGGCGAATGCCGGGTATCTATCCTATGATATCGTTCATCTCTCTATTCATGCTGCCTCTAAGTGACTCCACTTCTATAAGCGAAGGACCTGGCACCGGCTGCTGATGCCGTCGAATATGCATGTGTTATCAATGGGAATGTATTGCTTTGTGATGATCTTGATTGCCTCCTGTGCAACCATGCCGCCCACGACAGCGGATAGGTCGTGAAGTTCGCCGCCGGCAGCACGAGCCACTTCTTGAGCTGCTTGCTTAACGCGCATATTGTCGGCTGCACTTGGGATCTTGCCGTAGACATCGGCCAGGATTTCGTCAGCAGAAGCAGTAGGGTTGTGACTTGTTGCCGACAGCGCGAGGTAGATGGGCAATGACGAGAGAGGCATCATCATATCCTCGGCCAGCTTGTCGTTCTCCATCTCCGACTCTGTGTAGGTATCGTCAGCGGAATGATCTAAACTTGCAGGATAATATGGGAATTACCGTAAATACTCATCAGCTGTCGCCCCTTTGTCGTTGCATTCACTAGCTTCACAAAGGATGCATTCTTGCAGAACATTTCGACTTCCACTGGATCGACGTCCTTGCCACCGTGGAGAGACTTGGCGATCTCCAGCACCTCTTGCGCGTCCTTGCGTGCCTTCGTCTTGTAGATACCCTGCAGTTTGACGTACACCTTGGATTGAGCCTTCATATCCGGCAGACTGCCAGGGAGTGGCAAATACCCATGCTTTTCATAGAACTTCTTGACGGCACTTGCAATTACCCAGAATGACGAGTGTAATTCGGCCTAAGAGGCATGCAAGTTAGCCGAAATGTCAGGAAAGAGTGGTCATGTATCATACCTCGCTTGTCAGTTGGTGCTCGAAAACTTCTCGCAGGGTAGACTCGAGTTGGGGCTTCTTGATGTTTCGATTCACTGCTGCAACAGCCTCTGCGAAATTCTCCTCGCCACCCTCTGGGTTGTTTGTTCTGGCAGCGGCAGCCACCATTTTGCGGAATTCAATCTTTGCCTTGTACTCTGTAGGATATTCTCCGTTGTGTGTGGCTTTCCACTCCTCAAGGTAGTGGAGCAGAATGACAACGTAGGGCAGATGACCATGGTCGTGATCATCCAACTTGTCAATTTCTTGTGTCATCTCCTTTGCGAAGTCGACGAGCTCAGGCCACGGTTGAGTGAGACGGAGGTCCACGGTCTTCTCTATGTCGGGGTGTGTGTCGACGATGGGGAAGGCACCAGGTAGGCTGATCCTGAAATACGAATAGAAACCAGCGCTATGGATGGCAATGAGCGGGGTGCTGTGTTGTCGGCCATATTCTTCGATGGCAGCCATGTCCTCTTGCTTGATAGGCATTGTGTACATGATGAGAGTGTACGTGGATGAGCTGGCAAGGAGTTGCTTGACATCAACACTTTCCTATTCACCTTGTTAGTCTTCTCCAGCAACGTCTGGAAGCCCTTCTACATACCTTCTGCTTAGGAAACCAGTCGCTCTGAACCTCTGGGTTCAGCTCCTGCAAGAGTTCGGCGCAGCATTGTGCCCGTGGCTTCCCCAGAGAGTCTTCATCTACGAAGAAGTTGACGCCAAGATCCGACTCGTCAACGACCTTTTCATCCAGTATAGTGTAACGGCCAATGCCTGCGCTGAAGTCAGTATGCTGCAAGCTAAGAAGAGGTCCGATGAGTGGAATGGCGAGATTTGTCCATACCTGGAAGCACGAGGTTCTTCAAAGTCTCGATACCAACTGTGCCTGCGCCGGTATTGAGCAGTAGGATGTGAGCAGACTCGAGAGCAGCCTGGCCACTTGCCGCCCACAAACGGAGCTGCCGGTCATATTTCTTCTCCTTGTCGGAGGGACCATGCAGGATGGGGGGTGTTTGACTCGTCACGATCTCGGTCATGATGGAGTGTGACCAATGATTAGCAGGACGAACGGTGAGTTTCCTGGAATGATGTGATCACGTCTGAGGCTCGCCGAAAATACAGGGACACTCCTAACTCATAGTCAGTTGTGCCAAAGTGAGAAAATCAAAGGCTGCAAAGAGAGTGATTCTGGCAATAAACAAGGTTCCTCGTCGGCACAAACGCTTCCTACCATAGGTGAAGCTTATTAACCTAGACAAACGCGGCCATACTTAGCAGGCAATGACGTTGGGAGCTGGAGGTGCTCTTATCTAATCAGCAATGGAGGGGAGGTGGGGCGGCTGTCGAGACTTGAATGCCAGCCGGCGCCAGTAAGGACAGGTGGAGCTCGTCTGCCTGTAAGCCTTAAGGCAACCGCAAAGGAGTCAAGAGCAAGCTTCGAGCTTATGCCATGAAATCTGCGACCAAATTTGAAAAAGACAGAGATTTCGCACATATCACCACTTGACAATATCTCATTTAAATGTTGGTCAAAACTTCATTGACTCGATTTATCAGATAGCAAATTTGGTAGATAAAGGCATGGGTATCATGAACTTATACCATACTTCACAAGCCACTCACAAAGAACATGAGACGTCCCTTCCTTGTACACCAAGGCATGAAGCGTCGCAAGTCAAACGTCGCTGCCTACTATCTTTATTCAAAACTCATAGAAAAACTCATTGTAACTCCAGATCGAGGAAAATGCTGCAAAACGTGTCTGTCAATCAAGACATGTGCACCACTGTCATTCCAACCAAGGCCACAAGGGTAATACTTTGAAATCATCCATCGTCTTGACGACTGAAGCAAGCACTTCAATTCAAGTCTCTTTCCTCTTTTACTACGTACTGCCCATTTTGAATCGATTCCTGCCATGGAGCACACACTGCGATGCAATGCCCTCAAATGCCGAAGAGAGTTGACCGATAAAGCTCTGGTCACCACATGCAGGTATGCATCGATGTATCTGCAGCGGGCACATGAATATCATGATGTGGCATGATACTCGGAAGCTTACATGGGTTCGACGCAGCCATATATTCTGTACGGAATGCGCAAATAGGCTTGGCCTCACGGATTCGAGCGCAAGGCATTCATGTCCAGCATGCAATGTTCCTCTGACAAATCCTGACGATGCAGTCATTACCAATCTTAAACCAACAGAGGACTACAAGACAAGCGTTCTAAGTGGCCTCAGCCCAAACATCATCGTTGAATGTGCTAGTCGAGCGCTCAATTTCTGGGCATATCAGACAATACAACAGATGTGAGTAATTTCGAGCACAAAGTATATTAGTGGCTATTCTTATGCTAATCATCTCGTAGTATATACCAAGAACACGTCAGCAAGGCATTGGCAGACAAGTACACAACCTTGACCGTTGACCTTGATAAGGTGATTTCTGAAGCCAATGCCCAGATAACGACACTCAACAATAAGGTTTCTAGTATGTACAACCCGTCTCTACTTCTTGCTGAGTATAATTCTGATAGGAACCCAAGACATGGATCTTGATCAACAAGCGCTTCGCCGCAAAAACGAGGAACTTGCTCTTGCACTCAAGGAGAAGAATAAAAAGCTCATGCAGACCCAAGAGCTATATGATAAATTAAAGAGAAGAGCCATGATGGGCCAGATGCAGCACGCAGCTGAGGATGCCGTCGACTCGAATTTGCCATCTCTCGATGCGCGCGATGGTGGAGGCCAGGGGTCAACTCGAGGAGGAGACGGTACGGTTCTTGGGCTACATGAAGGAGGCATGGGCCCAATTTTTCCAGAGTCTCGAAATGTTCGAATCCACAATAACACTCATGACAACATGAACCATGCTCGATCGTTCAATCATCGGAAGACTAGCCTATACCCTTGGGGTCAGGTAGCTAGTGGCCCTGGCGGTAAGTGTCATTTTCTCATCAACAGTATCACTTGCTCATATTAGTCACAGAAGTGCCCCTAACCCCCTCAACACACCGGCAACGCATCGGACTATCTTCTGGTGTTGGAATGACTTCAGTGCCTGGGATCCCCGCTTCTACGCGTTCCCCTCGTCAATTTAGTACGAGTAGAGCGGCGATAGTGGATCTGCCCGGTAATTTTCGCAATACCAGTAGATTGCCTGGAGTAGGTCTCAGTTCAGGCTTGAAGGCCAGTCATAATGGAAGTGGCTTGAATGAATTTTCCGTGCCTACATTGAGGCCACAAGGTACGAGTGCACTCACGGAATGACGAAGCCAGGCTGATATACTAGAAGCCATTCAACGGCCTGCCCAAGGCCCATCCGCGCTGGGCCAAGGATACCGACCGGAGTCTGTACTAGGCAACCCCCATGGCTTCACGTCTCGCTAGCCATTGGACAAATTTTCAAATGCGTGTCGCGCGAGCATAGTATATTTTTGCTCCTTGAAATTAGGTCTTGAAGAATTTTAATACCATTTGGTTCTTACATGGCTCTTATGTAAGCCAGTTCTTCTGACAAAAAAAGAAACGAGGCTTTATTCAGGTGCATACTGTTGCTTTGTTCCTTTTTTTTTTTTCCACAAGCACCCATGCCAATCTTTCAAGCGCGACAACAGGAACCTGAACAATAGTGACTATTTACAAAGCGAGTTCAACTATGCGTTGAACTTTGCCTTTATCTCTTCATGACATAAGAACCGCATGTATATAATCCCCCCCGGCCACCGAGAATTATTCCCAAGTGATCAATCAGATTTACTCAACAACCTAATCAAAACTCTTAAGCAAACTTTTCAGTACATACATCAACATGTTCCCCCAGAGAAGACAGGCTCCGCAGAAGGCTGGCCCCGCGGATCTGAGGCTCGCGGCTGTACCCGGGGATGCAGTTCAACATTCTCTCCGCACTATCCCTCGGAAGCCTGTTTCTCAGCGGTATGATCATGTTCATGCGGATTTACCTCACGAGTCGAAGTTTGAAGCCCCGTCCTGGGTTTCACACGATTTCGTGCCTCGAGCAATGCCTAAAGCGCCGGCTCAGGCGCCAGAGTTACGAGAGAGGGGCAAGGAAGCTGGGCAGTTGAGGTCACTTTTTTCCAGCGTTTACAACCGTAACAAGAAGGGCAAGTCGAAGCTTGACAAGGCATCGATATCTGCGCCAATCAATATTTACGCCCCTCCTCGCGTATCAAACTTTCGAGCTCCGACGGGCACTATGCCGAGAAGACCGGGCCGGACAGATGGATTTACATCCGTCCCTACCAGCAGTCGGGCGCAAGCAAACCCAGTGTCAGAAGCGAAACCTCTTCCACCAGTGCCCTCTGAGTGGAAAACCTCGAACCCAGTTCGCCTGTCGCCAGCTCCACGTGAGGATGCTGATATGGAAGATCAAGCCTATGCTCGCTGGAGCATAGGCAACTGGTCTCTGGTGGCAGACGACGGGGACCAAGAGCCTAGAGTTGCGGATTGGTCTTCAGATGAGGAGGGGGAGGAAGAGGAGTATGTCGATGACTTGGATTCAGCGTGTGGCGATGATGAACTGCGCCGAGCTTCCACTGAAGTTGTAGTCGACGGCGATGCAATCGAGAATTGGCAACTATCCAGAGGCAATGTTTACCTATCCTTCCCTGAGCCTGGCTTTGAGGAAAAGGAGGAGGGTAACTCGACAAAGCAGCAGCGCCGGCGGGGAATTATCTTCTCATCAAGTGAGACGGTTCAACTGCCTGACGAGGCTTATGTTGATGACGAGGTGAAGGAAGAAGAGGATGACGACCTTGAGGGCCCTGCTTCCAGCGAAGAGCCCTCGGTCTTTGACGCTTCTTTCCAGTCGCCTGAGCAGGAGCACTCTGTTGATAATGAGGACTCTAGCTCGGCACCTCACCTGCAGCTTGTTGAGATTAAAGTTACACCGCCGACACCTACTCGCGGACGGGCTGACAGCCTTGTACACAACGAATACCTTACCCCGGCCGATGCCTACAAGCGCATTGCCGAGAAATATCGAAAAGAAGCCAAGCGCTCCCGGGAGGAGGCGGATCTTGTGCTTTACCACTGTAAGCCTTTGATGCAAGCCTTTGAGATTATCAAAAATGACCCCGAGTTCTCCCACCTGGACAGTTGGGAAGGCGCATTCGAGGTGTTGGAGATGATACTGCAAGAGCGCAAGTACAACAAAATTGCTCGCGAGCAGGCTCGCAGCTCAGCGATCTGGTTTCGCGAGTTGTACGAGAAGATGTTGAGCGAGCAGGTTCGTCTCGTATCCATTTACGGAACAAGCGAAGATTTCGTGTTCACGACTCTGTCATCAAGCGCTTCATCAGAAGGGCATGCAGAGAGGAGTGTGGAGCGGGAGCATACAAGGGGAGGTGAGTATTGGCATTTCGACTAATCCTTTGTGACCATTCTTCTCCTTCATTTTCACCGGGAACCTATGTACAGACCCTCTGGCAGGGCTGTAACAAAGAGCATTCAGTCCGAAGCTGGGCGAGCCCAGGTTGGCACCCAGCACAAGTCCCATTGTCAGTCCTCCCACCTGACTCTCACGCACACCTTCAAGGCCACATTTCTCTGGTCAGAGATGTTTGTCTTGCCGTATTCAAGAGTGAATTAAATATCGAGAGCCCGGTTATCCTTACGTAACGCTGCAGAGTTACGGATAGCCGGCGAGTAACTCTCAGCTTCAGTAATGTATGGTTCGGGTTAGAGATTCTTCTGATCAAAGAATCACCCATCCTAACCATTTCTAAGCCATCGCTATAAAGGCAAAAGATTAGAGATTTAAAGTAGAGCATCTCGAATCTCTCCGTCTTCAGCGAGTTTAAAGGCCATAAAGGGCCTGGCATAGGGGGAATGTCGATAAACGACATAAGTCAGCGGCAAACCCTCATCTTGCTCAAGGCTGCGGTGTAAGCAATGTCTCCAGCTGGGATATCGCCCCGCGGCCTGGCATTATACTACTTTTTGAATTGCTGAGCACCTGACCATTTCTTCCATGTAGGTAAGGTATACATAATACATGGGAGATTTGGCAGCAAAAGTGACCATGCACAAAGCTCAATTATAGGCACAACTGCCAGGAAGTGTAAAGTCATAGGAGTTTGATGCTGCAGTATAGCTACAGATTCAGATCAGAGTTGTTGCATAATTTGGCGTTATCGGGTATCTTCTCAAGCAGTTCAATGAGCAATTTCCATTTCAGGGTATCTATGTATTGTTCGAAGAATGTCTCGTATTACGTGTGGAAGTATGTGTCACTTGTATGACGGGATCGTATCTAACTGTGAGTGCGATCGGTGAGCTTGTTGCCATAAGACCTTTGAATTATAATTTTCTCTCTCTTCAATGTAGTAATTTTCTCGTTTGTGACCCTATGTCCATGCATCTGATGTTCACGATGATTGTGGGGATGTTTTAGGCTGTCGGTCAGGTATCATCCAGCCTCTTTTATTTCCACGTCGCAGACTTTCACGGCCCACCGGCGACTCAGCAACATGTCGATCACTTGGTATACCGAGTAAAGATATTGCCTCATTGCGCGACAAAGATTGAAACACTACTAGACCTTGATCGAGTTGTACGGTGCCAGTTGCTCTGGATACTACTACGGAGCACCGAGTTGAACCAGCCAACCAGCTTAGATCAGACTCGTATAACTTGCTGACAAGCGAGAGATATGACCGGACTACCGGACCAGGGGAGAAGGATCTTCTTGAATAGGGTTGATTGATTGATCTTGTGCATATCTCAACGTTGTGACGGATATCCAAATTGACAATATACCGCGAATCATTCCCAAGAACAGCTTCTGATAAGAAAAACAAACATTCATCCTATGACCCAGCTTGTACTTGGCAACTTGGATCATGAAGAACCACTTTTGTCTGTCTTTCTCTCTTGTCCATTGGGCGTTCAGGCCTGCCGCAGCAGTGGGCGCCTTTGTCACGAATCGCGAACCAAAGATTCAAGAAGTCAACCAAGCCAGCATCTCTCCTTGGGCGACCCCATAAAAAAACATGCACCACTCAACCACCTGCACTTTGTACGGCAGCTTACGAAGTCCGATGCAGCCGACCAAAGATGGGGTTGCAGCTATGCAGCTATGGGGCAGCAGCCAACGGGAGTGGAACCGATGACATCGCTGCTCGCAGCGATCACACCTTTTTTTTTTTTTTCTCTCTTTGCAAGGGAAGACAGAATCCACAGTTGTACTTTGCACACATAGTATTCTCCCAATTGTCAGTACATCCCCGTGAACATTGCCAATGTCGTGGAGCACTTATGGTCGCAAAACGTCCCCCGTCGAAACACCAGATGGCCCCGCTCCGTGAAGACCGAGAGCAAGACTGGGAGCAACCGCAAAAAGAACAAAAAAGAGTTTCATTTTATGTTTCTTTGTGCTTGCGCCGTAGACGCGGTTAGCGTGGTAGAACCCGTTCGGCTTATCTGCACACGGGAAGTTATGTCTTCTAGTCAGCATGGTTTAGCCGCGATATCTTTTGTGGTGAAAGCTCGTGTTTGGTGAAAGTCTGGTCACTTTTTCTAGACGGGGTTGACAGCAGATAGAGCTGAACCACTAAAATATTTCGAATGCTTCATGCATGTCTAGTCTATCCGAGGAGGGTCTTTTGGTGGCATGCACGTTTTTCTTCTCTACCTACATAGCACCACCAATGAGGTGCTAGGGTCGATTTGAGGCGATCTGTTGTGGCTGCTGCCGCCGCCGCGGCCGCCTGCTGCTGGGCAACTAGGGGCGATCAACCTAGGTACACTGTAAGTGAATGGGTGTTGGGGCGTTCAAAGTGAGACAAAATCCCACATGCGCCAGGCAGTGAGGCAATTGGTGGGGGGTTTTCGGGTTTTCTTAGACAGCATGCGCAAGACAATCTGTTTGATACAGATGAGGGGCAAGACAAGAGGCGCAACGGGAAGGCCAGGACAGGTGTACGGATGACCACACACGGGCCAAGACTTGCATACCCGTGGCAATGGGGAAGCAAGGAGGATGATCCGCTATACACACGAGTATTCCGCAGGATGTATGTAGATCCTCCCATCTGTCTGTATGCGTACGTAGCTATTACGAAGCGTAAAACAGGCAGCCAGTCAAGCGTCAGAGGTGGTTTTGTCCTTTGGTTCCCAATGCGACAAGGGAGAATTGATGGGGATTACGTATGTGCCGTGTCTGTGTGCCATGGTGTACGATTGGGTAGGTACCCAAGGTATGTGCCGGCGAACAGACAGTTAATCACGATCAGATGGAACGACTCGAGCAACGACTCGCACTCCCGCCAACTCCGGCCCGTTTTTAACGTTTGTGGTGTAGACTGTTTCTCATGGTCTGACGGGGCGGACGCGAGAGAGATTCGAGTCAATTCACTACAGCCGAGTCCAGAATGGCACTGCAGTAGGCCAATGGATAAATCACTTCACTACCGGTACTTGGTTTATCTTTGTCGCTTCTGCATCGCGGCTTGCTAAGGTAGGTAGGTAGATTAACAGATATGTAGCAAGTATATAGTAGAGCCAAGGTCGCTAGAGCCCTCAGGCAGGTGCTTGGATTATACATTCGCACATGGGTAAGACCACACCCAGCCGTTGTCAGCAGGAAGAAAAGGCTGAACCAAACCTTGAAGGGAAAAGTTGCAAAGATCAGTCCAATTTAGGTCTACTTGAGGCTTATCAGGGAAGCGGGTTTCCTTTTTTCTTCTTCTTCTTTATCTTTGACAAGCGGGTTGGCAGATATCGAGACTTTGCATCTCGGATGTGCTTGGCTTCATGCAAGTCTATCTCGTCCATCTATCTATGTAGTGTAGTTCATCTACTAGTCCGCCTGGCCTCTAAGCTCCCTGCTCAGCCGTCAAGCTTGCAGTGGTGAGTCGAGTGCAGCAGTCTGTGATACCCGACAAGTGTATTGTTTCTCCCCATTTCCCCTTGTCTGGTTGGTCACTTGACACCTTGTCCGACCCGGGACCTGGCCACTGTGCGACTGATGCTGCTCGAGCAACCCCAAGCTGCAAAACACGATGGCACGACTCTGCGTCTCGTCTCTGTGTATTGTACCGTATTGCGTTGGGTAGTGGCTTTGGCTGACTGACCACTCAAGTACTCGTATTCGTTGCTCTCGACAGTTTTGAAAAATGAACGACACCAACATTAGTCACTCACTTGCCCTCTGGCCAGTGAATGGAAGCCAGAAGCTGGAGCTTACCTACACTACGGCAGAGATCGCCTAATAAGAGGTGCACTAAAAATCCGATGCTAACGAGTACCGACCAAAAAAAGAATTTCCAAGCTTTGGTGCCAAAATCTCTCATCCCGCAAAAGGCGACTTTGGGCGGGATCCACCCGCCCTCCATGGCCCTGTTTTGCCCTCTCCAGGTTCTAAGTGCAGTAAAAGCTGGGCAAGTCAAGCGTCACCTAGCCAGGGAGTCTGGCTGTGTCTCGGCCAAACCCACAGATAGCGTCAGCTTAGTTGATGCTAATGGGTAAAGGTACTTCCACGATCTACAGATCCACCACCCATCGTCAGGTACCGCATCGCCCTCCCCTAACTCCTAGAGCTGCCCACCACCACGTTACGTATTCCCATCTTCCCAAGCAGGTCCCCCAATAAGGTACTGCGAGCAGTAGCAGGTATTTCCTGCCTGCTTCGCCATCCCATCCTGGCTGACCAAATTCCTGCGATCCAGTTTCCCCTTCATCCCCAGAAAAACCCAAAACCTCAATCTTGGACGCTTTGGCAATTCCCAAGTTCTCTTCCTCCACCTTCGTTTTTATTATTCTACTTTTTCAACTCCACCCCCTGTTCATTGACCCATTTGTCCGTTATCGTGGCCTCGTCTAGGCCCTGGCCCTTGTTTTATTGTTTTTTTCTTCTCGCCGTTCGCTATCTGCAATCGAGCTCTCCTAGTAGCCCCCTTTTAATGAGCGAATCGCAGCACAGACCCGACGCGCAATCTCCGAACCTTGAACTCATTCAACTTTGAGAACGCACCCAAAAAACGAACACCAGCCAATTTGCGCTTCTCCGTCTTGATCCGCCGACCTCTTGTCCCATCTTACCTTCTGGCAGCTACCCAATTTTACCCCAGGGAAAGAGAAAGACAGAGACAGGACAGACAGAGACAGAGACACACGGCACGCGCGGGCTGAGATGCGATAGACTTTGTATACTTGTCATATTGACACACTCCGCCGTCATCGCGTTAAGCATTCGAGCCGATTCAGGACGACCCTTCTTTTGCATCTTTAACGCAAAGCCCATACCTCTCTTCCGATGGGCAAATCGAAATGTATGCTGATCTCCGCAGCTCTCAAAAACCCACACCCACTCTGGCAATACGAGCTTTGCTGACCTGGATCCTAATTTACAGGGCGATGGGGCGTCATCTTTGACGCAGGCTCCTCGGGCACGCGACTGCACATTTATCGGTGGAAGGACCCCGCGAGAGCAATTCACGATGCAGATGATGAAGACTTGGTGCGCCTGCCAAAGGTCAAGACGGACAAGAAATGGACCGAGAAGATCAAGCCCGGCATCTCGACATTTGGCGACAACCCAGAAGATGTCGGCGAATATATGAAGGCACTCGTTGAGAAGGCCGTCGCAATCATTCCCGAGGAAAAACATGCCGACACGCCCATTTTCCTCATGGCCACTGCGGGCATGCGTCTCTTGTCGCCACTCCAACAAAGAGCCGTCTTGTCCGAGGTTTGCACGTACTTCCGCCAAAATACACAATTCTCCCTTCCCGACTGCGACAGGCATATTCAGGTCATTCCAGGCGAAACGGAAGGCTTGTACGGTTGGATAGCCGCCAATTACTTGCTGGGCGGGTTCGATAACCCAAAGGGACACGAGCACGGCAATGGTCACCACACCTACGGATTCCTTGATATGGGCGGCGCATCGGCCCAGATTGCATTTGCGCCCAACAGCACCGAGGCCGAAAAGCACGCAAATGACCTAAAGCTTCTCAGATTACGGACAATGAATGGCGCCCCATCCGAGTACAAGGTCTTTACTACCACATGGCTGGGATATGGTGTGCATCAGGCTCGGCAACGATATGTTGAGAAACTTGTCGAAACGTATCTGATCGAAGATGAGCACGAGGTACCAGACCCCTGCATGCCCAGAGGCCTGCGGACGACCGAGAACGGCGAGCAAATCAAGGGAGTGTCCAAGAAACTGGAGCTGGTAGGCACGGGCGACTTCCAGGGCTGCTTGAAAATGACAAGGCCGCTGCTTGGAAAAGATGTACCATGCGAGGATGAGCCGTGTCTGCTGAATGGCCAGCATGTCCCAGGAATCGACTTTGATGTAAATCACTTTGTGGGCGTCTCCGAGTACTGGCACACCACGCATGGGGTTTTCGTAGAGAAGGGCGAGAAAGCATACGACTACAATACATATCAAAAGAAGGTAGACGAGTTCTGCAGTCAGAGTTGGAGCGATATCGAGGCTACAACCACCCGAAAGAAGGACCATTCCAAAGAGGCGCAGGAGGCGTGCTTCAAGGCCTCATGGCTGATCAATGTACTTCATGAAGGAATCGGCGTCCCACGCGTTGGTATTGAGGAGACGCCCAACCCCGATATCAACGTCACAAAGAATATCGGAGAGGCAGCACAGGAGAAAGGTTTCCTCGACGCATTCCAAGCAGTAGACAAGATCGACGACATTGAAGTGAGCTGGACGCTGGGACCAATGGTGCTCTACGCAGCTGGTCAGGTACCGCCCTCGGACGGGACCGACAAGCATCCCGTTGGATTCGGCAGCAACGTCAAGGGCATCCCCAAGGACTTTCAGTACGCCGGTTCGAATTGGACGGCGCTTCCCTTGCAAAGCAGCGGAGACGAAGACTGGGATGATCTTGCCGACGAGTTGGTCGACCACGTAAAAACCAGATCTGGCTCCGGATTCCTGTTCTTTATCCTGATCGCTCTCTTCATTGGTTACCTCTTCCGCCGCAAGGACCGCAGAATGCGCGTATATGGCAAAGTCAATTCTTTGTTACGGCGCCACCAAAGACGACCTGGAAGCCCACGTAGCAAGCCGAACCGCGGCCTGGCGGCTTTTACAAACAAGATCTTTGGCAGGAATTCGCATACCTACGAGCGCGTTTTGGAGGACGGTGATGCGGCCCAATTTGAGCTGGGCGATGTCGACTCCGACGAGGGTGAGAACTCGGACGGCAGCGGAGCCACTCGCCAGGGACGGACGTCTGGTTTGGCCACACCCAAGCTCAATGTCATGGGATCCTTTGACGATCTGACCAAGTCGGCACACCCTGGGAGTGCCCTGGACCGGACCGGACTGGTCGTGCGAACCGAAAGCCGCGAAAGGCTTACCCCTCAATTGCTACATGCCGGCAGACGGAGTCGAGCGGGCAGTCCCACGAGGATAAAGAGCCCGTTGATGGGTCCGCTCAATGAAGACTAAAAGGCCACTTCTTATTCACCATTTATATTTTTGCATTTCACTATTACCCCTGTTCAAACACACATTGGTGGAGATTAAAGCGTTTGGATTGCATGCTCATAAGAGCGCACGGGATCGGAGTTACACGGGGTCAACTGACGACGCGCGACATGTGTGCTTGTCCATTGCATTTGGATTTTCCGGCGTCTTGTGGTGCTACGAGACTTGGATAATAAAATCCAAGTATTATTAGAGACTATGATGCTGATAATTACGGCGTGCTACGAGCTGTCACCGACAATGAAGAACGGTTGACGATTAGTTTATAACGAAGACTACGGCCAACGAGGCTCAAGAATCATAAACTTTTGAAACATGGTCGAGTGCACTGAAGTTGAATCGATTGCAAATGCGTGTGACTGCTTTCGCCAACACCATCGATAGAAAGAGAGAGACAGAGACAGAGAGAGAG